TGCAAATATTTTGCTACTATCCATATATCAAATGTTATTAAAGTAAAAAAAATTGTAGCATGTTTTATGAATTAATTTCATTTGTTTTAAGTGTAATAACAGTTGGATTGTTTCCATAAGTATGTTGATTTTTATAATTTGCAAAATAATCTTTTTTAATTTAGTACTAACAAAATAAAATTATGAAAATTGTAAATATTTTGCACGTTATATTCATCAAATTAATGTTTTTTTATGCCATTTGATCTAATACAGTTTTCATGTATCACTTTATCTTCTTGTTGTAGTTTGATTCGTCTTGCTATTTGATATTGTCATTGCTTATTTGCTGATGTTCTTTGTTGTTGCTAAGTGCTGGTCATTTGTCTATGTTTGTCCAATTTAGAACAAAAATTTAATGTATCTTTATGATGAATATGAAGTTTTAAAATAAAATAACAATGATTGCAATTGTTATTTTAACATGAAACACAAGCTCATGATTAACTTTACAATTTTATGTTCATGCAAAATATATGTTTTTATGAGAAATAAAATTTTTGGTCCTTTTCTGCATATAAATTACAAATTTTGTATATATTGCTAATAATCTATCTTATTATAGTTGGAAATATCAAAACGTGAATAAATTAGAGTTTAATAAATAATGAACACATACATGAGTAATAAAATCAAAATTAATTTTTTTTTATTTTTTGTTATGAATTATATTTGCATGTTATTATGAAATATATTTTTTGATTTTGAACTTATAAAAAAGTATATTACATATCAAATAGTTATATATAAAAATATTATGAATTCTTTATCTGTGAATATAATTTCAAAATTTAAAAAGTTTCAAATAATTGTAGGATGAAATAAATAACAGAATATTTTAATTAAAAAAATAATTTAAAATTCATGGAGCAAATAATGTCATAAGCATATGAAACAATATTTTATAAAATAATAGTTTTGTTGAGTTTTTGTTATTGTTTCAAGCTTAATAAATCTTTGTTAGTAACGTTTTTAATATATGTTTGTCTTTATTCATCATATAATTGAAATATACATCATAAATCTTTTATGTAATGCATGATCATGTAGCAAAATGCTTACAAAATGTTTATAAGTTGACTACAAATTTTGATTACGATCAGTTATCACATATAAGTTAGTATTAAATTTGTTGTATATATTTAAGCAATCATCAATAAATATATATTTTAACTTAATTTTATAATTGTATATTTAAATTTGTTTCTCATGATGAAATGAAACACCGATTGAAGTAAATTCAAATGAATTTAGTTAAAATTTCAATTGTATTATTTTAAAATTTCAACTATTGCATTTTGTCAATGACTTAGTTAAAATATTTCCTTGTTGTAGTAATATGTGTAACTTGAAATTTTAATTATTTTGGACTATATATTTACTCTATTATAAAGTTTAAATAAGGATTTATTCGAGTTTTCAATCAAGTGAGTTTTTTATTGAATATAATAATAAAATATTCATGTTTTTTTTGTGAACGTTGAATGTACACATTATAGTACTCATAATGATTCATTTATTCCGGTGAAAAGTTTAAGACTATCTTTTCATTGAGATGAATTTTGCAAAACGATCTGAATGAACCTTGATTGAAAATAAGCAAAAAAATATAATGTTTCATAGAAAATGCAATATTGATAACATTTGTTTCCCAATTCACAGTTGGCTTTATCAAACTTGTTGGGTGTCATGGTTCTTTTATGCTTCATCTTTACATTTTCTTGAAATCTTTAATATGAGATGATATTAGTGCTTGGAGTACCTTGCATAATATTTTTCATGGTACGATGAATTCTTTTAACTATTATCCGAAGGTCAGTGAGGAGGAACTGAAGTATGTATGAACTAACGTTGTTAGAGAGAGGGTGTGTCAACATGAATACAATGGAACCGAGCGTAGAAATACCAGACGAGTAGCAAACATCAGACATTCGATGCCAAGACGGGGGCTATACGTTTAGGGTAAAGGGCGGAAACGAGAGATATTCTCGGGGCCTGAAAACCACGAGATTCATTGGTCTGGCGACGGTGGTGGTACAGAGCGAGGGGGAGGGGGCTGCGAGATGAAAAGGGCACCACGTCAGCAGATTCGACGTGGCGTTAAGCTGCCGGGAATTTAACCGATTAAAGAGCGAGCGAGCGCTGCCGGCTAGATGGAGGCTAGAGAATGAACTCGGGGCCGTGTCCAGGGCCACCCTTGGGCGTCCCCGCCGAAGCGCTCCGGCGGGGGCTCAATAAATAAATCGGAAGCCGAAGACTAGCGGTCAGCATTCCAGAGGGGGCCGGATGTCGGGGCCGGGCCAGGGCGGGGAGGGCGTGCCCCGTGCCGTGCCGTCCCGCGGGCTGGGACGGGGCGGGCGTGTGGAGGGGGCAAGCTGGTTCGACGTCGAGCGGACGGCGGACGGCTAATGCGGCATTCATGAAACGGAAGTGATGGGGCTGGGCCTGTGCCCCTGGGGCGAGGGACTGGGTGAGTGGTTCACAGTACTGTACGTAGTCGGGCTCTCGCGCACTCCATGGCCGTACTCGGCAAGACAATCATTCATTACACTGCTACGACAACAACAGTAGGATCCAGAGCCTGGCACACATGTGCGAAGGACTGCGAAGGAGGGAGGGCGAGGGGGCGAGCGAGCGAGCGGGCGAGCGGGCCGAGGGGCTCCGAGGGAGGGGTTGATGAGGAGGTAGGAACGAAGCGTGCGAGCGAGCGAACAAGAAGCAGAAGGGGGGGGGGGGATGTGGGGGAAGCAATCATATATTATTACACCATTATTATATTATCGTTTATGGATCGACTGGTCACGGTTAAGATTCCAGGGAATGGAGTCGAGTCAGACGCGACAGGCCGACTCGACAGCACGGGGTATGACCTTGGTACGTGCGAGATGGCAAAAGCAGGTCGCAAGGGGCCAAAAGCCCGCTACAGGGCATCGTCGGGCGGATAGGCGCGCGGGCACGATCCGAGGGTCGAGCCGGGCACAGAGGCTCGCGGGGGGCTGCGGGCGGAGGGGGGAGGGGGGCGTGCTAGCCCCATTAGGGTGCGTCGCTCTATCTGATCTATGCTGGCGCATTGAATGGCAGCGTTGAGGTTTTGGTAAGTCCGATTATTATTGCCCCGGCGCTGGGCCAAAGGCAAGCGAGGCGAGGCGAGCCCCTTTGGCGTTTTGTTCTGGAAAACTGATTTTCTGACACCGCTGTTCCTGCCCTTCGAATTTAGAATATACACATGTATTGTTCTCTGTGGCCCCTGTCGTCCCCTCCAGTTGCCCCCACTCCAAACAAAAGCCTATGGCACCTGCACAGCAACTTGTTCCGCTCCCTGCCCCCGCGATCTATTTTTGACCGCTCCGATTCCGCCCCGGCCTTGCGATGCAGGACGTACAGTCCATAGCCCCTCCTCCTCCTCCTCCTCTCCGCCCTCCCCCCTGCCGCGGGAGGAAACGCTCTGCTCTTCCACCCTAAGAGGCCGTCCTAGCCGTACCGCTCGCAATGTTGTTGTTGCTTGGCCTTGCCTTGCCTTGCTTGGCCTTGGGGGCTGGCCGGGGCTTGTCGCGCGCACGGACTCGTCCGCCGCGCCGGCGAGCCGCGAGGCCCCGACCATGACGGCAGCCCCACCAACAAGCACGGGCGGGGGCTTGACTTTGGCAGCGAAGCGCTCGAATGGCAAGGGGATGTGCTCGCTCGGTGGTGAGGAGGGAGTGGGCGTTCCTGGTGAGCTTGTCCGGGGGAGTCTTATCTACTGTACTGTACTGCAAGGGTGGCAAAAGCTTGATGGGCCTGAAACATACGGTGCAGTGGCACGGAGGGGCTTGGGCACTTCGGGCTTAGCGACAAATGTTACGCTACGCCATATGCCCCCCTGCCTGCCCCCTCCTCCTGCGCGCCTGCGTGCCGGCGTGCGAGCCTGCTGGCTTGGCCTAGCGCTTGCGGTGCCCAGAGCTTGCAACTTTTCGGATGTTAAAGGGCGGTAAAGCGGGGGCTAGCTGCACGCGAGTGCGGGCGGATCACTATAGACAGAGTCAAGCGCGCAGGCGGCCCCTGCAAGCCCATTCGTCCGAAGCCTCGGAGGCGACGAGGCGCGCTCGGCGATGGTCTGGCCACCTGCCAGGCGAGCCGCGAGGGGGGAGCGAGCGAGCCCCTTGGGCCTAATGTGCCTAATCCACTTGCACTATAATTGCGCTGATCACTTTCGCAAGCAACCAAAAACACGCCCGAAAAGGTTGTGCCCCCTGCTCCCCCTCACGAAAAGAGCCCGCAATTTCGGTGCAAATGAGTCGGTCGGGATGGATGAAGAATTGGCCATCCATCCATCCATCCATCCATCGACCTGCTCCATCTCCTTTTCTTGATCCCGAAAGTCGTCATTCGCACCCTCCTTCGCCGACGCTCGCCCGTCCCCCGAGCCCGCTTACTTTCCCCCAAGCGGGAGGGGGGGGAGGGGGGGGGGGGGGTGTTCTTTATGGAAGGGTGGCTGCAGTGCCACAGGGTCATGCTCGTGGGGGTGGACGAAATCCGACGCTGGGCGCCAGGGCCGGCGCGACGCCGATAAGGTCAACCGGTCGCAGGCGCGAATAATGACGCAAGCCCGTCGCTGCGGTCACGGCATCTGCCGCGGGAAGGGGGCGAGGGGCGAGGGGCGAGCGCATTGCATTCCGTTGGGGCGTCGTTTGTGCGAGAAACCGAAGGCCTGCCCACGTACCAGCAACAGATCGGGGCTCGCGAGGTTCGAGGGGCTGCGAAAAGCGCTCATCATTAATGTGCGATCGAACCAGTTTCTGATCGCGCAGGAATGAGTGCATCGTTCGTCGCAAAGCGAAAGCTGTTTCGCCTAACTTTGGCTTAATACGCGTGCCCCAAGTCTTCAAGCCCCTTGTGCGACATGGTCCGAGTGCGAGTGCGAGCGAGCGCGACGCAACCGACCAAACAACGAACTCATCCATGCAATGCAGGTACTCGTAGGGGTAGCTCGAAATTTAATCCGGTTTACAAATCTTTTCTCGCCAGGCCCGGCTCGCATTTACAGCGGGAGGTCGTATCTCATGCCTCTCATTTAAGTTTCACACGATCGCATGCGCTTCTTGGCTCCGGCCATTCCCCGGTGCGCCTACCTACAAACCCCCCCGTCGTCAAATGGCGTCTACCCAGCCCTTCTGCCTCACACGCACAGCTCCTGCCCTGAGCACCACGATTCTGCAGGGCACTGCGTCATTCTCGCTGCTGCTCGCTGCGCCGTGACGGTCGTTTTCCGACCCTCTCCAGCCCTGATCGTGCCCGAGCTCTGTGGCTTCGCGGCCTCTGTAGTCGTACGAGCCTGCCTCGGTGCTGCTCGCTGTGAGAATGTTGCCATGTTCGATCGGACCTCGGACGGCGTCCCACTTCACCTGGCACACGACGACGAGGATTGGAGTCACGTTTGGACATGGCCGGGAGCCAGTCCAGCGCCAGTCTACCATCGCTCCTCGCCCGTCTTGAAACAAGAATCAAATCGCAAGGCGGCGCAGATTTTACTGACCTGCGCTGTGAGTTTGGAGGATAGTGACAGGATCACGTCTCCTTCTGCTGCGTCGATTGAGACCTGAGCAGAGGGAGGCATCCATTAGAATAAAGATCGGCAGCCGGCCGAGAGAAGATCCAGTGCACTGACTCAAAGCTTACGATCATTTCAGACATGGTCTACGAGCTGCGTTTGGTTCACAAGGCATCACTAAATTTGGGGCTGCGGAAAGAGCGGGTAAGTGGAAGCATTCTTCACTAAGATTGATCTGCCACGGGCTGCTTGGCCATCTTACTTCTTCAGCGTGGTCGTTCAGATGAATCTCCACCGTGCCCCCATGAGAAACAAAGGCTCCATTCCTGCCAGCGATGAGATTCACTTTTTCAGGAAACTCAACGCAAACACTGCTCCGTCTCAGGCATGCACGCCTCTGATCAGAGAGATCTAAATATCCTGGTGTGTGATCATACGTTGAACCAAAGAAATCCACCAGAACAAGTCATTTGAATCTCTCTGTTGGTAACATGCCTACCCGTCAAACCCACTTATGGATATAGATCCACCATCGCTTGAAATCTGCATCACAGTTGAGATACATCAATTGATCACCTCCTGTCAAATAGCCCGATTCAAGTAAGTAACTAAGAAACGCGAAGTCAATATATCCTCCGATATCAGTGACGATCTGTGCTGAATCACAATGCTAGCCATTAGAGTGAAATGTCGTTATTTTGTTTGGAGACCTTGAGGTCGTCCCTGAGGTTTTAAGCCCAATGTTAGCCCGCGCCAAAACTTCAATAAGACAACATCGAGCGTTCAGTTTAGAAAATACTGGATCCCTGAGAGACGACAGTTGATGTCCACCACATGCTAGTTTACAGTTACAAGCGCTCCTTTGATGGATAAATTATGTCTTGGTTAGGGTCTGAATCTGAAATGACTAGATGCCTACTGCAGAAGGTGCATCTGATGGAGCACAATAAAAAGCAGCAGTAGGAAACCAAACCGTTGGCAACGACAGATGCTAGCAATCTTCACATGTACATGAGAGATGATTTCGGTGTTAACCTTCCAACATTTTCTCTTCCATCACGGCCTAGTATCACAACAAGAAGATATAGATGGTATCGGATCGTCATTAGAAACTTCAGAATTCCTCTTATGTGCTATGTATTTTTGTGCTCATAGTATTTTCTTCAAGACAGAAGTGAAGACATTATTTGTGATGGAAGTAGGACTATGGGAAGAGTACATGTTCCCCGTAGTGTAGGGAGTACGCACATTAGCCAAGTGTTGTGCTTGAATCTGCCTGGCCTCCAGAGAACCCCCTCTTGACTGCACAGTAACATCTGCCCCAAAAACGATCACCACCTTACTTTTAACATACATTGAAGATAGAGAGATGGACGGTTGCGACTGAGTTCCTTCAACATGGAAGTGTCCAAATTCAAACTGCACCATGAGTAACGTGCCTGCCACAGCCTGAGAACCATAGAACCAAAAGAACTGAGATGTGCTATTGTACCAGTTAACTGGTACCCAGTTAGTACTGAAAGATATGCTTTTACTGCTAAAAAACATGATGGAAGCCACTCTTCAGCATAATCTTGACCCCAAAAATTGACTGCAAAATAACATCTGCCCCAAAAACGATCACCACCTTAATTCTTATCTACATTAAAGATAGAGAGATGGAAGGTTCCTGACTGAGTTCCTTCAACATGGACGTAACAAAATTCAAACTGCACCATGAGTAACGTGGCTACAACAGCCTGAGGACCATAGTGACCCACTTAGTACTGACAGATATGTTTTGCTGCAAAAACCATGATGGAAGTCACTCTTGAGCAAAATCTTGGTCCCAAAAACTGACCTACCGTTTCCGTAAACTGTTCCGAGAACAATTTCTCCACCACCGCTATCCAATCTGATGACGTCCCCCTGGAGTTTGTTCACAAAAAGCTTGCCACCAGCGGTATATAGAGAGGAACTCGCCTGTAACTGTAAAAGTTAAAAAGAACAACCTTAGAGCTACTTCTTACTTGAGTCGACCCAAGTGTCCATACAAGCCTGAGAATTGACCCACTCGTGGCATAAGGTCTATAGGGCACCTGCCTTGCGTCCAATGTATTCATTGCAGATTTTCAAAAGGTTCCATCCTCGAAGCTCTCGAAAAGCACTAACAAGTGCTTTCAAGATTTTGTATCAAGCAACTCGCATATTGCAAAAGAGTAAAACTTCGGCCTCTAAACTTTACCAGCTTGGCTTGAAAGTCACCACCGTGAGATTCGACATGAGCCTCACCTCCCTTTACTTCACCTATCAGATGAGCAAGAGGTGAAGACAGCGGTCAGTAGATTACATGAAGTCGGTAAAGAAGATACACTAAGACGTGTGTTTTTCCAAATATTGATTCAGATATGACATGACTGAAGAAATGAATTTGATGATTTGGTACGAAGGTGACGTGACTACCCATAGACATCTATGGAGACCGTACCTAGCTTTACATCTCCACCCGACGTTGTAACTCGAAGAGTTCCTTCTCTCTACATCAGATGAAAAGGCTGTGAAAACCAACGCGGTGAATCTTGAGTCTTAAAAATCAGAAAATGTTTCCGCGAATGGCACCCGATGTTTCAAGAACCACATTAGCTCCTCAACAACATGAGACTTTTTCCTGCTCTAGCACTTCAATTAGTAAGTCATGGTGCTTTACATCTGTTCAGACTTGGGCATATTGTGCGAGTTCGAGCTAATTCAAAATCAGAAGAACCAAGCAAAGGCGATACATTCTTTATGAATGAGTGTAAAGAAGGCTGCGAACCACGCTTTGTACGTAAACATGGCCTTCGCTGGTCTGGATATCGAGGCTGCACCACCTAGCTGGGATGTTTGCATTAAGCTCCAAAAGGTTTTGAAGCTGAGTCTTATTTTGATCCAAAGTTTTGCTCTTCTCAAAGGCTGCACATATGACAGGTTTGACAATTACTCTTTAAGTAATGTGGAACTGACAAGGTATAATCTTATACATGATTGAGTATAAATCCCAACATAGACCTTAACCTTTTCCAAAAAAAACCACGAATATAAGCCAGAATTTTTGTAAATTTTGTATCATAAGTACTACATGCATAGATCAGGATGTTATCTCTACTGCACAAAACTATACCAAGCAGATTTGTTGTCAAAAGCTAGGTATGCGACAGCCCATCCACGACATTGTCTGAAAGAAAAAAAAGGAAAAGAACATATATAAATATTCAGGTCTTTCAAGAATCTCACACACTCAGTTCAGTAAATGAGTGAAAGTCAAAGAGTTCCATTCTTCAATTACATCTTTGCATCCACGACATACTCTGAAAGCAAATCTACAAGAAGAACACATCTACTTATTCAGGTGCTCCGACTTACACACTCTGTTTTGTGAATGAGTAAATGTCATGGATTTCCATTCTGCAACATTAGATGTGTAATCTTTCCAAATCGGCTGCACAAGCATAGAAAGCTTGTTAACGGATACATGGTAAGTCAGATTAAGAGAGAATCAAGAATGAACACCGCAAATAACAGATTGTACTGCAGGAGAAAACACGTCGTCAATGACAAAGACGCAGCAGAGACATAATGCATACCTGAATTGATATTTCCTCCAAGTTATCTCCTGCGGTGGCACTGACACCAGCTGCTGTACCGGACAAATCTATCTAGTCATCCAGTGCAGGTCATAAGAAGATATAGAAGACGAGCTTAAGGATTTAATTCCTGTTTCGGAAATCCCCTCGAATATTCTCTAGTATCTCATCGAGAAGTTCAATCTTATATGTGAACATGTTTGCTACATGAAGGAACAAACTTTCCCTGGTAAATACCATTACTCCTAATCAGAGAGGACTGGGAACCCGAAGGTCTGGAGAGGCGCCTTGTCAAGGAGGCGCAAACTTAAAACTATCATTCATTAAGTTAATTCTTTCAGAGTCGTGTCATCTGTTGCCCAGGAGATATTTCAAAAAGAAAAACCGGAAGGACGAAGTTTCTAGCCTTGCTAAGAGTGAACAGCAGCTCACTAAAAGGAGCTGGGTATAGTACTTGCCTTCAACATGGCCCCAACCTGAACGCCCAGTCGCTCAGGAGAGTTCGAGGGGTCCAAGGTTCGTAAACCTGCACTGGTACTGAGATACGACACTCCAGCATATATGTTTCCCCGGCGCTGAACTTGCTTTCTCATCTCTGACGTTCTCAAGTCGTACTTGTTTATGTGTACGCCGCTGCCAACGACAGTAGCCTCAATTTTCGCAAAGTTAGGACCCGGTTCTGATGCGAAGAAATTGGCACACAATGCCAAGCTGTGCCTCCATTTTAAAACTCCTCCACACCCTGGACCCTGTGTGGCAAGAGCAAGAATGTAAATTCGTGACAAGAAGTAAATAGTAGGCAGTAGCTGAAACTCCATCAAACGAGTCATTCAGAGGCAAATCTTAGACGTCCTGCACCAGTGAGCATAACTCTCAGCAGACCATCTGGGCAGAATGTGAACCACACGCGCAAGTTCCCTGAAGGAGGAGCCAATTCCAGATATCTCGCCCCTTGTCACAACGTACAGCCATGCAGGGAGCTAACGCTCGCTCAGGTACAGAACAGTTGGGTCGGCACGGGAAGTAGTCTGCCATCTCATCCCAGACTCTGAAAAGTGTCCCGAGGTTTAGACAAGATCGAACTTCAGGCCGAGAGGAATTTGCAGGAACACTGCCAGCAATTTGGTGTGAAGGCCATACTGTACGGGACACAAGGCAGCTGTTGCAGATGGAAGAATTGTGAGAGTAACGAAAGAAACAAGCTGTGCCAACACCTCCGCCATTGCAACGTGACGATTTTGGAACGAGAGAGTGCAGACGACAATCCCGAATCGTAGCTGATTGCAACTCGTGAAGGGCTTCAGGTCCTCAAAAATGAAGAGAGGACCGTGCGGGAACACAATACATGTGACATCCAGAGATTGAGGAGAAGAGAGGAGAGGAGAGGAGAGGAGAGACCTACCTCAGAGGCCCTCCGCATCATCAATCTGATCATCTTCGCGGGCAATCACGTAGCAGCTTCTGGGCGTTTCAAGAACTCGACGGCGCCTTCCGCCAAGAACGAAATCATGCACTGGAAGGTCACGTACGGAGTGATGCACAAAGCGTAATCGCAACAGCAACAGCAACAGTTGTGTGAGAAGAAAATCGGAAACGAAGAGGAGCTCCTTCCAAAATTCTATCTCGATACAAGCTCAACAGTCTTCAGGCGTTTCACCCGCGGGACCCCGCACCATAATTGCAAATTCGCATACCATCCGAGGACAGGATTCTACGGAAGATGCAGAAACCCTCCAAGAAGAAGCTCCAGTCGAACGAAGAAGGCCAGGTTCAAGATTTAGGGAGCTCTAGTCCCGAGACCACGCGTGCTTCTGCCTCGACCAGTAGCACGAGTGCCAGCATAAACCTTTTCAGCTTCAGTCTTCAAGAAAGTAGCGTAATTTCGGCAATGGGCATCGCGTCACATGCTCACGTTTCTGGATTATACGACGTAGGACAAGTTCATCGTGATCACGGAAGTGTTCGACCGGGAAGATGAAATCTAACCTTTCATGCATGGAACTAGAAACGTGAGAGACTAACCACACACAGATAACACACACTCACTGCAGTCAATCGCCGTCGAGTCCTCGAATTGGCTGCACTATCCTGTCCACAGTACATGCTCGCCAACCCTCGGACTTCTGAGACAAACGTACCGAATGTTTCCAAGACATGGTTTCTACCTTTGCAACACTCGCAGCTCGGCAGCCAAAACCCTTTCGCTTTAACATGGTGCTTATTTTTGTCTGTGTTTGTGTCTTTACGCAGAAGAACAAGATTGAATGCTATCTCGGTCTTTGACTTTTGTTCGTGATCCGCTTCATTAATTTTCAATAAGCCTCTGGGCTCTTTCTTGCATAGTTTAGTAAATGCATAGAGCACTGGAATGTGTGTTGGACGGGTTTAAAGTTGCACTTTTGTACAAGAAACTTCTTTTACTGCCATGCGTTCAGATTCATTCATTATAGCAGCAGCTTCGTTCTTGTGAGGACTTGACACCTGTTGCGGGCTTCTGAACTGTACTCGGTAGGTCACTGGACGGGGACCGGGTCGCCATACTTTACCTTACAGTCGCGTTTCATGAGGTGATGCTGGATCGGCTCCCGTTGACGGCAAGGACGGCGAACCCCAGAGCCTGGGCCCGAGGTAGTTATGTCTGGCAGGTCCCCACTTCCCTAATGACGAGCGTAATGACTGCGGTAATGCCCTGATCAGCGGTCAGCCCCGCCGCAGACCCGACCATGACGATGATGATCGGAAGCGCGTGAATGTGCTATCAACTTTCCGTGGATGTTAGAGGAGTGATTCGAGATATCGTTGCCGATGCGGTCTGCCTGGCAGTACTGACAAGTGAATTCCGGGCGGGAAATCGGGGGCTTTGGGAACTTCTGTACGACGGCAGAAAAGATTCAGAGGACGTGGTTGCGAAAGTTATCTCGACGATCGATCCCTCGTGCGCTTGCGTTCGGTATTCGTCGTTTCCTCGAGGCAGTTTACTGCTGCTCGCTCGCTTGGATCTGGACCCTAATCAAGATGGAGTTACGGGCACGGGAGTTCGGGAGCGGACTGCAAGCATGGCTGCGGGTGCCCAAGATTTGAGCGAAAATCGCTTCGAATTCCGAAACGCATCCTCGACACAAACACCTGCTCCGCGGGAGCGAAGAATCACCTCGCTGGAGGCACATTGTACAGCTGCGGCGTCGATTCTGACGACAGGGCGCGGAATCTGGGGCATTTCTCGTATTCTTGTGCACGCTACCTTGTGAAAACCCCTTCCCGTGCCGATCGAGCATCGCCCTGATTGCCGACCTCCCTCGCCGTGCATCAATCGGCCAACTGCGGGCGAGCGCCATGGCCGAAGCGACCCCGACCCCGAGCCCAACCCCAGCCCCAACCCCAAGCCCGGCCCCGGCCACACCGACGGCGGGAGATGCGCCACCACCCCCCGCGCCGCTGGAGAGGAGGGCAAGCGCAGAGCGCAAGCCCAGCGCTACCGCTGCCGCCGAGGCGCAAGCGAGTGCCGCGGGGGACTCGTCGTCGCCAGAGCGGAAGCCGAGCACTGCCGCTGCCGCGGCCGCGGAGGCCAAGCCCCCCGGGGACGTCGAGCAGCCGCCGGCGGATGGAGCTCCTGCGACGCCGCCCGCTGGCGAAGCCCCAGCCCCAGCCGCAGCCGCGGGGGCTCCCGAAGATGCGAGCGCGGCGGCGGGCCCCTCGTCGCCCGCGACGCCTCTGCCGGAAAAGCCCGCGGAGCCCGTCAACTTGCAGTGGGACTACAGCGTGCCGCTGCCGAACTGCTACTTCCTGCCGACGCTGCTGGACTTGTGCGTGCCGGTGCTGGCCAAGAACTTCGCCAAGTTTCCCGGCTTCGGCGGCATTCCGGCGAGCGAGCGCCTGCGCGTCGTCAAAGAAATCCCCCTCGATCTTCCCTTGAAATTGGCCGCCGATGTCAGCCTCGCCATCCCTCTTCCACTCTTCCCTCTCCCTTGATTCCCTTTGTTTCGTCGGAGCTCCGGTTGATCTCGTTGGGGACGATGGATTTTGGACTGCGATCGGTGACGGGCGCTTCGCTGAGATCTGCTTTCTTCCTCTCAGATGATTCCCGAGGAAGCGTACTGGAAGAGGCGAGTGCAAATAAGTTGGCGCAATTGCGACACCGCGGCGCATGGTCGCTCTTGGAAGCAGATGTTCTTCGAGCGCAATCTGCAAGACGCGTTGGAAAGGTGCTTTCCAGACTTGACGAAGTAGTGACTGTGATCACCGAGTGTCGCGGTTGAATTCCAACACATTGGATTTAATCCGTGGTCCTTTCTCTCGAACCTGTAGATATGATGCGACCGTGGAAAAGGAACAGGACTTGGTCGAGCTGATGAGAATTAGTGCTCCGTATGTCCACAATCTCGACCTCTGTCAGCTGCCTTCCCATTTCGATTTCCGACTCATGTTCTACATCCTCCAAAGGTACTTTGCCTGCCTCATATTCCGCAAAGTAAAAGCCGCACGGCAGAGTCCGAGTCGAAAAGCTTAAAGTTGGATAAATTGTTCTCTTTGGACCCCAGTAACTGCCCTCGGGCCAGAGGCCTTTGCTTATTGCACATGGAGGTGGAACCGGGAATCACGTGAGATCTTGTCGTCGGGCTTGATGGTGTGAAGTACAACTTCAATTGACCTACAGCGCCCCTTGTACAATTTTCAGACAATTTTCAGACACCAGTACAGAACAGGATTTTATCTGTCATCTGTCATCACGCCAGGTTTTAGGAAGGAAGACTTAAATGGGTGACGAACCTCCATGTGATGAAAGTTGATCTTTAGCAGCTGGATCGTTTTACTAGGCCCTGCAGATATTTTGGTCGACTAGAAGTCAAGATGCACACGTTGGCCGCAGGGACCTGACAGGAATAAGGGTGAATTACGGGATACTGGAGACCCCTGGAGGAGCCAAGTTTGATTGGTCCAAGTGGGGCATGAAGGTTTCCGATTGTCGCTCTTTATCAGCAGCTCTGACAATCACTGCCACGTTAACGACACTGAACCTTTCCGGAAACCGTCTCGATGCCGAGAAGGTATGTATCTGTAGGAGCTGATGTAGGAAGAGGTCGATGACCCTAGTGTAGATTGTTCATGAAGCCCATTTGAGCTCACCATGAGTTACTTACTGGTCTCTGCGGTAAGCTGCAGTTTAGTGGCCTCACTGCTCCAGCCCTCAACATCCTGTCCCACCAGAAGTTCCAAGCCCTTCTATCAATATGCTAACCGCTCTTGTGACTTGGACAGCCGATCATCTGTTCGCGTCCAAGAACAAATGAAAACAAAACAGAACAAAACGCAACGGAACACAAAGGGCAAAAATTTTAGACAAAAGAGTGATTTCGAAATGTAGCACATCTGGTACCAACCTACCATAAAAACGAACCAAGATGACAGCGACAGACGAAATAATACTACATGAAGCCAAGTATATTCGAAACAGAGCAAGGAGCTGAATGAAGCCTGTCAATGGCAGCTGTCAACTGATGAGGTATACACAAGGAGTCCTAAATCTTGTCTCGTATTTTACCTCTGAAATTGTTCTGAGAAGGAAGATGGGGATAATTGCGAAAGGCTTGATGGCGAACCCGACAGTCGTAGACCTGGACCTGTCCTGCAACATTCTATTCGATGAAGGCGTGAAACAAGTGGCTGACGTTTTGAAACACGAGAACTCGGTACTGGGAATGTTAAATCTATCCAGCAACCACATCACAGCTGAAGGTGAAACAGCAACAAGTCCTTGTCATTTTCTGGCGTGCCTTGCATTATACTCACTCGACTCGCTGGATCCTGTCACTGCCGTAGGCCTTGCTACTTTGATGTCTGATATCCATCATGCGGATTCTAAGTGTTCTCACTCAGCTTGCAGGATGTCGATTTTTAGCCGAGTGTGAAGATGTCAACAGGTCCCTAGTTTCGATTAACTTGACCGCGAATCTATTTGGTGACCTCGGTGGCAAACGCATCCTTGATTGGGCCAACAATAACCCTGTTATACAGGTACGAATGGACAGAGACCTGTGACAACATCTAGCAAGCGAAAAAGGGGCGCTGTGGCCTCGGACAAGGCTACCGCTTAATTTCAACATCAATGAAACAGGGGCTAAAGGATTAAAACGTCTAAAATTGGAAATCCGTCTAATTACCAATCAAAAGTTGTGTTAAGACACATCGTGGTACAGATGTACATTGCACATTTCCTGTATGGAGACGGTGATGACCAGCTTGCACGGATCAGGTTAACATAGTGCACGTCCACGTCCACGTCCGCATTAACACTGAATATTTTCCTCGTCACTCTGAACTCGGGAAAACTCAAAACTCGCAGAGGATCAGTATGGAGAGCTGTGATATCGGCGAAGACAGCGTCCAGTCGTTCACTAGACTCATGCATAACGTTCACTCTGAACTCACGGCGCTCAACATTTCAGGCAACCGTGCAATCGGAGTAACTGGGGGTGAAACTGTTCTCACTGGCTTGGTATACTGAATAAACTCCAACCCCTTTCAGTCACATGGTTGACTCATTGTCTTCTGACTCGAATGCAACAGTACATGCTTCCTTGGGATCTACTGAGACGAGTTCCAGCGAGTAGACCAAAAAAGAAACGGATGCAAAGTGTTTCTAAGAGCAGAGTCTGAGCTTTCTCTTAGATTGTCTAAGAATCTCAAATTTAGTTGCTCTGAAGCATAAGTAATTATTCAGGAGGCAGGGAAGAAGATGAAAGAGCTGTGGATAGTCAACTGCGACTGTGGAGAAGACCTTGAAACAAGGATACGTAACTTTTTGGTGGAAAGGAAGTTTGGCCGGACTTGCATTCATCATCCATGGGAACCTCCTGGTCATGAAGAGGAAGCAAAGCCTGTGGCGGAAGCAAAACCACCTGATGGACAGGAAGAGCAGGACAAGAAAGCCGCAGAGGAAGAGAGGGACAAAAAAGCCGAAGAGGAAGAGAAGGACAAGGAAGACGAAGAAACAGATTCTTCCGAGTCGAAAGGAGATGGAGAGGAGAAAGAAGACGAAGAAGACTCTCAAGAGCCGAAGAAAGACGAACCACCGGTGGAAGAAGCAGGGTCATCAGAGACGGCAGCAGAACTTGAGGACCACGATGATGACAACATCCTTCATGTTGGTCATGCCCACAATGAAGCCTGCACTCTGGAATGTTCTCGGATGGTGGGTATGCCCTCATTAAAACCACCTCCAGTACCAGTGGTATACCCAGAGACAGCGTTTGCAGCACGAGACGCACAGGCAGCTATTAAGAAAATAGAAGACGCCAAGCCATATTGGGGCTTAGAGGCGATGAAAGATATGAAAGAAAAAAACAAGTAAGCCCGCAACTTGATCGGAGCCAGAGACATGCGAGATAGAAGTACAAGAATTGTCGGAATATGTAACGACTGATGCTTGATGTATATTCTTCAGTACGCTTAATCCTCCACACTTTTAAATCATGAGACCCAGCACCTTGGCAATGATCAGCTAATTGTCATTCCTGGTCCTGGCCGTCTGAGTCTTCCTGATCTTGCAAAGTACAAACGATGTCAACGCTCTTGAGGAACTTTGACATGTAAACTCCGGTTCATCTCAACAACCAATAAAAAGGACTGAACCATCGCCAACTATCCTATGAAATTCAATCAAACCGTGAGAACCACTGGCCTCAACTTGGATATAACCTTTAGTTACATTGAGAGGCAAAGGATATTACATCACTGATCAGAACACTGATTACAATCAACTCTAGAAAACTCGAGCAAATGCTCAGAATTACCAACCATAACTCAATGCAGCTAAACACCTCTTTCATCGTGATAATCTGAAGATGAGTTAGAAGATGTGAAACTTTTTATTCAACTGAAAGGTATATCCTTTCAGCATATTCACTATACAATCTTAAGCACGAGCACGTACCAGATATTTTACTTCCATAATAATAAGGACCTTTACTGGTGCAGAGAAGACGTGCAGAACAAACAATGTTTCGATTGTACCACGTAAGCCTCATAGACTAGTGCTGCGGATATTCAGGATTCAGGCAAGTGACCTTAGGGTTCAAATTTAAGAGAGCAGTTATCTATTTTCCGTGAGTTGATCTTTTATTCCCTCGGTAATATATGAGATACATGGATTTGAAAGGAACCGGACAGATTTCTCTCCTCACTTGCACGCGAACAGCGAGTTATCAGATCCATTCCGCTGCTGAACTGCTTGCACTGTTGACGCCACAAGAGGAGGCTTTTAAAATATATATATCTACACATGAAGGCACTAGAGGTTTCCAATACGAGATGACGTACCCATAACCTCGGGAGGGTAAGTATATTAATCACCAGCATCAACAGACCAAGTTGAAGCCGAAGAGTTTGATGAGCTGCCCGCTGTACATAGCAAGCAATGACCGAATTCGATCAGAAGGGTTACTTTGAAAACTTGGTGAAGGAGGAACGAAGAATTGCAAATCGCCCATATTTTACCAGTATACGCAAAAAAGTTTCAAGTTATGGTCCGAATAGACGCTAATGATTTCATGATCTTTACGAACTAGGATATTCTCCATACAACAGTCATACCTTCTCGAGTATTTCATCATGGCTACTCCTCCGTCCTCACAGTTCGAAGGTCTTCGTTCGCTTGTCTTGTGGAAAAGCTTGATATCCTGTCATGTTTCTTTTCGTATCTCTTATTCCAATTATCGACGACAACAACTGCGCAGGCATCTCCCCATATATTTACAGCAGTCCGTGTCATACCCAGAAACCAGTCCACAGCATACAGCACAGCCACATCTTCGATGTATTCAGGGTATCCCAATGCCTGGATTCGATGCAGAAATTAAACTTCTATGAGCAGCCGTAGTAACTACACAAACAAATTTGAGCAAAAGATTCAACTAGACGACGCCTATGTGAAATGTTAGAATCATTGTACTTACGACTCATGTTTATAGCTGTCGAACCGTCTATGACATCACGAAAAGCATAAATCTCATAAAAACAACTATCCAACCTGTAAGACAGTAATCATAGTTACTAGCGCGCTGTTTGGTACAGATGCAGCTCCAATGGCTGCCAGGGTTGCTGTGATGATAACGACTAATATGTTTCCTGCTGTCATACTCACTCCATGGGCCTGAAAAATCACTTCCATCCTTTCAGCAACAAGCTTGCCATTCTGTACTAACAAGTACAATTGTCGTTTGTTAATATAATCGAAACTACAAATTTACTCAAAAAATAGATTGCTGGGAGTAAAAGAATGATGTAGGTGTAACTTCTCTTAAAAGTCTCAATTGTTATTGTTAGTACCTGTCATTCGTAACTTGATTTAAAAAGTCTCACGAACACTCAGCCGGAAGAAGTGCAGTTATTTCGATTTGAAATAAGCTTCCCGATGGACCAAAAGAAACAGTAACTAGCTAATTTCAAATCGAAATAGCTGCACTATTTCCGGCTGAGTGTTCGTGAGTTCGGGATGACAGGTACTAACAATAACAAGTAGTTCGGATACGTTACTTACTTTGGAATGTGGATTTGCGCTAAGACAGGAGCTGAATTTGGATAGTACCTGGAGGATAAATATGACTGTAACGGCTTCATACAAAGCTGCTCCATCCCGGTTAATATTGGTCCCAAGTGGAATCACAAATTGAACGATCCCGGGGGCACACCCATGATCCTCGGCATTTTTCATGGTCACAGGCATCGTTGCTGCACTAGAGGCCGTTCCGACGCCCATGACAAGAGCTGGAAAGAAAGCCCTGGAGTACAAGATTTGCTATGTAAGTCTCATAGGTATTTAAGAAATTTCACCACATGCGGAGTTTACATAGACTTAAATGATCTGAAAAATGGGAACTTGGGATGACGGCAGACGCAAAGGTCAGTACTCTAGGCAAAGTAAACCCTTGTCCGCTCACGTAGACCGAGAGACCTACTAGTAGAGCTAAACGAACACGCGAAGTCTACAACGGAAGATAAGAGCGAGATGTGGATGTAAGACTGGTTCCTCAACGATTCGAGAAGGATAGATACAGACACAAAACAATCTTGAGCGGTGACATATGACTAAGAGCACTCGCAGATGAGCGGGATATGTCACCAAGATCGTAACAGAAGAAACTTGAAATCAATATAATGAGAGTATACTGTACTCATATGTATTTGAATGTTGAAGACCCTGTGAACTGGGCGGTGCTAGTTGGGATTTCCCGGCATATTCAGAGCGTCAAATAGAAGGCAAAGCCTTCTTCAGCCAAGAAGATCAAATTATTGCTAAGATATTTAGCAAAAAATTGTATATATTGCAATATTTAGCAACAAAAACATGTGTATTTGCATCAAAAGCGCAACGAGGAATTCGGCTCACCAGCGAAAACCAAAACTAGTATCCACAAACTCTACCGCCAGACCATTTCATGGACTAAATCACATCACAACAGTTGACCAACGCTGTCTAATGGGCGGTCCGAACGTAGCAATCCACATTTACTTCATGCTTTAGAAACTAAAATCCACGTTTCCATATCGAAAGTTTCAATGGAAACGTGGATTTGACGCCAAGCTTTACTGTTGAGTTTAATCTTACATAAACATGATTGCTCTAATGTGAGCCATTTGACATGTGACGACTGTGTTATTTACCTGAAAGCTTTCACCGGATTTTGGCCTGACAAGATGATCAATGTTGTTGGTAAAACGACCAACGAGTGTACAAAGAAGCCTGCCAGTACTGTACCCACGTAAAGTCCCAAAGCTTTGAGCAGGCCGCCGAGATTACAAGCGTTGAGTATTGTGCTAGCAATGAGAGATGCCACTCCGACTGGTGTGAAGGCAATGACAGCCAGAATCTGGACAAGCAGTCAGCGCCTTAATGACCATTTTCTTCGAGTGCCAGCAAACCACTAGGAGATCAGGCGCGATCCCGAGATGTGTAGGAGCAAAATCTTAACGAAATACTGCACTGAATCTTAACAGCGAGTACTAAAGCTCGAAACGAAAAGGGCTTTGACCCCTTGCTGATCATGGCGCAAACATTTAATAAAAAACTCAACTTGATTGGTGCAGTAGGTTTCTAAAGCCGTAATATCATGATCGGAAGCTTGAGCCATCAGCCCAACTCAAAGTTCTGCAATTACATGCAGACGCACATCCTGGCACTTCGTAGGGTGGACTCATAGAATGCTTCGTTCTCTACATATCTGAAGTGAGTATTCGTGGATTCTATGCTGCGTCCCTTATGTCTCGATACGAGTATCGGCCAGGATTTTCACCTACTGAAGTACATGAAGGTGCAGTAAGTAGTAGCAAGACCATATGACGAATCACTTACAATCTTCAGAATGACCTTGTTGGATATCTCAATGAACCTGATGAATGGTTCCGCCTCCTCACCTGAATCGAAATTAGAAACAAAGTATTCACAAGACGAATCCAACTTCTATTTCTGATCATGTGGACGTCCTTGGTTCAGATAGATATAAATAGAGAGCTCTAGCTTAGATGCTTGTAAGTGAGCTAATACAGTTCACATGAAATCCATGCTCCAAAACTAGCTTGATCACCTAAAAGAGCCAAGGACAGGCAAAAAAACTATCACCTAACATGAAGGAAAGAGTCAAAGTCTAACAAAATATAGATATCAGCAATTTATTTTGTACATATGCTTAAAAGTTGTACCCAGTGTGCTGAGAGCTGAAGCAAAAACAACAGAGAACATGATGATTCCCAGAAAATTGGCTTCTGCTGCTGCAGACACGATGTTTGTAGGGATAACATCTCGTCCAATATTCAGAAGAGATTCCAAAACGGTTCTGTCGGACTTTGAAACTCCGCTGCGACAGAACACAATCTAAGTGACAAAAGAATCAATCATAAGGTCCTGCTACACGTGAAGCACATGCAGTCTTTTACACAGAGAACTTACTCTGGACCTACGTTCCTGCCGTATTATTCAAGTGTCTAGAAGCGTTGCATTTAAGTTACAGGGACAGGTCAGACCCTTACTCGGTAGTAGTATTCTTCCCGCCGCAGGAATGAGCGCCATCAACAGTAGAGCTAAAAGTTGTCTCGTTACCAGGTCTAATCAACTCAACCAAGGCAATCCCAACGCCCACAGCCAGTAGCATCGACAGAATGTAGTAGCTCAAAGACCATCTGATTATGCGCGCAATTCTGGATAAACAGAAACTTTATAAAAAATGTTACACTATAAAGCATCACTTAAGAGAGAAGCTGAAACATGTCAGCACGTCAGATGCATTCGTATTTTAGTATCCAGCTGTCACCTACAGATAACTAGCAACATCATTTTTACCATACTGTGTGCAAGTTCCTGGCCAGGTACCGAAATAGATCTTAAACCAATCAAGCATAGCTAGAGAATCAGGGAGGGCAAGGTTTTTATGTAATCAGTACTGACCCGCCAGAATTGTGTCTTAAATTGAGGACACCGGTCATTAAGGCAAATACAATCAGGGGCAAGATGAGCTCCTGCAGAGCCCGTATCATCAATTCTCCCGGGTAACCTGGCACCGAACATAATCTTCGGACGTTAAAACATGGACCTCACAGCGAATAGTCCCTACGTTGCTGTACTTGAAAAATATATCAAGTATATTGTGTAGTTATGTAGAGCTAATTTCACTGTGCACCTGGTTCCGATGATAAAAGTTGTCCTTGACTAGTCTGTAAGGTTATAAAACCTGGAGTAGGAGTACAAGTACGTCACATTTTCAAGACGAAGCTCTGAAATACTGTCACTAACCTATAAGATCAATCACGACCGTAGAAACATTTGCTCGATAAAGCCCCAGACCGACAGCTATCCCGACTCCAACTCCTAAAAGAGTCCAGAAAATCAGCAAATCCATCCGAAGCCAATTGTCCTTCCATTTCTGGAAAACCGTCCTCTCCTTGCCTCCTGCTACCACCAACAATAAGAAATCACAAAGCGTGTGAGTCAAGGTCTAAAAGGATCAATTTAAGTAAAGAAATACTGAGTTCATGGTGTGCGGCTTAGCATCGGCTTTCATATAAAGAGCGTGTATCGTATCAAAGAAATACGGGCGATGTACAGATCTTCAACCACAAATTCAGTTTCCATCCGCTGGTACTACCCAAAATAAAGGACCTGTCCCTTCATGCTTTAAAAATTCAAGCTTCGACTGGTCAAATTGCCACTTGCTATCTTCTCCGACGGAATGCCACTTTTTCCCCATAATGTTTACGAAGAAAAATGAGGAGAAATTGACGAAAGAAAAGCCCGTCACCTGCAGGAAGGGGAGAGTAGTAGACAGTAGCTCCACTCGGTACGTGGGGTGCATTCTCCAACATGCTGCCGGTATCAAAAACACATCGATTACAAAGCAAATCACGGTCTCAGATCCGGTTACGAAACAACTGCTGAAAGTCTAGTTCCTTCTCAGCTGTCAATCACCTACCCCGACTCTCTACTCGGCAAAGGCGCGCTTACTGCAACCTCCGCACTCGATTCAACGACACAGATTCCGCGCTCGAAATTCCCCGGACCCATACCCGGCGACGCCGCTGCGCTGTCCCTGGCCATTACAAGAACTCTAATCCAGAGCCGCGATCGACGAGGCTCCGAACATGGCTCGGAAATGCTCGTCTAATCGAGCAAGCTCTCGACATTCGTGCGGGAGAGCTCATGTCTTGGAGGCGCGACCACCACTCACAGCTCTTCCCACGAGAGAGGAGCGTGCTGACGCAGGCGGAGGTGGCACTGCCGCAAGCCCTGACGGGAGGCGATCGGGCAGAGCAAGAATTCTCTTTCGCACTTTTCGCGAGGAATCGGGACCAAGCAGAAGCAGCAGAATCAGACGACACGACACGAGACGCAGCAGAGAGCAAATCTCACCTCACGGCTCTGAATCCCGATTGCTGAAGTCTGGGCAGAATCCAGAATCCGCAAACAACAAACCGGTCGCTGCCATATAGGCCCATTGGGGCCTATATGGCAGCGAGCGGGCGATCCTTGTCCGCTGGGCCCCGCTCCTTATTTCCGGCCCTCCAAGAGGCGCTCTCTCCTCTGAGACTCAGCGCCGGCGGGCGCGTGCTGGAGGGTGGGCCCCACCGGAATCCTTTAACTATCTTCGAAAATCGAGGGTTCACACGAACCGAATCACTCGATGGAGTCTTTCCCATCTTTTTACGTTCGCCATCCATTTGCTCCCTGTTCCATACTCTGAATTTAATGCTTTTCATATTTCAACTATTCCACTATTTTTCCCTTTTGTTTTAGGAGTGTCGTCAATGATTTGTGTAGCCATAAAACTAGATCAGATTACTTAGGATTTGTTAACTTTTGTACTATTATAAAAAAAAATGTATTCGAAAAATATGTCCCTCTTGCTCTTCGCATATAATATTCTTCTCAAGGTTTGCTATTTTCTGTGGTGGGTGGGCTTGAGGGAATATTCCATTTTGAAAGGGTTTTCCTGAAAATCTAAAATGTGGGAGATGATGATTCTTTTATTGTCCATTATTTAGCTCAGGTTTGTTAATTGTCGAACAAGAGTATCGCGAAGCGGATTAGGATGGATCTTGCGCAGTTCTTCCGTCTGAAGGTTGTGATGCTGATCAGGAGAATTTTGGTTTTCTTGGAGTTATCAGCTCCTGGGAGATTCTGGGGGATGACATTTCTTCTAATGAAGTTCATTCCGAATATAATAATTTAGGGGTTGTAGTACAGTAGAAGCTTAAAGAGAAGTACTTGCCTTAGATGGAGCTGGTTCGAGTTTACTCTTCTTCTGTTTCCAGGATGCCAGATACAAAATTAATGTTTTGATTGTTATTTGTAATAATCTGAAACTATATTAGGATACTTGCAAGAAAAGATACAAAATAAATATAAGATGGGTCAAATTGTTTTGATTTACATTATTGCAAATCTGGGCTGTTAACCTCACCATTGTCCAAACATATACATGGAGTCTTACACGCGCATCATGATGTACACGTATAAATTGGGCGTACTACTTTCTGTTCGGACACGCTATCATACACGTAAACGATGTGCTCATATGCACTAGTCACTACTCGATATACTAGAATTTACCATAGCACATACAAAATTAAAATTATGTCGAAAATAAGCTCCAACAAATCATCAGAAATTATTACCAATTTAAGCATCGTATTCATTAGTCTACACATGAAGAGTAAGCTCTTGAAATAACCTGTAAAGAACAACACATGTTTGAAGTTGAAAATGAACCGTTTAAAATATTTTGTTTGGCATAAACATGAATTATAGAACAAGAAAATATTAAAGTTGCGAGTTCTTCTTTTTTAATTTAAGTGTATGATATGAGATTCTTCAGAAAAATACATTTGGATTAGGGTACAAAATTATTTAAAACAATACAATTAGATCACAATAACTTGTTTTCGTCTACTTGACACATATTACGTATTTGATTAATAAATAAGTTTAATTATTCCTCATAGTACGTAGATAGATTCAATATGTAGAGATAGAGTTTTCCCATCATCATACAATCATTTGATCATTAAAATATCACTATTAAACTAGATTACAGAAAGTTAAACATATGTATTTGATCCAGATTTAATTTGTTGTTGATGACACACAATGTCACAAACGTTTGCACCTTGTAAATCAGCAGGGTGACACACAATGTCACCATGCTGATTACAAATCTACATCATAGCAACTCACTCCAAATTGGTTAATACTCAAAACAGTACACATTCAAAACTGAATCTTGAAATGTGTTATAATGAATTTCTATCATCTAGTAACTTAGATTGAGCGTTGAAAAACTTTACCGACTATTGTAATTTTATTCCTAAGAGATGTTGTGAACTTTAATTATCATTCAGATTGAAACTGTATACTAAATTGATCATAGAAATTTATATATGCATGCTATTCACAATTTAAATCTTATTTATACTTAGCTAAATAAGATTTCTGGAATATACTTTGAAAATCTCGATGTTTTCTTGACTCACTTAAACAATGGAGTAACACATTAGTTTTCTACGTTCATCAATTTATTCTGATGACAGATATTTTAGTTTTAATATCTTTTTCCAAAGATGTACAGGATAAAATAAAAAAAAGTAAAATGTACTGTATTGAATATTGGTGGATATCCAAGAATCCTTCGGCTTTTTCTACTGTTATATCCGCATAATTGGCCATATTGACTATATGTACAATTATGTGGCTATCATTGTTCATTGTTCATTCGTTACTGAATCGGATAGTGCACTCTATTGTTTTCACACATTGTTTAGACTTTAGGCTGCATCTTTTATTGCTATAACATCTGAAATGCAGATTCCATAAATACTTTCTTTGTTTACAAGTGTTGCGGCTTCATGTAGAACTCTATTAAGAATGAGACACTATATGATAAAAAATTTGCATCATATCCAGGAAGTAAAGGTAAATAATTTCAGTAGATAACATGAAACTAGATACTTACTGTATTAAATTGAGAATCAGCCTGTCTCATGATCATAATTATCAAACATATTGATATATTCAAAAAATGAATAAAAATAGTGTTCTGTTTTTAAAAATATATATCACATAGTGCGATACTCTGACATAGTTTCTACTGTTTGAGCATACTGTGTACCAAAAGTTTGATTCCACCCAACTTCTCACCCATCCTACAGACTGAACAATCAGCCCCTTTGCAAATGTATTTATTTTCCATCTATCGTTATAGTGAACAAACGAATTGAAGGATTGTTCCATTACACTTGAACCGTGAAAATCTTTCCGAAAAAACCCAACCAACAATCGCTGTCTAGAAAAACACTATGTACAATCAAACAATAATTTGACCTACATGTTTATTGATTACAAACATGACTGATTTTACCCTTACCCAGTCATGATTGGAGGTACATGACTTCGAACGCTCATTGCTTCTTGTGTAAGTATCTAGAACTGCTAAGTTACATTGGACATTTGGTGTATTTCATACCGAACATAGAGCTCTCTGGGCGGGACCATAGCTGCCGCAGGTGTAGCCTACTGTGCTTTTTTCATCGTACCATGAAGCCACGAGAAGACCCGGACCTCGTTCGCCGGCCAATCTCTCGTAATCAGGCACAGGCACAAGTACTGAGCTGTGCAGAACCCCCAAGCGCCGGTGCACATTCTCCGCGGGAGGAATCTTCAGAATATCCACGGCCGTTTCACAATTTACTCGTCACGTCACATCTCGTCTTCCTAGCTCCGTGCACTTTCTCCATCTGCTTCTCGCTTCGCCGGCACCGCTTCGTACAAACCATAACATTTCACACGTAGTATACAGCGTTTCACGTCCTCTAGTTTCGTACTTCTTCCAAAGCAGGTGCCAAATTTCGAAATTGCTCGTCAGCATGAATTAATGTTACCAGGAGATTGACTTCCTTGCAATCGGCCTACTGCTTCTAGTCCAGGATCGATTTCTCGGGTACAGATATTTACTTATCACTTTCAGTTGAATTAATGTGATTTGACACTACGTGATACATTCGTGGTCACATCCTGGCAGGCAATTTGACAAAAATGTAATAGATTTGTTCTTGTTAACGTCGTGACTCTTCTTTTGAGAAAATGCAGGTTCCCGCGCCGAGTCCGCGACCGACTCAAGAGCATGTTCAAAAGAATGGTGGCGGTTGGCTCTCATCTCCCTCGAGATGTCACCGCCGGGCAATGTTCCTCGGTGCCTTAATGGTGGCATCACCCTCGACTGAACGGAATAGTGTTCGTGATGGTGAAGGACGATGGTAAACTGCACCACTGCGATAGGGAAAGCTAACGGACGGTATGATGCTCTGCCCAGGAACTAGATACTGTCCTAACGGATTGCGCGCCCAGGACAGGCATGACAGACAGTCATGGGAATATGTATCAAAGCAGGAATTCAGTATTCAGAAGAAAGGGGGTTTGGAGACCGTAATCGGAAATATTTCGACCAATCAACATCAACCACTTCGAGATAGGGTAGACCTGCACCTACATACTTCTCCAGGTAATCCCCGGGCAATCTGCCAGCTAGAACTTCCGCTGTTGCTCTGGCATGACGGCAGTGAGCAAGGGAGAGAGACCTGCAGGTGAAAGAGAGCCTGAGCCAAGAGCCTGCCTGCCTGCTCACTGACAGAATATCTGAGGAAGTGGCAGAAGCAGCAGGGCAGACGTCGGCAAAGTCTTGAAAGTGTGCGGACTGGACTGGCTGCTGTGGAGCCCGTTAGAAATTTGCCAATTTTAATCCGACCGACCCTTCTCAAAAAACAGTACTGTAAACCGTCCGCCCACTCGAACGTGGAAACAAGACACAAGTAACATCACCTCTCAACGCGTGAGCTGGAAATTCACCATCCACACAAAAATGACCTCATAAACCGGGAAGACAACCCCGCACAACGTTTCAAATATACTCTAAGCCACACACGTAGGGCAGTCAGCACTCTTTCTCTTTCTCTGTTACTCCCCAAGCACACACATCATATCCGACTCACTCATCGGTATCGCCAAAAAAACTAGCCGGGAGATGGGTGAAGAAAAGACCGGGGAAAAGCTCGAGATTAGCTTGGATACAGCAAAACACTTTTCTTCACCAATTACGCAAGCTCTTCGGCTTCTCTTGATGGGAGCTCTTCGACAAATCTGAAGAGGATCCTTGACAAGAAAGACATAGAGCATAGATGTCCAAAACAATTCAGGAAGCATCAGAAAGACAGAACCGATCTCCAGTTCAGAAGAGAAGATGGAAAGAGTGTACTGTACGTTAAATTGTGACAGATTTCCCATTGCAGCTACTTTTCATTGACAGTGTGCAATCGCAGTACAATGGGCAGACAGAATCGTCTTATGAATCGATTAACAATCGAGCTTGCAACTAGCAATATCGTTTGGAAGGCAAATGTGTTCTAACTGTAACTTTCCAACAAATCCTTGGCGCCTCATGTAAAAAGAGAAGCTAGGGTGGAAGATTAATCATCCGCTTAATCAAGGAGGTTTACTCACCGAGTGCTTTCTCGATTTCCTTGGTCACAACCTCGGGAGCTTTCTCGGCATGGAGTGTTGCCACTAATCCCTTACGCTCGTAGTAGTTGATTACTGGAGAGGTTTGCTTGTGGAAAGCTTCGAGCCTGCTTTTCAAGACAGTGGCATTGTCGTCTTTTCGCTGAATCAATTTCTCGCCTGTAATGTCATCAATGCCCGGCCTTTTCGGGGGTGCAAACTTAGTGTGATATGATCTGCCGCTGGCGGGATGGATCCACCTTCCGGTGATGCGCTCTTCCAAAATGGAGTCTGCAATTTTGAAATTGAGTACCTTATCCAGCTTCTCTCCCCTCTTCGCCAGCATCTCATCCAACTTCTGGGCTTGCCCTACAGTGCGTGGAAATCCATCCAGGATAAATCCCTTCGAGCAAGCCGGACGGTGGAGGGCTTCGTCTATAATGCCGACCACCAGATCATCCGTCACAAGCTCTCCTTTATCCATGGCCTGCTTAGCCATTACTCCCAAGGGAGTTTGGGCAGCCACAGCAGCCCTGAGCATGTCTCCCGTTGCGAGATGGCAAAGACAATGCTGTTCTTTTATTACGGGCGATTGTGTGCCCTTTCCACATCCAGGCGGTCCAATAAGTATAACACGCTTCTCCGGTTTCGTGGCGCATCTCATTCGCCTCATCATTTCGTTCATCAACGCCTCATTGGAAACATCTTCCAAGTTTGCGGAAGCCATTTCCAAACACTTCAGTCACGATGTCGGAGCAGTCACAAAGCGCCGGACAATCTTCAGCCTAGTTGACACGTCCCGCACAATTTTTCCTGCAATCCCACGACGGTGCCGACTCGATGAGCTCAACCATTCGAAAATTCCGGTCATTTCAGGCTACCATGCTACACTCGAAAAGACGATACAGGGGCGACATCAGATCTCCGCAGAGGTGAGCCCGACGTGACCGACCTACTCGACAGAAAAAGGACGAGCACGACGCGAGATGCAGACTACTACGAGCACAGAGGCTCAGCTCACGGACGAACGACCCGACCCTGCGCACTGCATTGGACTTGACACGATACCCGTGGCCCGGCCACTTACCGATGCACCTCAACCTAATAGAAAAGGTGCGCAAGTCGAGCTGATCGATCAAGCTACCCTGTCCAACAAATCCATCACTGGGTGAAAGCAGATCGATGCTCTCAAATAAAAGCCTCGGGCGTGTCAGCGACAACCCCGCTGTAGGGCTGCTGATCTTGCCGGATCTGGATGAGAGCTCCCGACGGGACTGCTAATGATACTCGATCGTCGTTTACCCACTCCAGGCCCAAAACCTGCTCCTCGCTCACATGTGCGTTTGAAAACTCCGATGGCCTGGACAGAAAAGCTCCATCCGGTTGTGTTAGGGTTCACGCTTCCGCCCACGGACGTCGGTCGCTCGGTCGTCGGTCGGCAGCGCAGCAGAGGGTCAATTGCTCGATAAAAGCGCGGTCTTAAGCGCCTCCATCGACCGATGTTATCGCGATGATTTGTCCGCAATCGCCAACTTCGCGCTCCTGAGTTGCGAGCGCGAGCCTCGCTTGCCACCTGCCGGGTGGCAGCCGCAGCCGCTCCCTACCGTGGTCGCCCTGCCCCCGACGCAGTCCGTGACGTGGCGGCCCGAGTTGCTGGCGCGTGCTCGTTGTCCGAGGAGTAGTTGCTCTTGCCCACAAGGCGCCGGGGCTCGTCTTCGTACATGGACTCTAACAAAACAAATTGCTCCTGGCGCAGTCTTATCTGCAGCACAGTGTATTTTCTTCTGATTGACTCCGATACCCACCGGTCCAACCACTTCGGACTTTTCGTGACATGGTTGACATATTATTTGCCGGTTCAGCTGAGTTGCGTCCACGTCCAGTCGAAGCTTCTAGTCTTCTTCTTCACCTAGATCTTCTATTTTTTGGTGTGAAATAGCTTGCCTTATTTCAAATAAGGCAATGAAGCGAGTGAGTAAAATAGCCCAAAAGTTGGGATGACCCGAAGGGGTATTGTGGGGCTATCTCCTTGGGAAGTATGTATATATATGACTGCACTGTACCTATAACAGAGGTCTATATAGCGATTGAGCACGAGAACGATCACATGCATAATGATCTCTTAAGGATTCCACGAGCAAGCGCTCTTTGTGAGCCAATTGATACACATGTGGTCTGATAAAAAATAACACAACGCGACAAAGATATAGATAACTCGTGTTTCATGGTAAAGTGACATGGTGTATCACTTTTGGGCATGACTATCCTCAGAGCGATAGACACTCCAGCATTTTGTTCAACACTAATACATACAACTCCGAGGATAAAAGAGCAAATATTATATCTCTCTTCATACCTCAATACCTAAAGAAACTTACTATTGTTGCTCAGCCCATGTAAGACAATTTATATCCAAGAGTATGCGTCGTGCACATACTTATCGCATCACAACATATGGTGCTGTCACATCATAATACACAGAGCGTGATCCTTTTGACTTCGAAAATTACCCACGAAGAAACTACACTCAAACTATCTCATCAAAGAGAGATGGCTTTCGAAACAACTCCAACTTGTGCTGCAAATATCCAAATACCTGTTCTGCCTACTCTCCATGATAGTCACACTTACATTCGAGATTGACCTCTCTTACGAAACCTTATTAAAACTCTATCTTTGAACCCTATCTCTTATCATCCACGATTGGCCCTATCAAACAATTCTAATGTGAAAGTTCTAACTCCATGATAAGTGATATTATCTTATGCTCATCTGCCTTATCACATATGTTGTTACAAGAAACGACATATGGATGATGTATCCACAAGTTTCACACAGTAATTTCATCCTTCTGAACCATTTATAGGTTAATATCAGACAAAGTTGACAGCAATGCATATTAGTGCTCTTCCAAGTGAGGTTAAGACCACAAACAGCAATTATTCCTTTCATTGCATCTCAGGTGGTATAACATTCATGCAAGTAATGAAGATGCATATGCCTGGATCAAACGACGGTCCGGCCAAGGTTAAACAGATGGTGGGGAAATATATGATGCATGTGGAGTAAGATACCAAACATGCACCTTTGTTGACTGGTTTAGTTAGAAGAAAACTGGTCAAAAAGATCGATAAGAAAAGACTTTCATCACTTTCGAATATATCCAATTCTCCAATGGAAAGAGTGACAGGTTATTTTAGTGCAAAATATTCCAAGATATTACCTTCACTTTGATAAGAGAGCTTAGTTTTACCTTTCCAAGACAGACTTTGAGTTTCCAGCAAATTAAGGCTTTGTTTGTAGAGTTCATCATCGACCTAGATATATATATAAAAACTGCGGAGACATAAGGAAAAAAGGACAAGATGAAAAACTCATGGAAAAAAGTACAAGGGAAATATAAGAATAAAATTCAAATCAAGGGCAGAAGCAAGCGCACAGTTGAATCGCTCTCACAATAAGAAGTATCTCTCGTATAACACCTCTAATCTCCTTTTAAAACATGTAGTTAATAGAAAATATAATAAGCATTGGCATTTCAGAGCGAGAGAGGGGGTCCATTACGTGTGGAAAATAGAGCAAATCCCAGGTCCTTGACCTACTTTTCAAAACGTACTACAATATCATACATTCTTGACTTTTCTAGAGACACCAAATTAGACACAAGAAAAAGTAACGGGAATAAAATATTTCTTCATGTCAAACATTATACCCGTGTAATACCTATTCTATGTATCTGTAAAAAAATTGCATACTAATTATACATACAATAGAGCATACTAATGTCTTCTCACAGTAGTCCAAGACTTCGAGACATGGAGTTCTGCGTTCCGAAACTGGAGCGTGAATTTTTTAGTGAAATGGGGCTGCAAGGCTGAATATCAGTCCCGCAGATGTGTGCCCATGAAACTTCATTGAGGTGGACTTTCTTGTTATGCGTTGAGTTACAATAGAAGCGGAGAGTTGGAAATAGACGCTTCTTAAACGCGTCTGTACGTTGACCCTCGAACTCAATACGAGGACGTCTGGAACTCTTCTAGAATTCAACAAGACAATAGAAGAGCAATAGAAGAGCTGACCTCGTGACTATTACTCGTTGAAGAGGTCTTTATTCCTTTCTTCTGTAGCTGAAGAGTCCCATGCGGTAAATACATCTCTCGCAGAGGTTAGAGCAACACATATGAGCACACAAGGTGCCATAGGACTCCTCTCCACACCCTGGGCGAATGCGTCGAAGCACAGTCCTTGGGTGCCTGAGAAGTCAATCCGTCTTCTTTTCGCCGTGTCGCCTATCGAGAAGAGTCGCAACATGGCCCATTCTTTGCCAAATTGATTCCTCAAGGCCAAAGACCTTGTGCAGTCTGAACTCTGCGGACTTTGGTTCCGTGGGTCGACGACCTTGTGCAGTTCGAAAAGCCTCGTGCTTGTAGATCGTCAGAAAAGTTACTCCGAAGTTGCCATGCTGAAAAGGACGAGGGGCGGATTAATCTTCAGCATGAATATATTTGAGATTGTTACTCTTCTTTCCTACCATTCATCCCTCAAACTGTCTTCGCAGATTCAAAACAAGCCGGTTACGGTCTATCGTCGACTCGGAATGATTGTACGGGGTATGGCCAGATTTCCCCCAAAGGGTCCAAAGAAGGCTCGTGTTGGCGTTTAAGGTAAGAAAACTCTCCGACGGCAGCTCTTAATACAATATCACCAGATTGGTACAGCCGATACATCCCCGAAGAATACATCATTTTGTTCAATCTCAAAATACAACTTCTCGGCTTTGTATCCTGGTTCCGGAACATGACGGAAATCAAAGTTGAAACACCCTCTTCTTACTAACACAATTTCTTATATATTCATACTTTTTTTTTATCAATATTCAAAAACTGTGTTACAAGAACAGTCAAAATTAATGATATAAATTTATCGACATGCTTCTGTGACTTACCTGTGTTCTTTTCTACAAATTTTAACAATCTAGAAAAATAAAATATGTTTTATAACTTTCTCATCATTATTTACAAGTTGATGGTATAAGTTAATTCATATTTAGTCCAATCAAGTCAAGATAACTAGGCTTGAAAATACAAGAAATAATCTCTTTTATTTTAGGGCTTCGTCTTATTTATCTTAGTCTTTATGTATTTATCTCAGATCTTACAATCCTTCATGTTTAAATTTTATCTTAGTTCATCCTTTAGCTTGATAATATCAAAAAAAAATTTGAAATGCAATAAGCATTTCGTCAATGTAATGATAATGAAACTTAAAATTATGCAATAATTGTAAGCATAGTTATGCATATATCTTCGTTGCAAATTTTTGTCAAATTATCAATTACTTGTCAAGATTTCATAGTTTTTACTTTAATCCATATAAGGCATTAACAAACTTGCAGATCATTTTGGCCGTACCCTTTTTAACATAACCCTCCTTTTCTTGATCGATACAAAATTCAGAAAATGATTATGATGAAATATCTTCATAACATTGATCTGATATGGAAAGAAATGATTAGATTAAATCTCCAATGCTCAAAATAATATATTGCCATAATGTTACAAAATTAGAACAACAAATGCACAGATAGAGTGAATATATTTGTAATATACTTCATTTCTTTGTCCATATAATTTAGAATATGGTCTTGACTTGAATATCTTTTAAAGTAGGTCATTTCTAGTTGCTCCATCCATATTAGATAATACACGTACAATCTATCATTTGCAAAAGTATATCAATCGATATGTTTGTACTGTTTTTCTAGGCTTGACTCTATTTACTTCTACATGTATGCATTTTAGTGTCAATTCTTGTTACGATGAGAATGAATCATTTAAGATATGTCCTCATTCTTTGTAATTAATGTGTTATCTAAACCATCATTGTGAGTATAATTTGTGCCAATATTTGGTTTGAAAAAATCTAAGTATTATAATTATGAAAACACAACATTCAAATGCTGTTTTCTCTTGTTGATTTTATTAATCTTTGAATTATTCACAATTGAAGATATAATGTCATTAAACTAAGTTGATTCATTTTGTCTTAAATTTTTTATTTTCAAGATTTTTAACTTAGGTTATTTATCGTACAGCTGAACAGTGCTTTTCACATCTGTTTTTACAATGTTTTAAAATCATTGTACATCACTTCCATCAATTTCATATATTCTACATGATCGAAACAACTGTAGATATAGTAGGTTGTGATGTTTTTCTCCACATGATACTATTGGAATGTAGTCTTTGTTTTTATAAAGTTTCTTTTTTAGCTTGACATTATTTGTTTCATCATTTTTTTATTAGATTCTCGTTTTTCTTAACAGTTTCAATTTATCAGTGATCGTCTCCATTATTCTCACGATTCATATTTCAAAATTCTATCCAAGTTGCTTTGATTGAAAATAAAACTTGAATATTGAATTCATGCGGTCAATGTTATACAAAACAAAAAAGGTGCAGAAATATATGGAATAATAATGGCTATATGCAAGTATAAGTTTGAGTGGCATGAATCCCCTATTCGTGAGGTTTTACAAACTTCTCATACTTTGTTCTTTTTAAAACTTCGTATGAAGTTTTTTATTCATACTTTCTTCAAATAAAATTTGAGTGAATATATTGTAGATTTTTTTTTATCTATTAGACTTAATATTATCTTGATTTTTCTTTAGAATTCTAAATTATTTATAGTTTTAGTTAGATAGCATAATATACACGATGAATGTTTCACTTTTAATGCTAACTTTTTGTTAACACAAATTCGATGCTTATAGAGTTTATGATTTTGCGAAAAAATAATAATAAATAAATATCAAATATAGAATAGTGATCTGAGTTATATAAAGATTGAAACAATCGATCACTTTGGAAACTTCAAGGTTATACACATACATGAAAATAAACAGCAAAATTTTAATAAATGATTTTTTGCAATGCAAATTATAAATGACGGAAGGAGTAAGATCGTCAATATTTTGATAAATAATCGTGAAGATAAATTGCTTCAACAGTATGAAAAAGAACTGTATATCATTACTTTGTTTCATTCAGAATTTGAATAGATAAATATAAATAATGTATGTATTGATAACACAATACTAGATAGATACTCTTACTCATATGCCATATCATCCGCGTGCTATAAAAACACCGGAATAAAATATGCAATGAATTGAACCTACATTATCTTGTTATACAAATCCAAAGATTGATCATTGTTAAAATTTCCATATATTATCAAAAACATAGGAAAAGATTGAAATTTTTCATTAATGGTAATTGTGTAAATTGTTTCGGAAAGTAGAAGTTTATCCACTGCTTACAACCATTATACTAACAACCAATATACTCCGAAGGTATATCGCTTTATCAGTTAGAAACTAGAGCTTAATTTGCAACTAGAAATGTTGCCAATAAATAATTATTGGATTCATTTCGTGATTTATAGAGTAGACGCGTGTGCACCAATATGCGAATTTCCTAAACTCGACTGAAGAGAAATGGAGGGCTTGGATAAAGTGATATTCGGCCACGCGGCCGTCACAGTGCCAACGACAACCATCGTCTCGTGCACTCATAGTTAACAAGTGTTGAGACAGGAAACATAAGTAAAATCACTAACAAACCTATACTACAAACCTCCAATTATAAGAGAGTGATCTTGCATTAGTTTCTACAAGATAGTACTAAAATTTGTTAAATTGAATCCGTTTATCTTTCAAGGTTGATATACACTTCTAAAAGACCATGAAATCAAAAGATTCCTTGTGCTAGAAATACCATAGTCATTCAATTTGTCTTGACATCACTCACCGTAGTATTTGTCAACAACACTCGAAGGTTGTGCGATAATTTATTTTTACTTACTTCCATTGAACACGCGACATGTACTTCAAACAAATCACTACAAATGTGAGTCCTTTCCTGAACTGTCATTCAAGGATGTCGCCATAAGATTAAAACCAAATAGCCCTACTAACTCGATCCTCTTGCAAGAAAATCTGGAGCTTCTGGTCTCGTCTACAACAAAAATCACTTGCAGGCCTATTAAGCACGAGGACCAGTGAAGGACTGACAAGATGAAAACCGAATGAGAATGTACAGGTAGCCACGAGACGGGCACTTCGCAGCATCTCTTCAATAACTCCGGCATGATTCTCAAGGATTTAGTATTGCACTGAGCTGGATCAGCAGGAAAGTATATGCATTACAGTATGATGTGGTAACACTGAAAGAACTCAAGCTCTGACAGACAACCAACCAGCTGCGTGTCTCCAGCTAGCTACATCTAAAGCCTATTTCTGAGTACATAATCAACAGGAGGCAATGCGCTAAATGTATGCAATCTGTACCACGTAAAATCTGTACCACGTGACTGTGACACCATAGAACAGGCTACTGACAAACAAACCACAGTGGCTTTGGAGGTGTATCCAAAAGTCGACCGACCAATATCATACAGACACCCCCTCTCCTCTTTATTTCTATCTCCAAGTAGGAAACTCAGGATTCCAGTCATCAATATTCAAAGAATGAGTCATGGTGTGCAACAAAAATAAGCAGCATCCAATGACAAGACCCATTATGAACGATCCAACGGTCCTTTGAATCGTATAAGGGTTTTAAAAGGGGTGATGGAGTGCGTAAGGAGGTTCTCATGGATCGCCCACCCGTCGCAGTTCAACAGCAGTGTTGAGATGGTATACCATAGTGTCAATTTTTGAGTGAATCCAAAAACTAAACCTCCAAAAGGCGCACTTTGTCTGTTACAACGGGCCTTGGTCCCGTCCACAGTTCGTTCAATTCACTTCTGGTCCATGCTGCAAACGCCACTGGTCCCAGAGTAGAAGGAACCTACCAGAAAACAGAAATTCACGTGAGTGACAATGTATTAATGAGCTTCGTCTACCTGCCTCTTGTTCCTTCTCACAAATGCTACAGAACTTTATGCAGCTTCATTCAAGGAACATGCATAATGCAACAGAGGTTGAGGTCAGCAGGTCAATGATCACTTTCGCTCAGGTCCCAGCTCCAACGAGATCTAGTCAATTCAAAAGTAGCGTGTCTATGTCACAATATGCACAAGACTTGTGCCATTCCCACAATACCGGAGAACAATTTTCTTATTGGTATATGACTTAACTAGCTTTACTGCGACTGCAACGTGTCTCTTAACATGAACAGAGACAATTAAATTACTGCAAGAGTAGTCAAGACACTCGAGATACTAGATCTGGTCATCCGCCAAGTTCGAGGGACTCGGTTTAAATTGACTTGGAAAACATGGGCCATACTCAAGTTACTTCACATACGGGATGTCTTCAGACTGCTGGAGGGATTCTAATTTACCCGATGGCCATCCACAACTCCAAGCCGGAGATAGCAATCGCTACTCACGAGATTAAACTACACATTAGGGTGTCAGCCAACTGCACAACCCTTCCACTTTTTTAAAAGTATCTAAAGATGGTGAAAGTAGCTGCGTCTTCCACTTATTGTAAGTTTAAAAACCGTAATGTGGTAGTAGTACATGGTGGGTTATTTGCGCAGGCGACGATTCATAAGAGTATGCGTAAAGATTACAAGGTGCTTGAAAAGAGCACGGGCTCTCAGTAGATACATGTGTTTCTTGGTTTAAGTTGACCTGGATTTATGAGTTTAAAAAACTTATGCTTCATGTAACAGAAGGTAGCACAAAAAACTCAAGCAAAAGGGCTGTCGACATTTACCAGGTAGAGCAGAGCAGGCTGAGGAGACCGGGTGAGAACACCTGCCGCTAACGCTGCAATTAGACCAGCTGCATACCCACTCGCAGCGTACCAAATGTACTTCGAGCCATTCACCTTCGGGAAAGCCAGCTCCATATCGAAGTCCCTGCCTTTCCTATGGTCGAAGCAAAGGACCAGGGCGAGCAACATTCCAGGAATCGCCTGCTCAGCATTTCGTCCAGCACAACCACACGAGACTTGAGTGAGAGAGCAGGTTTGGACAACGACGAAGAGATTGGAAATTCTATCATCGACCCTTTCCTTGTCTTGCATGCTCGCTCTTCTCCATTCTGCTGAACATGATTATCGGAACCTGGTACTGTGTTCGATCGACAACAGTAAAGACCCACAGCGTTCTTCCCCCATACGATATGCCAGAAATTCAAGTTCTAAAGATGCCTAAAAGCGAGCGCTCGTCTACAAAATGCATTCGGCTTTGGGAAAGGCCTGAAACTGCAATCATTCACCAATCCGGACACTTCACATAGAGTCTTTAGTAGGCTTAGTAGAATGCTCGTAGGATGAGCAGTGGATATATGTACCCGTTCACACCCAACGGCAGCATGTCAAAACAACTGTGTCCAAAACAGGAGGAGGTAAAGACTAACCATGTCTCCAAGACCTAGCATCATAAATTCTCCGTTGGGCCCCCCAGGCTCCCCCAGCAAATGTCTAGGGAAGAGCAGCTTCACAGGAAGATCGAGTTTCTTGGTGATGGACTTGAGACCTGGAAGATTCAGGGAATTGGCAACCGTGTGCATAGGGTTTGACGCCTGTTGTGTGGCCACCGACACCATCACATTGGCCCCGAAGAAGCGCTCCGAGAAGAACACCCAAAATATATCATACACGAACAGACAGGCCAGTAAAAGAGCACAAATCTTGATGTTGGGAAGCCGCACATGGCTTACAAAGGCTATGCATATGGAGATGCCGAGAATGTTGTTCAGAACCCAGTGGCCAGAAATGAGCCAAGCTGCCACCATCCCCACACTGACCACGACGAGCATTCCTTGAGTGCGGGACAGGGGTCCACAACAGCATCGGCTGACGATCGGGTTCAAAGGGGACACTTTGGAATTCATGTAGGTGGCATAAGGGGCAAGACAGAAGGCCAGAGATGAAGCGGATGCAATGGCTGTGAAGGCCGTGACGAGTTGAGATAGAGAAGAAAAGAGATAGAACATGAGTAATAAACTGCACGAACTAGCAATCGGAATCATTAGCGCTTGAGAGGTGTCCAGTGTGATGGATGCTTCTGAAAAGTCACGGTGACGATCAGCCTCTTTCTCATAGTTCAAAGCACGCTGTGCGGATGCTAGCACCACGAAAACCGCTGTAGCTATCAGCACTAAGGATGATGGCTCCAGCAAATTTATCAACGTCCAAAGGGGCTCCATTCCTGTTCCTTTCTATGCCACTACTCCACAATCCTCCTGCCAACTCGATTCCCCGACCCAATTTCAAATTCGATTTCAGCTTCACCCGGCGGTTGCTCAAATCTCTCTTCCGATCTTTACTTCCCATCCAGAACTGGCTTCCAGCAAAACCCCACCATTGGCAACAAACCCCGTTCTGTTGCTCAATCTGCAAAACCTAATTGTTCGTTATTGATTGAATGCAACGCTTGGAGATAAAAATGCTGCTGCTGATGTTCTTGTTGCTGTTGTGATGCTTCCTCGACTCCTTTTTGATTCCAAAGGCACGCACATCAAGGCAATTTGCTCCCATACTCGCTTCACGCCAAGTTCTCTACCACTTTCTCATCTCCCGCGTTTGCACGTCACTGCGCGAGCTGGATATACGATGTGGCGATAATGCAGTCGCAAATTCCGTGCTTTGGAGGCAATCAACACAAGTCGATGCTTTAAATTGACCGCGAGCAGTCGGATGGGTACTTCGCGGCCGAAGTGCGCACAATTGTCCGGGCCAACCGGCAAAGGTAGGGCAGTTGGTCAGTTTCTCGTCGAATTACACTCCTCAGTTTCCCCCAACGCGAGAATTGATTATCATGAAAAATCTACGTAAGAATGATAAGCTTTGCGAGCGAGCCAAGGCCACCTCAATGAGCACGAGTCGAACCCCCTGCCCGCCTGCCAATTTTGTATTTCTCATTCAAGTCCGCTGCTGACCGAAGCGAACAAGGGAAGGAGTGAGCGAATGATTCCCACCCGGCGGACACCACGAGCAAATGCAGAAATCAGGCTGTCGGCATCCGTCTGCCTGCTGTGCTGCAATTCGCGGAGCATGGAGACGACCCTAATTCAAGCCCGTCACGCTCTTTGTATGGCATACGCAGGACCGCCCGCGCTTATTCCACTCGCTCCAATCACATCGGCCCCGCCCCGCCCAATTCCAAATACATACGTACATGCAAAGAAGCCTCGCGATCTAGCACATTTGGGTCTCTGCCTCTTGTCCTGCCCCTCTCTTTGCTCCCTCGGCGGAAGGAGTCAAAGGAGAGAAGCGAGATAGAGAACAAGATGAACAAGAACCCGTACTCTATCCCACCTTCCACAACAACCAGAAGAACAGGACGAGTACGCAGACGGCTGCGGCTTTTTTCTTGCACACCACCAGGCAGGCAGGCATCCCGACCGACAGTCAGTCACAGCGAGCAATGGGCACGGGCATTGGCGTTGTCAGCAGCAGCAGCACGTGATTGTCCTTATCTCCTGCCCTAAGCATGCTCTGCGTTGCATTAAGCTCACTTCTTCCTTCATTCCACCCGTTTCTAGGAACTCCGACACCGGTCACTCTCGAAAGCTCGTGATTCTCTGTCCTAGGATACAAGGCTCTATTCCAAGTGCTCCGGCACGCCATGTGCGTCTGACCCATCGTCCTCACGCGTTGGGAGAGCTTGTAAGCTTAGAAACAAGAGTTTATCATGTGAGGAGCGAAGGTTAAGCGTTTGTGGCTGATGGACGCCAGAAGAATGCAGCACTGACTTTGGTGATATGTTTTTCGTGAACAAAACATTTGTGACAGTTTGAACCATGTGAGTTTGCGATGGTGGCTGCTGAGCAAGACACGAAGTGCAAATCTTGGTGTGCAGACAGGACTGAAGAATGTTCCGTTTCGTAGTTCGTATGTTGTGACAATGTCGATCGATACACGTGGACTGGCCGTGGATCTTAACTACTAACACCTTCAAATCGTCGTGAGTTCAAAGCACAGCCTTGTCTAGTGTCGCAATATGATTGTAGAAGTTTACACGCTCAGCCAGGTCTCTAGCCGTCAGGCTATGACGAGCACATACTAATGAGCACAGTTCACACGCTCGTGATCTAGCCAGACTTGCAACTTGAACAGAAGCAGCCCTTCCAGAGCCTGTCTGAGGCTTGCACATGAGAGCTTTGGCAATTTGCTAATGAATGTAAGCTAAGTTCTATAATTTACTGGTACAGTGAGATGTAGCGTTACACATCCCTCCAACAACGTAGCAATCATCACCCTTAAGGGAATTCCAGTCCCAGGCGCGTCCGTTGCAACACCTGTTCCACATTATCTAGAAGACGTATTTGGATGTCGTCGGTTCCGATTTTCACGTGTCCTATGCCTATCAATTCATCGCCAATATCCAGTTGGCCGCTTGCGCTTAAAGTCTCTGTTGGATCGCCGGTTCTGACTAATGTGCAATCGTAGCAACCTTCTCGAGGAGCCTGATTCAAGGCGTTCTTCAGAGGAATGGTGAGAACATCTCGTTCCTGTCTGCAATTCTCCAGACTCAGCACTAGCCGATGCTTGCGCCCCAGTAAGCTTGCAACTCGTTCTAAATCTCCCTTTGCTAGAGCTCTACGGACTCTTGTAGAAGAAACTTGTCCTTTCTCCCTACTTGTGCCTGACATATCATCTTTCTGGACATCGGCGTCAAAAGTGTCCATAACGGGGTCTACTATAAATGCCTGGAGACCGTAGTCATTACACAAGTGCACCAAATCCGAAGCATCGCCGGCTGCTTTGTAACCAAACCGGTAATTGGCGCCTGCAAGAAGCTCATCAAAAGACTTCAGTATTTCTGCTTTCTCATCAAAATCTGACAGAATCTGGATATGGAAGAAGATGGAATCTTGGCAGGCACATGGAACCAAGCTGGAAAATCATAAGTAACTTTACCAGCGACAACTCCGCTAACATGTAATTCTGTTGCTAGCTTCTTTACAAACTCCTCGGGACTCAAAGATCGAACTTTGGTAAAATCCAGCGCGTGCTCCTTTGGGATAACTCCTCCACATCTTTTTGCCCATATGGACATAATACGTCTTCTATCGCACACTGCAGCGACGGGCAATCTGCAACCATGGAACGTATCGAGTATCATGGTTCATGTCATTTCAAACTCTCGACCTATCCACGTATTTTTTGGCATTTCAGGTTCGGAGTCTGCTCAAAAGTTTAAAACGCTGCTACTGGGCTAAAGACTTGACATCAATGACCAAGACGTGCACTGCACTGAGAATTGAACAAACTTTTACTCAGATTGGGAAGCGGAGTGCTTCCCAATCTGAGTAAAAGATTGAACAAGTTACTTGACTTCACTCTGCCCTGTTTAAACTTGTTAACGTGAGCAACTTGGACTCTTTATTGAACAGCAGTCTCAGTTCTTTTGCTGCCAAGTCAAAGGAAGGGACGAGATTTTTGACTCCATACCGTGGCTGCCAACCAAGAACCTCACCCATGCCAGCGAAAGATAGCAGTACGGGAGAGCCCATTCGCGCGGCTTGCTCCGCAAGAGCTCGATGTCCTATGTGAAGTGCGTCAAACTTTCCAAGGGCTACGACTCCTCCTGTTGATATAAAAACGTGAGAGCATAATTCATCAGAGCAATGTCTCGTATCCCCAAGCCAAGGATCTACACCTGTGAAAATACTAGATTCAAACTTTGAGATGGGTAAGTGATAACACGAGTAAGCTGATCGGGGACTAAAAATTTGGGGATAGTGCACCTCCCTCAACACGAAAATTCGAGGATCATCTGTTTTACTAAAGTGAGACCGATTTGCCAGCTAATAACTGGACAGACAGACCACGCTATGAGGCTCACTATGGACAGCGGCCTACGAAGTCATGAACTTGATGACACAGAAGCTAAATTACTATCCAAACCACGTGGTCATGAAAGTGCATGCTACATTCATTGGTATGGTGGAGAACAATTGGTGAATTGGATTTCTGAGTCCATACCGCGAATGTCAGGAATCGGTACATATGTCCCAGGCTTTGCAATAAACTCAGTCGAAATTGGAATATCTTCTTTTTCTTCCCGAATACTCCTTGGTCTAAACTTTTGCGTCTCTACAAATGAGCACTCTGCCAACGTTATGAGGATAGCAATTCATCGTCGACGTAAAAACACGTAGCGGATAGTAAACCTATTCAACAAGAATGAAGATCGCAAGATAAGTGAGACTCGAAGGCATTTACAATACTGAGTTATGAGCTCCTAAGAATTCTTAAAACTAAATTTTCCTGACTGAAAAACACCTCCTTTCAAAGATTCATGTGGCGTGGCCATGACGTAACAAATTCATAAGACATCAAAACGAAACACAAGAACTAACCTTCGGAAACCTCCGCTCGAACCAGAAGGGACCTCCGTTTCCATCTATTCGCTCTATGACCTTCCTTTAACACTGAGCATTCGAAGCTCCTTGAACTCAGAGCAGAGCTTGTAGACGAGAACTCGTCGCCTCCACTGGACAACGAGGCCTGCATAGTTCGAAGTAACTCAATGCCACAGGTACCGAAACAAATTGTAGCAAACATCAAGTGATGTCTCATGAAAGATTATGACAATTTCTCCTCAAGCCTTCACATAGCTTGCAAATAAAATGCCAGTGCCCTCCCATCTCGATTACACCAAATGCCTAACAAAAATTGCAAACCACAGACACATACACGACAGGATTGCTGAAACACTGAAATGATTTACGACTTCGTCATTAATTACATGAAATGGCTCAACAGAAGCGGCGTGATGTTGTCTGGAAGCCTGCAACCTGCTGCTCTTCGTTGATGCAAGAGAATTGCGGCCACTAAAGCTGACCCAAGAATTCAACACAACGACGACACCCCACGACGAGCACGACGATGAAGACGAACCGGGCATACAAACCGCGGGCATCAAGGCCGCTTTTGCCATCGCCATGGCTCGGCTTCAATCCCGCCCGCCTCGCTCCACTTTCTTCCCCTTCCCTTGCCCGTCCGTCACCGTCGCCCCAGACACCGAAGGCTGCTGCCACTCGCCCTGCCCCTCCACCTCCACCACGATGGCCCGAAATCCTCAAACGCAATCAAATTAACCATCAGACACCAAAAAGGGACAGAGAGAGAGAGCACGAGAGAGAGCCTTGCGCTCTCGTCGTCGCTCTCTCGCCTCCGATGGCCTCCTTCGGAAGGCTTCGTCGTCGTCGTCGTGAAGCTCTCGTGCTTTCTTTCGTCGCTGCGCTTCCTTCTTCTGTTGCCGCTGCTCGACAACGACCGAAACGAGCGAGAGAGACAGCCAGAGCGGACAACGAGCAAACGCCGAGCTTCGGGCCGAGCCCCGGCAGCGCTCCGGTGTCCGGTCGTCGGTCGCTCATTCGTTCGGTCAGCGGCTCCCCTCTCTCTCTCGACCGAGATAGAGCACGACCGTCGGCTCCGGTCTTTCTCCCAATGCGTTGACCTGCTGCTTCCCGGCTTTACCGGCCGACCTTCGGTGCATCGGGCTACGAGGAAGAAGCGCAGGGGCGTTCATTTCATCGACCGCTTTCTGGATAAATGTCGATTTTCGTATCCAGCTTCGAATTTCTGATCTCGTTCGAAACCTGGTTCGGAGCCACCTCTTCGGGTCTAATTATTCGTCGATTTTTTGACCTAACACTGGCTATGTTCTAACGATATATGCTGTCAATGTAGTTCATATTTGTTAGTACATACATGTATGAGATGTCCACCACCTTCTTCTTTGTCGAACGAGGTCTCGACAAATTTCGTTTGCAATATGCTTGATCGTAGAATGAGGCCATTTTTTCTCACGATTGTTTGGTAATATTCAGGCCTCTCTATATAGGTAGTATGTTCTGTATCTCAAAAAAATAAATATAATTCTCAAAACAAAATACGTAATATACGGAGCTTGACAGAAATCTCTCTTGTTTGTTCAATAAAATCATAATTTGACAGCAAGGTGATACACCTTTGCCATTTTGTTATTATAATATACATTTCAACAATGTTCGGAAATGCTCAAGCTACCTAAACTTCACTAAACTCAGAGGGTTCAGTCAACTGATGTAAGTGAATACAAAATCAATGTTATCAATTCACAAAAGCCAAATGCGGTTTGTGTTCTTTCACTTTTTTTTTTGGTCATCTTGGGAACAAAATGAACAAGTTCTTGATATTTTGGAACTAGTTGAAAACTTATTGTGTTTTCAAAACTACAAGTTCTTGAGTTAAGTAAGGAGGCAAAGTATTAGAACTCGCCTGGTTGAACTCACCATTGCTTTTACCTTGTTTAGGTTGCAAATTCTTTTCAAAAAAAGTTTGCCAACTGCATGCAGAACTTCAGTTTTTGACTCAGTGTCCAACTTTGCCCATGATTGCGTAGCAAACATACCTTCATCTTCAATTAATCTTATCAAATTGGCATGAATAACTTGATATCTATCCATGGAACCGTTGGACACGATTTTAACTCAATTCCAACTCGCTCTACACACGCAAAGCGTTGTAAGTTAGCTAGCAAATCTTGGAAAACTTACTTCTACCGTTGCAAAGTGGTTCTTCTTTTTTGTATACCTTCCACACATTCGTTCATATGGTCTGAAAACTTGTTTACAACTGTAATCAAAATCCACCAAGATAATGAAATCATATCGCAAACCCGTTGAAAGTCATCACTCTGGTCAAAATAAGTCATGGTTTGAGATCTTTTGATCGAAAAACACGATACATGGAACATCTAGGCCCAGCAAGTAGTAGATAAATTTGGACAAATGATTTGCATTTCATCGATCAAAATCTTCTAACATCGTAAAATAAAAATGAGTGAGGTAAGAGTCTTATAAAATCCACGACCAGCGTTTTTTTAAATCTTCTGCATCACAATATCTATATGATACAACAAACACCAGACAACAATGAAATATGGTATAATCATCTCCTAAATACGTGTGACAGCTCCAGATAAATGTCATGTTATATTTGTAGTACATCAGACGAACATCCAATTAGCTTGTACTTCCATGAAGAACAAACTGCATAAAACAACTTTGAAAGCATTTCAAACACTGGTAGTCATGTATATCTATTCAAAAAATAATAGTAATAAGCTGAAGATTTTCAAGAGATGATTTTTGATAAAATCAAATGTGAACATCAATACAATATACACCTTGTAGATCACAAAACACATCAAACGCTACAGATTAGGATTAGGGTGCAAGTGAAGTATTTGTGCAATGTTTTTAATGGATATAACGAATGAGGTTCTAACACAAGGAAGTATGTTTCTCATCTTAGAAGCAACTAGTTATTCATTGCAAAATCCAAATTTGGGAATGTCACATATTTCTCTCGCATCTTGAACGTTATCAGCAGCAATCAAAAAAACATTCCTTGTGCAACAAAACGAGAGACTAGCTTGAATTGCTTCTTTTGGCTGATTTGAATGCAATAATTGTCATCTTCAATTTGTTTAATTAGTGATATTGTATTTTTTTCAAGATTGACCATCCAAATCGTTTCACTCTATAGCATTTTTTTTATGATCACGTCAACAATCGAAGATCTAATGATAATGAGTATTCACGGAAGATTGGAAAACATGACAAATATTTTTGGCATGTTTGATAGCAACTGCAAAATAATTGAACTTATCTTTTGTTGAAAACTTTTTATATTCTTTCCATCTTACTTGATGGTTAATGCAAAGTTGCTGCATGTAGTTGTTTGTTATGAAAGGGCAACCTTCAAATTTCAAGGATTTTTTAGCAACTTTTTCATGTCCAAAACATATACAGAATCGACATCTAACAGCAATCACTTTAGAAAATCTAACATCACAGCTTGCTATATAAAGATCATATTGTATAATGTATTTTGATTGAAATTGAGTTTTTCCGGATTGCTTTGAAGCAGGATCAGCAGAATTCATCAAACTTCATGCAATAAATGTTCAAAACTGTAGTGAAGTTAAATAACGATGGGAGCGCAGTTCAAACCGAAACCAATCTTTGAGAGCTTTTAATAACCGTAAATTCATTTACAAGGTTGTGGTGTGTGAAGTAGATTGTCTAACTTTTAGTTAGTAACGTTAAGTAATGTCACAAACTATCACTTCAAAGTTTTAGTTTAGTACTTCTCTTAGTTTCTCTAGTAAAACCATCGAGATCAACAAAGACATTGTCACAAATGATCATTACAAAGTTTTTGTTGAGTATTTCCGTTAGTTTCTCTAGTACAAAGTTTTGTTGAAGATACAAAACTTTTTGAAAACAAAATATGGCAAATAAGGAACTCGAGAGTCCAATTTCTGTATCTAGAGAGTCATGGAAATATTACAAATTGTACTATTTTTTACATAAATTAGAGCATTGCAGTTTTGATTTGTGATGATAGGTGATCTTATAAAGAATGAAACTTCTCGTAAAGCTTCAAAGATTGTATAATAAGCGACATTGTAAATTGTAAAACTTTAGCTTTAGAATAAAAAATGTAGATAATTCTTGATGTGTTGTTTATTGATGTGTTTTCAAATATATACCATTGGCCTACTTTGTAATTTTGATTTTGTGGTTACATATTGTAAAGATCAAATTATGTATTCTTCAATAAATCACAAATGAAGAAATGATATGTCTTTTCAATCTATTTCTTATATTTGGATGATTCACTATGTAACAACAATATCATGACATATATAATTACATTCAATGAATATATAACAACAAATAGATGATAAGCATTTATAAGGTCTAAGAAGGTAAAATCTTGTGATGAGATGTATACCAATGATACAACTTCATAACAAATACTTCCATTATAAATGGCATATGCATATTTTGCCAATTAAATCATATTACAAAATCAAAAAAAGAATTCAATTTTACCTCTCTTGTAATACAAATCTTTCGTGTTGTAACTTTCATTTATAATACATATTTATAAAATATCACTATAAAAATTTAAAGAAAATTAATTTTTTGTAAATGCTAATTTGAAATTAATATTGAATATCTATTTTTTTCACACAAGGAATTTTTTAAAATTTGTGTTTGAGATAAACACAAAATGTTTACATTTTTGATACATGTGATACCAATACATGGAATTTCAACTATATTTTTAATTCATACTATGTATAATTTTAAATATTTTATTATAATTAAATCAAGAAAATTTTGGAAGAGAATTGCTAAAATTGAATAAATTATGATTATAAGTGATAATTTATACAAAATTACTTGTGACTCATGATTTGTTTAAAGAGATGTTCAATAAATAAATAATATATTGAATTTATACTGTAAAATGATTTTTCATCTATAATACTTGTTTTTCTTTCCAATGTCTTAGTACATAATGAATTAATTTGAAATGCTTTCTGTTATTCGCAGATCAAGATTTGAAAGTACTGTACCACTAGATATCTTGTGAATCTTACTATATGAAAAAGTGATGTTGATTGAAACAATGTTTAATTATTTGATAACACAAGCACTTACATCTCCTCTTTGAAGACTGTGAGGCTAATTTGCTACTCAAGTTTGTGTTCAAAGGAAAAAATATGAAATTTTAATATTTCATCTAAAATGATGAGAGTAAAAATATAATAAGAGTGCAGCAAAATGGTTCGTGTGCAGTAACCCAATCCAGATGGCAATTGGTGGAGATGTGTTATAATTATGGGGAGGAATTCTTGGCCACTGGCCGAGTGTTAATTCTGAATAGCACTTCTGGACATATAGTCCTCGAGATGTAGCCCTGTTGAGTAAAATTCGCGGTGGCATTCTCGGCAGCGAATTTCGTTGGTCTACGAGGCAGCGTCTCGTTCTTCTTCTGAGCTTCTGAGCTGCGGGAGTGGCAGGAATCTGATCGACGCCTGAGATTCGTGCATGCACGTGCTATCGTTGACAGTGCACGAAGAGGTCGGAGTTCAGGGATCCAGCAGCAGCAGCTGCAGTCTCAGAGTGCTGAGCTCATGATCCATGCATGCGGATCATCGTTCTTCCAAACGGCACAGAAGCAAAGTTCTTTCTTCGTCCTGATTTCGTCACGTTTGGGTTGCCGGGCAACTGATCCTTTCACTCCTATTGTTAAGTCCTTTCGATCGAGTGACATTCCATCAGTGCCCTCCCTCCCTCACTCCTGGAATGGTTTGTTCAGAAATTCACCTCCTCACGTCTCAATTTGAGCAATGAACGAATCTCCTCGACTGCAGATCCGCGTGGAGTCCAGTGGGAGACCTGCACCCCAAGGGACTCGTGCAGAATGAAAGAAAGTCTTGGTCTCCAAAACTCCAAACCGACGAGAGCCGGAGAAGGCCCGTGGCCCGCGGTCAGGTCTCGATCGAGGCTCTTGTTGGAAGAATGATCCTTCTGAAGGACATCCCGAACCTACTGAGCGATGGCGAAGCGTATGGATGTGCTGCTGGTCGCAGTCGCGCTGAAAGTGAGAGGTCCGGCGGTCATTCAGGGGCGGGCCCCACCATCTGCAGAGCATCTCCTGGACCGAAGCATCGAATCATCCATGCCAGAGTCTGCCGCTTTGATCGAGAAGCTGATGGCATAGCACTTCGATCGGCTCTTCGAAGCTCAAGCTGTGGACGAGGCAACGTCTTCCGCGGCGGCTTGACTCGGAGATTCCGTGCTGGAATGCGACGAAGCATGTGGTAGGGTTTTGAGGTCGGGGAATGTTGGCGCCGTGAGGATCCAGAGGAGCAGAATTTCTGGTAGCGGACCGGATTGGGAGTCCGAAGAAGACTTGACCATTGAATTGCGGAAGGATCGGAAGAGCGGCTGGTTGCTTCAAATGCATCTCATGTGAAAGAAGAGGAGGCTGGGGCCGAAGCTTTGGTATTAAATTCGGTCAGGAACCGAGAAGGACAGGAGTCACTTCTCGAGGGAGTGGGAATCACCACGTGGTAAGGTCGAGATGCAGATCGTGAGCGGTCATGGGTTCACGCTTTGTGCATCTCGAGTCGTGATCAAGTTTCAGAAATCCTACAGTCGGTTTCAACACTCGGTTCCGGCATGGACCCGACGACTCTCCAAACAATGTCGCATCGATGAGCAGCAGCATGTGCGAATCACGGATTCCTCTGCTCGACCGAAGACTGGACCATGGAATCTGAACGTACGCTCCAAATCCGAACCAGCTCTGGTGGACCTCTCTAGCAACACAGCGGTCACTCCATCGCACGCATTTGTCGATGGTGTGCTGGGTGTATCACAGCAAAATGGCGATTCGGATTCAAACACTGCAACTTCAGATATGATATTTTTGGGAACAGGAACTAGCGAGGGTGTGCCCCGAGTCAGCTGCCTCACTCACACTTCCATGCGATGCCCTGTAAGAAAACCCGCTACCCAGACGCTGCTTTTGGATTCGCAAATCGAAAGGGATTCGCATGGACTTGCACATTTTAGAGTAAAACCATATTGGCCTGTAGTTTTCTCAGTGTATGCTGCTAGAGGACAAGCAGGGGCCCGAGATGAGCCTCCTGCACCGTGGCGAAAATTCTGTCACCTTGCGCTGGTCTCTAGGTCGTTGCATAATTACAACTTTCGAGGAGTCAGACAGTTGGGGGGGAAAATTGAGATCCGCAAAATAAATTTGAACATGTTGGACTTCTGAGATTGGAAGAGGAGACGCACTTGAAGACGCTTAAGATTGTTAGTCGAGGTGCTCTACCTGAATTTCTCACACAACGTCGAGAAGATTGCCGAGTTTTGAATCTCTAAGCTGGTGGCTGATTTTCTTCTTGCATAGGTGTGTTGGGGAGCGGCACAGCTTGGGAACAAGAATAGGCGTCGTAACACTAGTCTTCTGGTGCGTTATCTTGCAGCAGATGGTATAAGGCGAAACATCCTCATAGATGCTGGCAAGTACGACTCTGCAAAGCGCAGCTGGTTTAGAATCACGTCGTCTCTTGCGTTCATTGCAGGTGTTTGAGTAGTAGATTTATCAGCTGTTGCTTTCCGTCTGTGGGGCATGGGAAAACTATTCGATCAGTAACATCTTCTATATTGGACGTCACTTCCATTTCACAAATTAGACGCAGATTGATGATCTCATATGATGATTTATTGAATGTGATTTGATTGCATTGGACGTTGTAGGTTCTTCTATCACAGTGCACTGCAGTGGTTCCCACATTACGGGTGAGTTTTTTTATTCTAGTAAGGATGGAGGTGTACCAGTCTTACAACAGAAGAAGAGCGAAATGTGTTCTCCTGTAAGACTCTAGTATATTGTAGTTTTTTTTTTGCAAGATCAAGGCTTCCTTTCCAGCATATAGACGACTGGGCAACATTTCATCCTGGAGACCTTGAGTGGGAGTTCTGTCAATATGGCAATGTCAGATTTGATATCTTGTGCGATATATAGACGGACAGGATTTCTGAGTACGATATCGCTTTGATTTTGAATTCAGGATACGAAACCTTGATTCGGTTATAATTACACACTCTCATGCTGATGCTGTTGGAGGTACCTTCTCGGTGAATCTCTTGATTTAAAGTTCAAGGTTGAGAAGTAGAGTAGGGAAGATTGTCTCAGTGGAATGCTCGTCAGCGTATGAAGAGTTGAAAGGTGTTGATTCGTCGCAGGGTTGGATGATTTGCGAGACTGGACGAACAATGTCCAAGATTCGATTCCTATCTACGTTGCCCAACGAGACATTGAGGTCATATGCTGCTTCTAAGTTCTCGGCATGTACTTTGTTCACCCTCATTGTCCTATTCTCCTTTTTGGGAACTAGTCTTACTGGTAAAAATTAGAGCAGGTTTTTGTTATTCTCTCCCAATGCACGAAACAGTGAATTTATCTTTGTAGGAGTCCTGTTGATTGCCACGGGAGCGTATGGTGCATTGGAGATCGTTTACCCATACTGACTAGCTAAGATCTTTGTCTTGAGTAGGTGCTGTCCAAGTCTCACTACTACCTTGTTGATCCGAGTGTCATTACGAAAGGAACTGCCGTCTCAAAGCTTCAGTTTAAGCTGATCACAGAGGAACCATTTTATGTGCACGGTCTCAAGGTATTTCATGTTTATTATGAGATTGTGTCTGAGAAATGTTCAGTTTCCCGTAATTTTGTCCTTGGTAAACAGACAAGACCTGGAGCATGGAAAACAGTTTTGGAAGGTTTTGAAATTTTCTGGTTGAAAGTGGCGTGAGTTGTACTCATCATGTCGGTATTGCAGGTGACTCCCCTGCCTGTGTGGCATGGGCCAGGTTATAGATCTCTCGGATTCCGAGTGGGAAACGTCTGCTACATAAGGTATGAGCCGATTTTCTTAATAGGGTTTTCACATTTTCTTTGGACCATCTGTGCAACTGATGTTGGTGTTCGTATGTTGTAACCATATCTATACACCTGAAGACTACATGCCCTGGCTAAGCAGTGCTAAACAAGTAATGTTGAACGAAGAGGGAAGAGGACTAAATGAGAGTGAAGAGGGTTTCTCGCGTTTTAGGATTTCTCCCCGTAAGTGAGCTTTTAGATGTTTGTAAGGTGACTCCTGGACCGAGGACTCGATCTGCCAAGGACCCCTTACTGACGCTCCAAGGGGTGAATTATTATTATATTTACAAGAGAGCAACAGGTTTCGGCTTTCAATCTAGGCTAGACCTTACAAGAATGTGTTAGTAGTTCCACCTGTTTAGCGAGGTTGTGGACTATCTTGCACTCTTTATAAAATGTGCTACATGTGACCAGATTATGGTCAGGCCTTTGTCTTGCTTGTTGAAGCTTTAGGCGTGAAGAAGTCGCTGCCATACGTCGATTGAACATTCTCGCATCTCACTTTCGGAACTGATCTGATTCAAACACAGTCCTTGTATTCATGGACTAGATCAGTTAGATCGAATGATGTCAGGAAAACTAATTCTAGCAAAAAGTAGAGCTTGGAAACATCACGTAGTTATTTCGTGTCGCTCTCCGTCGTGCACGTTAAAGATATGACTATGAAATTTGCACTAATAAACCTGGTGCACCGTGGACAGTGATGTGAGTGAAATACCCGAGGAAACATATCCTTTACTTGAGAACTGCGAACTTCTTATTCTGGTAAGGCATACGTCAACTCGAACTTTTTGATGATGAAAGACATAATTCAATTCAGCTCAGTGCTCGTTACAGTCGCCCAACTAGAATACAGCTTGTTTGATGTATGGTTGATAATGATTTCAGGATGCACTAAGACCTGATCGATCCAGTGCTACCCATTTTGGATTACCACAAGTAAGTAATTTTCTGTTCTTCTGTTGTTCTTCTATGTATTCAACTTACATCAGGATGCTGTAAGACCAGATCGATCCACTATCACTCATTTTGGATTACCGCAAGTAAGTACATTATTCTCACCTTGATGGTGTCCATTCTGCCCGTTCACGGAAGTTGGACGTAGAAATTTAGGTTCTTCGTCTTTATGTTTGGATGCTGTGCAGTTCTGACTTTTTCACCCTTCAGGCTCTTGACGAAGTTCGGAAAATTCGACCTCAACGAACGCTCTTCACTGGTAAGTTTCAAAATCTAGTGATGGAGAACCGTGTGCAAAGTTGAGAATTTCTCGAAAGAGTTTCATCGTCATTGGAGAGGATAGCACGTCTCAGCTGACTTATTCCGTATTCTTATTTCTCATTACGGAATTTCATTACGGATACTGCACATGTTTTTGTAAGGAAATAGAGGTGGTCATACATTACCATCAGAGGGAACAGTTGGTTTTCATGGGCTCTCACATGATTGTTACTCTTATGTGCTGGACTAGGGATGATGCACACGATGGACCATGACAAGATCAACGCGAAACTTGCAGAGATTGGAAAGGAGGAGGGCTTGGATATGCAGCTGAGTTTTGACGGGATGAGAATACCAGTAACAATTTGAGTCCACAAATGAGAAACAACCTTTGCGGTTCATACATCATCAAGTTCACACTTTTTCCTTCCCTCGGTAAAAAACGGAGTGGAAGCACTCAGGCTTCGTCATTCTTGAAGCATCGGATTTTCTCCATGACATCGTCCTTTTCATACACTCCAGCATCAATTGTGCTCGTGCTACTCACGAACACAGCCAAGTTTAAACCCGCAAGGTGCGAAAGCACTCATTCACTGTCCATATGCATTCTGGACCCGTGAAGGAAGTGCCGACGGTGTACGGATCGATCTTTTTATAATAAATGGACCACTGTCATTTACTGTTATTTATACGTTCGGAGTTGACCAATTATACACGTGATTATCCATTGCGTGATTATTCATCGGTCACAGAAAAATCATACATTTTATTTAAGAGAACCATGTACATTAATTTTGCTACCATGAACTTTGTGAAACAAGAACAACATCAACAAGCTGCGAGATTGATATAACTATCGAAATAGACGTTTTGTGTTGGGTTTAGTGTTGGCTTGAAATTGCATGCAAAGAAAAAGATGCAAGATGATCACTACGGATGCTTCAATAGCATTTTTCAGATATTACTTTGTCGTCAAGTGAAAAAAGTGTGGAAATGTCATGTCATAGCCCATGGCTCTTAGCTAGCCTTTAAGGGTAAAGAACTCTTCAGGTAACTTTTGGAATCTCACATCGAATCCAGATCACTCTTAAGGGGTAGGCACAAACAAGCGCAAACGAACATTGCTCAAACCTAATGGCTTTCCCTAGACGATATGTTAGGGATAGTGATGCCCGAAAAGAAAGTACGGTGCCGTCTTTCACATATCCGAACTTAATCTGATATTTTCTATACATTAGAGATAGACGTGTTCATGCTTTGGTTAGAAATTGAGACTTAACATCTAACATTAACACAACACATCCAAGGTGAGTGAACAGTGTAGCAGGTAAAGGCGGATGGAAGTATACCATCCGAGATACCTAGAGTTGGGTTCAAAGTCATCACAATGTAAAATATGTTCTACGAGTAAATTCTATGCAAAATGAATTTTGAAATGTCTAAATTGAATGCATAATCAACAAGATAATATGATTAAACTATCACACATGATAAGTGATTAATACTATAAACAGCGGTAGCTATTGTCAATCTTCAAAACATAAATAAAAATTGTTCAAAATAACCTGAATTTGTAACGGATATCTTTAAGCTTCTATGCCACTAGTTTCCAATATGTGTTCTGCATACAGTATTTGAATCATCTGAACCAAATATATAAACAACAATGCAAAATAATAAACTATCACAGGTCATAAATGATTGATTTTATAAATAGCATCAACTAGTGTCAATTTTTAAAATATGGATAAAAATTGTCGAAATGACCTAGATTTGTATCCAATATCTTTCAGCTCCTATGTCACTAACTTCCGTAAATACTGCGTGACATCACTTCGTATTTTCGGAGTCAGAACTTAACTTAGATAGTGTCTACAACGACAACACGTTCTCGCAGGATATCGTGTCTTGATTATTTATTACGACTACTTAGGCACTTTCAGTTCGTAAAAGTTAATGATTGAAAGGACAAGGGCATCATGAACAGATGGGTAAGAAAAACATCACAAAAGTCAAGTTAAACCTTCGTAAAAAAAGTTTTGACACATTTGAGCTATCATTTACATAAGGACACGTCCAGTATAATAACAATTGATGATAATATACAGTTTCATATGAACAAATATCTCAAGGCTGCGACATTTGACGCGCATCCTTGAGTGAAAGAATGTGGAACACAGTACACTGAAATGTACAAAGACTGTCTCACGACGATGAGAGCGGGGCAACCTGTGCACTCATGATTTTCTTCCCCTTGAGTTTAATAACAGACAACTCGGACTTCACATATTCTCCAGCAACAATGGGACTATAAAGATGCGCTCGAGGTGCGTCCGCGAAGTGGCCAAGAGGTTGCAGCACAGCATCATATGCAATATGCCCAAATACCTGTACATGAACATGAACGGGTACGGGGAAGCAACAGAGAATTTTCGAAGATCGATTAGATGTCAGATGAGTCGGTGCGAGCGATTAGAACTGAACAGGGAGTTGTCATGATACAAATCAAAAGTTTTGTCAAAAACATCTGCAAGGAACTGAAGTCGAGCTCAGTCTGAGAGCTCAAGCTGCAGCATTATAATTTCAGGAGGAGTTTTCAAATCCAAGAGCTGATGATGAGAAGATAGAAACTACATACTGTGGAAGATACTCTCCATAAACTGCGTCCTTCCTTGCGGGCAGCCTCCACTGCAGCCAGTGTTTTGTCCGTGACCACAACCTCATGCATGCCAGCTGAGCATTCTCCACCTGTCAGCCACTCCAACTGAAGTCCCAAGATCGCTCTGTTAGTTTCATCCTTTCGTAAGCCATAAAAGCGAGAAATGTAATGCAACCACAAGGGCCCCAAGAATATTCACAAACCATATACTGCATTGCCTATTATTATACCATGAGCAGGTGAATGGATCAGACGCCTAAAATTGAAAGAAAACTCTGGAATGAACTTCAACGCGTCTAATATTAGAAATTGAAAAAGTTGCACTACCCGTGAGTGCCAAACTTATTCAATTCATACTCGTGAGGTTCCAGACGGCTTCTTGTGTTTCGTAAGGTCCCCTCCCATTGGCTTGGATGGAAGGCGCTTGACGTAATCCTAGGAGTGCGTATATGAAGTTTGTTCAGATGTGTTGTGTGACTCATAACATCTGAACATCAGGTTAGAAACTTTCATTACCTCCTTGCCTGCTTGGAGTAGGAGACAGCCAGGGGGTACACTGACCGGAACTTTCCGACCATCTTTCAGCCAAATGAAGAGGCCAGGGAATCGACTTCGACCATGTATAGTCAAAAAGTTTAGGTCATAATGATAGCCTGCAAACACAGTGCCTTTCTTGCCATACTTCGAGAGGTCGCATCCTGTAGGAGCGAGCAGGTGAGGTCCCTGCATGATTTGCAATGTCATGTTTGTCAAGTCCCTTGCAGTCAGACAACACTTTTTCGTTATTCAGTTTTCAGGTTCACGACAGTAAGCTGCAGCCAAGATATCATATGCAAACTAAGGATATGCATTGATATTCAACTTCAAAGAGGCAAAATTTCTGATTGAGCCACAGCTAGAATTTGGCAATTAAGCTGTTCAGGCTTCATATATAAACCGAAGGTCTATTCATGTTATTTCCACACAACATTCGGATCCTTCGTGGGATGAACGCAAGTTTTTTATGCACGGACCAAAGATCAAAGCTGAACTTGCCTCTTTCATCAGGGATGTGAAAGTTGTTTGCGGAAGCCCAAAGCCAGTTGCAGCCATTTCAGCGACGACCTAGACAAATAAACATTAAAATACAAGTGAGGGGTCGAATAACAGCACAATCTCTCCGCAAGTCTATATAGCTCAGAGACAACTCCTTGGTCCTTCTTATCGAACACTTTGTTCACATTACGCCTATCCATACAAGAAGTTTATAGGGTCCCCTGCTGAACCAAATCTGGACCCGTAATGTTGTGTTCAACTTCATCCTGGAAGCTAACATCATATCATCATCTCTGGTATTTCATGACTCGAACTCGTATGAAAATTACAAGGCGTAATCATAAATTTGTGGGTTGAGCAGATACAACTCAAATCCACATCATATAGGAAATTAAGAAGCATGTTTCAGAAAAGGCCATACCTCGACGGCCGAAATCATTTTCCGACCCCAATCATTCAGCGTATCTCGCCACTCTGGAAAGCCCTCTGGAATAACGGGATCTGAACTAAGCTCCTGCAGAAGGACGCCATCCATTGATCACAATATGATGACAAAGCATGTAAAATAAATAGCCCCCCAAAAATTACAAAATAATTCAACAACATTGCTTACTGTGAGTTTTTTTACGTCCGATCACGGAGCAACGACGACACAGTACACTAAGCCAAATACCTGGAAGCCAGTGTTGGAAGGGCGAGGACCAAATCTCCACATGTAGCGCCACTTTGGGTCAGCACCTGAAGGTACGTGAGGGCGAGCATCTTCAGAAAGCTGATTCATGCGTTCTTGTAGACTCTGGTCAAACAAACAACGTGGAGTTTCTATTCCTTCTGGTGTGACGCCTACCTGTTCCTCCCCACCAAATCGACAGTTAGCTCCGTGTGATCAACAGAGTGAGAGGGATGAACTTATAATCATACTGAACATTCAGTGTGACATATGATATGATGTAAACTGATCGGTATACAATCGGAAAGAGAGGTTAGCAGTTTCGCAGCATACGTGAGGGGTTTTGTCACAGCCTGTGCATGGAGTAGCTCTGCAACAAAAAAGTGACCACACGTGTTCTTGTGGATACACAGGCAGATAATAGCACCGTGATCGGGAATGTCGCTCTCAATAATTCCTATTAATTCGAGAGATTCATACTGAGCACCTAAAAACAATCGCAAACGTGCTGGCGGCTAAGAATTCCGTTCGTGCGAATTACACTTGGCAACTTCTTCTCGATAAGCTCTTCTGTCCGTCCATTGTTGAAGACGATGTTAGTGATGCCGATGAATTCGGTAAACTTTGAGCTCGAGTTTTCGACCTCTGAGCATTGTTCACACGATTGAACGCTTTGTAGAAAGCTTCCGGAAAAACTGTTGGATTGAAGACTCAGGATACCCGGAAAATTTGACAATGTGCACATATTCTTTCGCTTAAGGCCGCAAAGACCGGAACCGGAAGGTAGCGCAAATTTCTCAAAGAGAGGGATGGCAAATTTCTCCATTGTAATCTTCAAGGGACTCTGAGAAAATCAAGAACGGTGAGATAATGGCAGACATTCGAGGAACAGTAATTTCATTTTTACCTGGTAAAAAACGTCAGGTCGTTCCTGCTGGCGCTTGAAAGCGTCCGACTGGCTCCAGTACTTCTCCATCATGTCCAGGAACCGATCATTGTCCTCCGTGGTGCACCTGGGATCCCTGATCACCAGCGCTCCCGTGTCCCTCAAGCAATTGGCCACCTCTTGGCACAATGCCAAGAATTCCTGACCCGCATCTCCATTCTCCTCGAGGCCCCCCCTGGCCAACAGATACTCCTCCAAATCGATCACCGGCAACTCCATCATCACAAACTCCTTCGCCCCACCTCGGCTCTCTCGAATTGCGATCAATGACTCCGCTTGATGCCGTCCGTCCGTCCGTCCCTCCCTCCCGAAAGCAGCGAGCTGCAAGATTCAGAACAGAGATGAGATGCCGCGCGGAGCTCGGTACTCGGTGCTCGTGGAAGGACCAGAAGTCGTCCGTTTGCTGGCTGGCTTCTTGCTCGCCCTCGTCGCAGGACGCAGACCCGGACACGGGAAATTAGACAAGTCCATCCATTGGCCCACATTCCAAGCCACCGCGGCCTGCCCTCTTCCGACGGTATGATGTGGCGCAGCAACACGTGGCTGGTCGCCTCTCGAAGGCCCCGCAGGCCGGGCCCCTTTCCACGACACCGATGTCGTCTTTCTTTCTCGTTCCTTTGTCGACATTCTCCAGCATGAAATGCAGAAGATGGGAGCCGCATGAACGAAATCGCAGATGCGGAGCCCAATCGCATACAGCCATCGCGCAATGCGGATAAGTGAGGAAGCAAAGAAATTATCGTGATGACTGCAAGTCGCAAGTCTTTTCTCTGTTAATCGCAGTTCTGTGGGTGAAATTTCGTCTCATTTTCGAACTTTAGGCACACTTCATAGAGTTCGTATCAATTGCTTATCTTCGGTTGCGTCCTCACTGGCAGATTCACTTTCCTGTGTGGCGTAATCGCCTATTTCGGACGTCGACAGCAAACACGACGTGGCAAAATAGCTAGGTACATCTAATTATTTCCTTCACATTAACCCTCCTTCAGAGGTCAATTATTTTGATTATTTCGGTATGACTAGGGTCTTTGTGAACTACAAGCCCAAACATGTTGGTTTAGCAAAGTAAAGAGGACCTTTACTCTAATTCTCTACGCCAGGCCTCGGCTGCAGATTGGTTTCAAGTACCCCCTTCCACCCGTTTACCATCGAGAACAACTGGAACATCAGACTAGTGATCTTCTTGCTTTGAAGCAAATCGACGTGAATGATGAGATACAGAGGCTTTCAGCTCGGTGAAAACTTCATTGCAAACATTCAAGGGAACCTAGTTGTTGGCAGCGGGACGAGAGGCCACGATAGATCCTACTCCTTCGAACATACAAAAGAAGAAATAGAAGACTTATTCACAAAGCGAGAACACAGAAGCAAGAGATATGGCCCATATTGCAACTCCACCACCTTTGCTAGATAGGAGCTATTATTTTTATACTACTTTATTTCTTCGCCAAAGGAGCCTGTGAGGTATATTCACTATGCACACTAAGAAAAGGAGTTGCATGCTTACATTTATACATAGAGAAAGTTCTCTGTCGCTGAAATGTGACAATCGGTGACATGTGATAACTGTAAAGCACAGCGTTCTTCATCTATTGAGATGGACGCTCACAATTCAGATGACAATTTGTTGTAGGATCTCTTACTTGAAACCCTACCGGTCACTACATTAAGGCTACCTTACATCTTTAATACATTATGCTTACAAGCCATAGACTGCCCTTGAATTCAGCTGACTTGCTGCACCAAAGGTACGCTATGGGAACCCGGGCACAAACTCTTGTACCGGTCATCACCTAGGTAGCGCAACAAGCCTCAAAAGAATGGAGTTATCACTCGTAGAGATACATCTTGTGTAAAACTTACAAAAGTTGGACGGCGGCTATCATTGGAATTTTTTCTCGTAGCTTCTGAGTCACTGCTACTCGTACTGTCATAACCCCGGCAGCAGGACCCTCTATTTTCACTTTAACTACTGGACCGTCGATTTTCACTAAAGATAGTTCACCTCCTCCCGTACCAACAAGGTATGGCCTGATTTCTGAGAGAACCTGCATAACACGCCACAAGTCAAAACGATACCAAATCTGACAGATAATTGAAGGTTGAAGATTGAATTGCAACATACGAACTTACATATGGACCATAATGGGCATATGTTGAAGCCAGATGCGCGGCAAGCAGAGCATAAGCTACCCACCTTTTCCACATTCTCTTCGTTCAAAGCCAGGCCTGTCTCTTCATCCATCACCTGCTCCACCCCTATAATTTCGGGTATCTTCTCCATCAAACGTCTTTCAATTCCCATTTTCATGGTCATCATCGAACTGGGACAAGATCCGCATGCACCTTGAAGTTTCAGCTTTACAACCAGTCCATCGATTTCATGAAGAGCCACGTTGCCTCCGTCTGACATTAAGTATGGGCGTACTTCATCTAAAACCAACTCTACGTTGTCTTCAGTTAACTCTAGCCCATCGATTGAAGCTTCGGGGGTTGCAACTGCTCTCACTACTGCAACAACAAGTGAAGGTGGAAGCGTCAGCGACAAAATGATAAAATTATCAGTTTCGTCACTCCATCTACCAATCGTCAAGGGAGCATAGTGGCGGCAACGCCTCCTCCCTGCTTTCACAAACCCAACTTCTAGCAATAGAGCCTGTCAGGAAGTAAGCTGACTAGCCCGAAATCCATAAAGCCCGCGATTGTCACAAAATCAGAAACTCCAAGTGAATTTTGGAACAAATTTGATCAAACTCTTGAAGGAGAGTAGATTTTAAAATTTCAGGAAATGATTCTCACCTGTGGATCTTTGACCTCCAGTCACATTGAGCTGCAATTTAGCTCTCAACAACAAGGTATTGTCTAATCGCGACCTGTAGACCTTCAAAATAGCAGGGACACACTTCTTCCACTCAATCACTGAAAACGGGAGACAATTTCAGTAATTCCGGTTCAGAAACAAAGAAATTTTGTGAACGCAAGACCATGCGGGGCGACCTCGTCTGCTATCCAACGTATAGTAAGCGAAATCGGTGAACAGGGCTAGGCCAACAGACCGAGACACAACCTCCTTCAGTGAACCTTCCGCTGTTTAAGCTCGAAGAGACAATTTACCACCCATAGGACATAACTTCAGAATAACCAGACCCAGGAACCGCCCGAAGATTGCCACCTACAATTACCAAATCCTTCATCGACAGTGCACAGATAGGCCTGGCTACGGTGAGTCATTAGGGAAAGCATTCAAGACGGGACGACAATACGAGATTCCCGACTATACGCGACGGCCATACCTTAGAAGAAGTAGCAACACTGGCAGCCCCGCCCGCGAAAGGCCTGTGGAGAACCACAGGCACCTGCGTTACGCCACAGAAGCCGCACGGTGTCCGCGTGCCGACGACTGCGAGCTTGGCAGCCATCATGCCAAGCTGTTGAGTCGAAGTGGAAGCCGTCGCCATAGGCGAACTTCAACACAGAAACACAATTCTTCGGAAGCGAGAGCCGAGAGCGAGGCGAGACCGGCAGCAGCAGCAGGTTCGAAGCGCAGGCCGAAGGATTTGGACGAGGATTTCGAGCACCGAGAGGGGCCCGTCCCTGATCCGGCTCCCGATGGAAGGAAGATGGAGCGTGGGCGAGCACGCGCTCCGCTCCCGTCCCAGAAGCGTGAGGCCGAAGAGATGCAGGCGCCAGAGACGTTGCCAGCGCGGCGGAAGATTCAGAACCGAAGCAGGCGCGGCGATCCGACTGGTGCGCCTGCCGTCGACGAACATCCGGTCCTCGTCCTCGTCCGCTGTGCACTGCCACGGCGACCGGTCGTCCCCCATCACCTTTTGATTCTTGTTTTTTGGCATGATTCCCTTCTCGAATCGTTCCAATATTCCTCTCTCTTTCCTTACTTCTACCTTCGTCACGTACCTTATGACTTCAAAAACAAATCTATTCAATGCTTTAAAACACCAAATCATGAAAGGTAACATCTCATTTAGACGGCACTTCAAAGACATTCTTCTTTTTGTATAATATAGACTTTTTTTATTTCTTGATTTAATTTAAAAACCGGTGAAATAATATAAAAAGATATGAAAAATATCTCTTTGAAATATATCAGACAACTTTATTATTTCCTAAGTTGATATAAAAACCTACAAATCAATAAAAGCTATGAAAAATATTTTTGGTATTCACATTAGATTTTTATGCCCGAATAATAGTTTTAAATTCTTATGAAGAATATTTGTTCAAGAGTTTAGAGCATCAACAATTTTTTGTGATGCCATACGTTCAGATTTGGGGAAAAAAATTTTAATATAAGCACAAACTGAAAGACATTCAATGGAGATGTATAATTGAACAAGCTTTGTGCCAAATGATTGAAAAATTGAGAGATTAGATGAACGCATTTGAGCAAAGCCAAAGTCGAGTTAAAAAGCTCAATTACTGATGTACAAAGAATGAAAATGAAAAAATGAAAACATTCCATGGAGATATCAAATCAAGATTGTTAGATCTCGAGACTTTCATGATCCTTAAGATGAAAAAAACTTGTAAATAAAAATAAATTTATATCAAGATAATTTCTCCAATGAGTTTTTAAAGATTTGATCATAGAATATATTATGTCCTTGTTTTGTTCAAGATCAACCTACTCACTTGAATCTTGATGTTAGTCTCAAGTTTGTATTATGAAATCTAGCTAGCTGGTGAGAATAATAAACATTGGTATTCTTTATATTTTGTTAGGTAGTAGTTGGAGAGATTTGCTTGATGGGACCCCTCAGGTTTAGTTTTACCCGATGGGATCCCAAGGACGGTGTGCCGTCGGACATAGTTCTTGTAACTACGATTATTACTAGTTACAATGCGAGAATTACAATCAGAGATCAATCCCTGATTATAATTTCTGGTGGATTATCACGGGGACAAAGATCGATTTTGCTCGAATTGCAATTTGTTGTGCTTCAATTCTTCCGATCGTAAAGATTCACGGATTTCTCTGTTGCCTCCCACCTGCACACTCCTTCCGTAACCCTGCGTGTTCCGAGCTCAAGTCTCGCGATCATCCATTTGTGGCGAACAAATAAACTCCGGATGAACATTTCTTTGCTCGTCTCCTTGGAGAGTGGCCGGAAACAGAATGACAACATAAAAACAAGTGAGTGTGATGGAGTGCGAAGTCCACTCTGTCTATGGGTGCGGTGGACTCGTTGCACTCTCTCTAGTTGTTATTAGAACATGGGTGACGGTGCATCGTTCATGGGTCCCATCGGGTAAAATGAAACCTGAAAGGTCCCATCAAGCAAATTACTTTCCTCCGGGTCCCATCAAGCAAATCTCTCATAGTAGTTGTCACATCCATGCATGTGTAAAATTGTTAAATTTATAGTCGGTATGATTTTTTCAGAATGTTCGAATTTTAAATTCACATATGAGATTTAAATGAAGATGAAGGTTTTGATTCTTTCAGATTGGAGTTAATGAACAAATAATAGTCATGACTTGAAAAATCCGAACAACTTGATCGGGACTATCTTATAAGAAAGCTAGTGCATTCGCACAAATAACTTAATATTGTTTATTACAACGACTTTCGGCCTAATATTCTTGCAAATCAATAATATGATCGAATGCATATGAAGTGGAGCAGCGAAAGAGGAGGAAATGACAACAATATTTTACATATATACGCATGCTGTTCCTCCGTACTTACATTCAAGTTCCATGAAGTCTGGAGGACCATTAACTTTTCTGGGATGATATGAACTATCATTAAAAATTAAATAACTTAATGTTGTATGTGCATTGATAAGTATCTGCTATTTTTTATAGTATTAGTATCTTGCCACATGTTAACCTCTTGGTTTTATCCTAACAAACCTTGATGAATCTTCCGTCCTTTTTTATGTCCTACTTCCTATTCCAATTCGTGAATCTAGATGTAAGAGCCTTTGGTTGAATCACACGGTAAACATTATCTGATCATCATGAATTTTCGAAAAAAGATGTTGATGTCTCTCATTGGCACTTGTTGACGTATGCATATGAATGGTTATTTAAGCTCCACTAGTGACACACATGCACAGTGTCAGTAATATACACTAATATACCCATATTCTTATACAGGTAACAGTTACCATCAAAGTCTTCGCTTATGAGCTATGCACAGATAATAATGATATTTCATCTACCTTCGAAACCATAGACTCAGATGGTTTCGAAGAGATGAAAGAGAGCCCTGCCATATCATATCTTTGCGGTGGGCTTCCGAGCATTGAAGAGTTCGTAGAATGGATGGGAGATTCCTTTGTAGTCTCCAGTCGTCGATGGCCGATCTTCCCAGTGGCGACTGTAGGGTTTAAGCAGATCGGGAGAAATCCGGGTGATAGGAATTCATTCGGACAAATCGGTGTTGTGGTCGAAGTCAGCAAGTCTTGGATTGATGTGTCGTAGACATTAGGGTTCAGAGAGTTCAAAAGCTTGGGATAATTTCGTCGATTGGTGCAGGGCAGAAATGATGTCGAGGGCAATTTGGAGTCGTAGCACTGGATTGAGGCGTGCAGTAGGGGCGCCTTGCGTCTCGGCGCAACGTGAGTTTTCCACCCACAACAACAGAAAGTACAACAATCCGAAAGGAGTCCCAACTCTTCGGCAGAAGAGGATTGCGTCGGAGGTGAAGGAAGTGATAAGCGAAGCTTTGCAGCAAGGTCCGTGTCAGAATCCGATTTTTCAGCGTGCCGGATTCGAGATCAAAGACGTCAAAATGAGCTCGGATCTGCGAACAGCTCACGTCCTGTGGCGAGCGCTACCCGGAATGCAGAAGAATGCGGAGAGGGCAGTCCTCGCCAATGTGAAGCGCCTGCGCTCGCTCGTTTTCTCGCGACTCTCGCTCCCTTTCTCCCCGATTATCAAACTTCAGGAAGACACGCTTTCTCCCCAGGTACAAGCTCTCGAGGAAGCTTTCGCAAGGCTTCGGGAGGACGAAGGGGAACTACAAGAAGACAGTGCAGCAGCACTTGAAGAGGACGGGGGTTCAGCACTTGTAGGAATGCATTCTCAAGAGGATGAAGACTCTGACGACGATCTTAAAACGAAGTCGCAAGGGGTTGAAGAGGGTTCTCCTGTGTCAGCTCCGTAGTGTTCCGCTCCGATGCACGTAGTGTACGCCGACTTTATCACGATGATCGAGTCTTTGGAATGTCAGTTTCAGATTTTATAGGCTGATCTTTGGAACTTCTTTTGGCCTGGAAGTCATCTATTGTGCGGAATGCGGTGACCGCGGGGATCCAGGTCGCGAGGCACGAAGTGGAGTGCGGAGAGTGTTTGGTCACTCGGTTTGCTCCGTCTATGAGTTCACCGGAAGTTGTAGCTGTCTGCGGAAAGAGCGAGAAGCAACTTCTAGCCTCACAGGTCAATAATGATTGGCTTTTCGGATTGACAAATTTCACTCCCAAGTGCAGGAATGTTGAACAGCATGATGGAGGATCCTCTTCTGATGATGGGATCACTAGATGCCATCCAATTCAGAGTTTTGGTGGCTAGATATAATCTGAGTACAAGCCTCCGACTGATCATGTTCGAGTGTACAAGGTAAATTCTAACATTCTCTGGAAGACAAATGAAATAGCACTGAGCATGGACATTCATCCCTAGTTGTCAACCATCTGAGGTCAAGTCAGCGTATATTATTGGCTAACAGCATCCTAGAGAAGCAAGAATGTGAATGGGCTCTAGACTCTATTAATCCATTTATAGTTTTACAGAACTCTCTGTGAATGCAGAAGATTTCACCTATTTACCTTTGGGCGGACTAGTGTTTTGGGAAGAGTGTATGATAAGCCAAACGTACAGAGAGACAAAAGAACTACAAACTGCCACGCCAAGAACTCGTGAAACGGGAAATTCTTCGTTGAAGAGAAAGACCAAATCACACCTCCAATGGCTGGACCGATGGCACGGAAGAAGCTACAAAAGCTGTGGCTCAGTCCTGTCACCGCCCCAACGTTGTCAGACGAAGCAGAATTTGTCACAAGGATCAGGACCCCCGTGAATGCTGTGCAAGCCACGGCGCTTCGTACAGCCATTGTAAACATGAGTAGAATCCATTGCAGGGTCGGGGTTTCAGACAGCACCGAGCATGTCGGAAATAAGATCCAACATAAGATCGAGCCTAGTATTCCATACCGAAAACAGAACAGAGGTCCCCAGCGTTTTGCAACTACGGGGTACAGAATGAGGGTGTAGAGACACAATGCCAAACCTGCTTCGCCTAGAACTATTCCTAATTTGGAGGAGCTGAATCCTAGGCCACCTTCAACTTGGGATGATGCTCCGAATAATGGAAATAGTTCATCTGCAAGCATTACACGTCGTAAGTTGGCAGGGTGTTCTCTTCATTTTTTAAGCTTGCTATTAACCTGCCCAGATACGTGCCTTGATTACATGCCCAGATACATGCCTTGATTACATGCCCAGATACATGCCTTGATTGCCTTGGTATTAAGGAAAGTGTTCGTATATGTGTATGTTTCCTACAGAACATACCGGTAATGATAAACACCAATCCGGTCATAGAATAACAAAAGGATGACAAGAGTACATCTCGATCTCTCAGGAGATCCAATGTAGACGAAGAAGGCTTGTTTTGGGGTTGTGGAGGCTGTGGAGGTTCTTCCTCGACCGGTTCTGCTGGAAGAGTGCTGAGGGGAACAGCAGCCGCAGATTTCCCAAATTCTTCTTTCCTCGACTCCTCTATTGGCGATATGAGGACGATCAACTTCTGCTCTGTTGTGTTGTTGCTTGAGCACTCATCAAGGTTGATGTCCATCATGTGCTCATCATATCTTGATGACTTGAAGTGTCTCATCTCTCTGAACTGGGTTTCCCCATCAGCTGGCTTTTGCCGCTGGATAGACGTGTCTCCTGGATTGACCACAAGTTTTTGTGGAGGAATCTTCTTGTAAGTTGTGTTCTTGTTCCTAACACGCTTGTTTGTCTCTTTGAGGTGAATGGCAGCAATGACCCCTATTGATGAGAAAAGTGTTGCACTCACACAGGGAAGAAAGAACGGGTGTGTCTGCAGGAACTGTGGACAGTTTGGAGATGCGTACTGTATACACGGTTGTGCCAACACGCCAGATACTATCGGTCCTCCTATGGCTCCGATTCCCCATGCTAGATTGAGAATTCCGTAGCCTTTAGCCTGGTTTGTTCTGCGTAAACGATCAAGTTGTTCACCAATAAGATGAAGATGTCTAATGTCTCCAAACTTAGTTCCTGTAAAAGTCCCCGTTAGCAAAGTCGTGCAAACCGGACTGAATTTAGGTGCTCCTACTGCAGCCCTATCCCGAGCTTATTGAGCACGTGTAGTTACCCCTGCATATTGTACCGAATCCGGACCTTAGACTAGACGTCAATAGAGACTATCCATCTCCGTCGACGCATGACATGTACAGAGACCTGAGGGTGAAAAGTGTACCCATCACAAAGTTCTGCCATCGTGGATTTGGTGATGGTCATGGAACCATTGAGCAGCCCGCCCAGAAAGCGCACCATGCAGGCGCAACGGTATGTTCGGCTGAGGCCCAAAAGCAGCGAAGAGAGTGCGCTCACTGCATTCCCGAACGCTACCCACACCTACATATTAAAACAGCTGGTCAGTTTGAAAGGTCTGATGGAAGTTACTCTATCACGTCGTGCCCACGATTTGAACGCGTGGGTTGGTATTTAAGTGATAGAAAAGGAGAAGGAAGGTACCCTGCGGCCTGTTCTGTCTGAAATTATTCCCCATACCATGGAAGAGCAAAACTGCGCCAGTGGGAAGAGTGAAGCCTGCACATCAGAGGGTTCAGAGTGTTAGGTTTGCATTGGACAAGCTAAATAATGGTCAGTTTGAGTTTCTTTGCGAAACTCAAACTCACTTTTTACCTTCTACGATTGCTCTGACCGATTGCTTCTGACGATTGCCCTGACAGCTTTAACTAGAATATATTGGGCTTCCACAGAATATTGAGGGTGTGACGATGAATGAATAGGTACATCCGTTTGTGCTAGAGAAAAAATGTTCTCCACTAACATGCTGAAAGTTTACTGCAACGATCAACGATATGTCACAAAGAAGTTGGTGTTTTTTAGTATTGATCATCAGAAACTGCATTAGATATACAAACCTGAACTTGTTTTCACTTTGAGTGTTGAAGTCAACACTTAGTTCTTTTCAAGATTTCTAACCCATTTTTATTGTACCCTCTGAATCCTCCAGACTGTCTACGCGATGAAGATACAATATGCAGGACCTCAGGAATTCTTGATCCACAGAGCAACGTGTCACACTCCTCCTTAATTATGAGTGCACTGTAGCATGCTACTGCAATCAGCAAGATTATGAGATTTTGAGCTTAAGGTGCCTTCATATGTAGTGCTCACTTGCCTTCGAGGTTTCAGTTCATCATTACAAAAAAATTGTCAGGCAGAAGCGCTTAAAATCTCTGAGAGCGTTGTTAGGTTTGTCTGAATTAAAGCTTATTCAGTGGTGCTCCCATCAGGCTTGCTACATCAACCCTTTTTGATGCAAGGCAGCTGTTAATCTATTTCGGGGCACAGATCGAAGCAACTTTGTGCATCCTTCGAATATGTGTATTTCTTACCATGTCCAATGTGTTTCCTTTCTACTTAGGCCAACATGAAAAGTCAATTCGTGAAAAGTCATGAAAATTCTTCCGACGATGCCCTTTTCGTTATGAGCAGGACGTCGTGTACAAAGCTCTGTATCATAGGAGTTTACAATCACTTGTACCTGTTACGCTTTCTCTTTATGGGAAAATTGCATGTGTGTATTTTAAGCCTGCGCTGTCTCGTGACATATCGATCTTCGTAGTGGAAGAGTTTGAAGGCGTTGCTCCTCACCAAAAGGCCGGCGTAGTATCCCAGATCATGACCTTGCTCCCCTGCAACTCCATAGGCTTCCACCATGAAAACCAGCTGTCATACACATGAGATATTCCTGTAAGTTTAAAGGAAGAAATTGAATCGTGTTTTGAAGTTGCAGCAGTTGTACCTAATATATGCAGATTCAGATTCTAGGGTCATGCCAACTTTGAGTAGCATAGCGGAGAAATGTTTCCGAATGTCTACTTTTAGAAAGAATAGAGGTTGACCTCACCATCGGGAACAACATGGTCGTTTGAAACCCTTGACTGCAGTGTATGATCCTGGAATACAAGAATTGAAACTATGAAGCTGCAACCAATTTGATATTACGAACGTTATAACTGCATTCTTTTCGTCACTCTAAAGTAGCATGGAACCTGTCCGGTTTGCGGTAATGATTTGAATCAATAGGTCTGCATGCAAGCTACTTTCCCAATCTTCAGGTTTGAGGGCGTGGTCCTCTTCTCCAGAATCGTGTATCGTACCATATTAGCGTCAATTCGCGCCTGTGGAGGCATGGATGGACCTTAGTCTCAATCGCAAGAACGAAACCTCTAATTTTTGTAGATTTTTTTCTGAAGGTCCGTTCATAGTGCTCCTTTATCACATTTTCAGCTTCAAGGCAACTACTACATACAGAACAGTGTGTGACTTGAGAAAAATTTTGAGTTGTAGGTTTAACCCTTGCTCAAGCTGCTCGAGGATTGTCAACAGAGTCCAGGGTCTGCAACGTAATTACCGAGGTAGGGGAGTAACCAGCGCCAATGACCCATCTGAAATCTGGGCATCCTTGTTAATTGGATCCGTTGGTTGCATTATAGATGGGTGGTCACAAACGTGCCCCCTGTCGGCCATCTGATCCACGGTCGCCACATATCAGCATCAGATCATGATCTCTGGTGGTTGATTCACCGTACCAGCACTGCCGCTTGGTATAGTTATTGCAAGCAAGCAAGGAAACGCTACATTTGCCAGACATTGGTAGACGAAATGCTTCCAAGACTTCCAAGACAAGCGATGACAACTGAGATGTCACTTATGCTGCATACTGCGAGAACATCGGTTTTGAGGATTGCATTCATATTGCGTGACCGTCCATGAAACGCACCAGTTATTTGCCGGAAATGAGGTAGTTTGCAACATACTATCACATCGTTCTTAACCCAACAACCTCAGCCACTTCAATCCCTGTCGGTGGAGAGAAAAACCTCAGAGTGCAGTTCGAAAGGATGAGTAATCTCAGTTATGACGTTCCAGCTTTCAGTCACAACTCCATCAAGAAGACTGGGGGGTCAAGTTGTTCAGGCCCAGGGAACCAAAATCGAGGCCTCATCCGAAGGGGAGTTCGTGGAAGACTGACATACTGTTGAGGTTTTCCCTGCCGTTCGGTGGATTCTATTTGCTGCTCCACATTGTTGCTTTCAGGTTAGGGAACCGTTGACAGCCAAAACTAAAGGGTGAGCTTTGACTTTAACGTCACGATTCAAAATTCAAAACAAGAAAACTTTCCGATTGCATGGGATCCAGCGCTTTCAATTTGTGCCGCCGTTGAGTCAGACGAGCGCGGTGGGCCGGGCTGACGGTTCTGGAGCAAGTAGTGTTTTGCGGCCTAATGAAAGGGTTGAATCTACGGACGCCCACATTGTCTCCATATCTGGCTTCAAATAAGCGCAGCTGATGTTGCAGCGCGGATGAAGCTGCACGGGGATTATGGACATGTGTGAGTCTAGCATGTGCACAGAGGCGATTTGTTACAAAGCAGAAATGAGTCAGAATCGCCATCTTTCTCTTGTATCCAGTTCGAACATATACAAATTTGTCTCTACACAGAGGTCCACATCTCTCTTTTGCACGATATGGAACAGGAGATATTTCAGCAGACGCTTAAAATGATCGGTGGATGCAAAAAAGGTGGCAGAGCACGCATATGGACATCAAACGCCATACAAGCGGTTGCAGAAAATCCATTACGACAACCTTAATTCCCCGCATTCCACTAAATGGTACCCACGGTGACGCTTGCATCCAAACAAACGCTGATTTCCTTTTTGTCTGAGCAATCGCTCCATTCCAATCACTCTCTTCGACGCATTGTTCGACGACGCTTAAAGAAGGAGGAGGCACCGAATCCATCACAAGAACACTTGCTCGACTTCGAATCCTGACAAGCCAGAAGTCTACACGAGATCATTCTCGGCCGCTGGCACTCACACGATTCAGACGTCCGGAAAGTCGAATTGCTTCTCCCCGAGAGAGCGTCCCTTCTTCCTTCGGCCACGAGTCTCCGCTCGCTGCTCGGAATTCCAATTCCGCCATTCCATCGTCTTGATTCACTTCGTCCGAATTTGGGCCTGCTGCGGTGGCACTAGCGAGATTTTAGTACTGCATCGCCAAGGTTCAATTCATGACCATATGACACGTGTCAAATTCACAGCACTCCACGTCAACAAAAAAACTCTAATGCACCCCAGAGCAGACAGAATCCAGCTCGAGGGTGACCTGGAAACCATCCGATCACGCCTCCCTTTCAGGTTCAGGCCGTCGATCCTGGTGACGTGATCCCGCCGGCTAGGCTACATTCGTGTACAGTACAGTACTGTACTGCGCTGTTCGATCAGTTCGGGAAAAGGTTCAACGTGGTTGGGCCGTGTTACTGCGCGGTACTGTCAGTGGCTACGTCGTTTGGCGAAGTTCACTCGCTCATCCGGTCTCAAGAAGTGACGATCAGGTCACGAGACTGATGAAGGACTTGCTCCGCTCGGCGAATGGAGCGTCGATTGCGTCGAGCTTCGTGGTGGGGGTTCTCTTCTAATCTCCGAACTCTTGCATGCTTACTAGAGAATTGCAGTGTCAACTCCTGGACTGCTGACAACGATCGGAGGTGATTAGTTCCGAGGATTGACGCAGAGATCGTGTTTTTACACGCCGCCTTGGCAGGCCTTGGCGATTTATGCTGATGAGGTGCACGTATAGTACTGCAATGCGGGCGAGTCGATAGCAGCTCTTGTGAGAGTGTGAGCACAGGAGTAGTGGGGGTAATTTTGTCGAACCCTAGCTGCCGCTGCCGCGGATGAAGCTGGAGCGGAATCTTGGGGGTATGGTATAAATTTGAGAGATGGAGCTGCGTTCCTGGATCCTCAGGAGAGTAGAGATCTTCACAGCTCGCAATGTGCACTTTGTCAGAAGCTTTTCTGATGAAGGTTCAAGGCACGCTCATAGTCTGTTCTCAAGACACAGTGGTGACGAGAATTTTATCCGCCCGAGTTTCATTGCGGCCGTCCGTGAAGTTTTTCTGATCGATTATCATCGCATCTGGACATTCTAAGACCTGGATCGACTAAAGATTAGGTCTAGACGAAAACACGGATAGAATCTGATCTTTGTCTTGCGTTGGTTTCCAGATTACGCCTCGTATTCTCTGTCTCGAGTATCGATTAGAATAGAGTGATGAGCAGTGAGCAGGCTACAGGGTTGGATATTGATGAAGATCGAAAACGTCGCTGCCGAGGAAAGCTGTTTGCATTAGAAGATTGTCAACGGAAGTACCGGAAGGAGCCGGAAAGAGGCATGATGTGCAAACACTTGAATCATGCAGCCGCTCTTTGTTTGATCTCATGTGTTTGTCCGGAGGCTGTAGAATCTGTGCAGTATCATTGTTCCAGCCGGGGCAATACCTCCAAGCGTCAGCAGTGTCAAAGAGCCCAGGCTCGTCTACAAATCTGTATCGAAGATCAGCAGAAATCATCTTAGTCTTCTACGTTTAGATGGCTCGAAAGTGAAGGACCTTCTCCACCTCAAAATTTCCTGCAGCGACGACGTAAAGGTTGGCTGGGAATGAGAAAACTTTCCCACGAAAGAACCGACTTTTTCACCAGTCCTCTCATCGAACGCAGGCACTGAACGGTGCGTACTTCACAGCAGATTCTGCTGAATGTAATGTATCACGTTTCGTTTCAGCTTGTAAGCTTGAAAAGAATACTCTCAGTCATGACTCTTCAACATTAATCTCTTCTGGTGGCATCGCGCATGCTACTGGAGTGAATGTTTACGAACGAACAGTCCTCACACTCCTCAGACTATCGTCATGAAGATACAACCATATGTCCTCGTCTGCTTGTGCAACAAGTCTGACCCTCTTACTTTGATACTGGACAAAAGTTATTTTGTCGATGGCATTGTACCTCATTTGTGTCAGCAACAGTTTCATTTATCACTGGAGACTTCACAAGCAGTTTATTATCTACGTTTTTCTGGACCAAAAGAACTATGGCGAAGATGGCTAGTTGACTCTTCTACTTTGACACGATTGTGATGTACAGTATTCAGTTTGTTTCACCGAATGATAACTTCGTTTGCAAAGAGTCAGATTGTAAACCCTTTTCACACAACTCTGAATGACGACACCTCTCTAATGAAATAAAGGTTATCCATACAGGTGACTGACATGGAGAAAACTATTACGGACATAGTACGCATGGAGGTAGAGGAGAGGAAAAAACTTATTTTTTTTATTAGCTTGTTATAGCATGGGATCATACGTAGAATAATCTAAGGCGTGTACATTCTGATAGTTAATTTCTGTTTGTAATGTCAGTTGGTTTTTTTGGTCTATTTCTACTCATGCACAATTCGTGGGCAGAATCTATGCTGGCCTCTACTAACAAAAAGGTAATCAAGACATGTACTGGTGAATACGCACCTTTCAAGCATGGACATTAACATGTAAATGTATCTCTCTCATGGATCAGTAAACGTGCATATAATCATAAGTAGCAGGGGAAGATGGCCTCATGAATATTAAACACTATGTAAAGATACCATCAAGCTAAACATGTAGCTAGTAATTTGGGAGATCAAAGATTAGGCCGTGATGAGATATATGGACCGTAACATGAGCTAAGAAACCAAAATATCTACATATGATAGAAACACATGATATACTATTATCATCTGTGATTGCACTACTCTTTATAGAGCAGTATAGTTGTATGTAAAGCCATGTAAATATAATGTCTAAAATAACAATCTAATAGAGTGAAGAAAGTGATGCACCGTCTCGTGTAGTATAATATTGTCTCGCGCACTCTATCTTAAAGTGGTTAAATTTCCGAGTCCAAGTATCCACATAGATCCCACACTATGGAAACAAAGAGATTATTTCTCTGCATATTCCTATAATTGGAGAAGGTGGTCGTCGCTGTAATTCGAGAAAGATAGATAATCAGCCTATTAGAAACTCGATAATGTGTAGGATTAGTAATTAATAATCACATTTAAAACCGTAACTTGATTTTTAAACAAATTTTTTTAACCAAATCTAGATTCATCCTAATATGATGAATCAACTATCATATTATGATAGTTGATTTCAAAGCAAAGCGATCATTTCTCCATGTGAAATCTCCACTATACTCACACGAGTCAGAAACTCCTATGCATGTTCAGGACGAAATTCAAAAGCATGGATGTTTTCTAGAGGAAAAGTGCAATCAAGCCATCTGAAGTAGTTACAAATTTTTTTTCAAAATTAGTTCCATGCTTCTGGTGTTTTATCCGTGTAGACATTATGGACTTTTGATCCATCACTTTTCAATGACTACTATAAAATGACCAAAAAATACGATCAAATTACGAGATGAAAATTTATGAAATAGAAGTGATGTTTAATATTTAACCCTTACATCTTTAATTCAATTATTTGACTTTAGTTACGTGCCTAAACATGATCAATATTAAGACATAGCGATCTAATTTTGATGTATTATTTGATGTGCAAATTTTGTATGAAATTGCTATATTTAGTCACGTGTTTTCATGATTTGCTAGACAATGGTTGCATAAAATCTATGTTTCATTTTGACAATACATTATTATCATTTGCAATAATGTGAACCATTGAAAAGTGACTTATTTTGAAAAAAATCGATTACATCTTGATCTTTAGAAAAATTATGATAAATATTTGTATTCAATCATTTACATAGATTAAAAAATATATTTGATGTTCAATCCAATTTTAAAATTTTATGATAATTTTTTCATATAATATTTTTTAAAATTTAATTTATAAGATATAATAATGATTTTTATCCTTGTCAAAGAAACTTTGCATCAATTGTAATCATTTTGAAATAAAAATTGAAATTTACGTCCATACTCAACTCTAAAACTCTCCTGATGTTTCTTTCAGCCCACAAATATTTCATAAAAAACAAAAAGAGTGCAAGAATGTGTCTTCCGCAGATACAATGATGCAATCGAGTCAACTCAAATTATGTAATTCACCTCTAATGACTAAACGACAACACAAAAAGTCTATACTAAGAAACACTAAGTATGTCTCACTAAGTAACACTAAGTAAATGCTAAGTATGCTAACTAAACACTAAGTAATGCTAATACTCTTAGAATTCTAAGAGTATTAGCATGTAATTACATGCTAATACTCTTTCAATTAGCTCGACCTACACTAACATAAGTTAGCAGTACATCAATAAACTCATAAGTTTCAGTTTTCCTTGGAGGAAGGTCTCTACCTTCCTCCAAGGACCTCTTCTTTGATTTGTACCTCTTCTTTGATTTGTACGGCCAGGGCGTTTGGACCCGTGACCCCGATCACCCAATCATCCGCGTATCTAACATAACGCACCCTGGAACGTGTTTGCATCGTTAATAATTCTTTTAAAAAGTGAAATGGTAAAATGATACTCACTAACACCACAATATCAATTCAACTTTTGCTACACTCACAATGATTACAAAAGTTCCAAATTTTACTAATACATAGAAAGTAATTGATGCAAATCTTGTTCAGTCTTTGAAAAAGTCAATATGTTTATGGTACAGTATTGATAATTGTCATTGGGTGTAAAGCTGTGCATATCAACCTCACACAACAGTCAAACCCGCATGTGACAATGAGAAACACAGCGACGCTACCGGTTGAAAGGAACCGCTCATCGTTTACATGTAAAGGGTGTTCGAAATCAGCTCGCCAGGAAGATGTAAATATTGTCCCTCGCCAGAAAAGCATCTTCGTTAGTCACGGAACCAAAACAATCCTCGTGGCAACGACTTTCGTTTGGGGTCGTCAAGATTCCATAATTCAGCATTCGTAACATCGACCTTCGTACGTGTATCTTCTCTACAATTCGTCATGATTGTTGGCTTGGGTCGTACTTGTCGTTCATGTTGTGGTTAAGTGTGATCAGGGGAGTAAGTGTGCTAGAAGGTTCCGGAATTACAATCGACCTGCAGGTGACGAATGAGCATCGCTCTCATGCAGTCGCTGTACTGTGGGGCTCGGAGTGCGTTTCTCTCTCAAGGTGTGATGTTCGATTAGCTATAACGCCGCTGCCGTTCCTGGTAATTGCTGCTCCGCCTTTTCTCACGTATGTCATGAACTTTGTCGCTGGACTTTCGGCGTTTCCTATGATCTACTCCCCGGGGATCGATGCTTTGTCACCTTCGTTCCATCCGGAAAACAACCTGTCCTAGTTTGGCCACCAATTCCCACAGAGCAACACTATCCATCTTCCATGCGAGCGACCTAGTGAGGTGTGGAAGACACCGAGGCAATCAACTCACATGTGTGGTTTCCAGTTCCGTCAGTGATCTGCCTGTTGATGAGGCCCAGTTGTCTCAGTTTTTTCTCGGCGGTTGTCGTGGCTTGGGCAACGGAAACTCGGCCGATCTTCTGGTCCTGCCTGAAGGAATTTGGCAGACGAATGCTATACCGAATCGTATATTGGTTTCGTATAAAATGAAGGTACGTTTCGTAGAGCAGAGTTGGACGGCAACAGAGTGGAGATGTTTCACTTTGGCAGACTGACAGGACGGACCGACTGACAAGATAGATTTCAGCGAAAAACAGTGCCGGAATATTCTGTCCTGACAATCAGGGCACATGAATAATCGGACATTTCCGTTCGTTCAGCCAACGACTAGTACAGTGGGGAGATGCACGTAACGGTACCGAAGAAGGGACGATGAGAGCGTGCATGCACGGGAAGGGAGGGAGGAAACGACGTTCCAAGAATGAATCAATGAATTCTGCTCGTCAGGCAACATACCATCGTTGGCTCTGGGTCAGATATCTACGTCAAAGCGTCTACTCTAGCTGGTCTTCATGTTTCCTTTGAATCTAGGAATAAATCTGTCATATATGTCTGTCGGGTCCTACTATCTCCTTCCTCGTCGAATACATACACAATTCCTCCCACCGGTTGCAATGCAGGTCGATTTGATTTACAAAGAGCTTCAAGTTTATGCCACTAGACACAGAGTGCAGCCGGAAGGGAGGGGGGCGGGGGCTGGTGAGCTTCAGCCAGACATGTGTACTTCCGTGCGCGAGCTAATCAATAACCTATCTAATTCAGCTAACTATGTGAATATGGTGGCAGTGCAATTGGACCACCAACTGACTGACTGCACCGAACCGAACCGAACCGAACCGAGCTGCGCATTTTGCAAGAAAGAAACGGAGACCAGATATTCTACAACGGAAGGAAGCGAAATCCGGTGCTGGCCTGGTGTGCTACTGATAGAGAGAGAGAGAGAGCGAGGGAGAGTGTCCCCCACCGACCTCCGCCACCCACCACCACCTTCCTGCCGACCTTCCTTCCCACCTTTCCATCAAAACTGCACTCCTGCTCCACTCGCCTACAGCCCTACCAGAACCTGAAGCCTAGCTCAGTAATAAATGAATGCAACGAAACACGAAGCGAATGGTGTCACGGGTGATCGCCGTCGTGCGTGAGCTCGGGGTTGAGGCAGTCGAGAATGGGCCTGGTGTCGTCGCGGCCGCCGCGGCTGGGACAAGCGCTTTGAAGCGGAGGGAGGCCGCAGTTGAACTGGAAGCACAGAGTCACGTCGGCCGGCAGGCTCATGCCCGGCAGCAGATTGGTCAGGCCGATGAGAAAGTTATTCTGCAGGAAGAGAGTTTCCACGACGGCGCTTTGCAAATTGAAGGCGTAGATCGGGGGCACCATTCCGCTGAAGCGATTGTTGTTCAGATAGAGATTCTTGACGCCGGCCAAGGCCGTTGGCACCGATCCCGACAGGTTATTGTAGCTCAGATCCACGACCTCGATCTTGCACGGCAACGGTATGTAAAGGCTGCCCGACAGCCTGTTCCGGTCGAGCAGCAGGTACTGCAGGGGGAAGGAGAAGGCCTCGGCCAGCACCTCGCCGGTCAGCTCGTTCGAGCCCAGGTCTAGGTACGTTAGGCTGCGGAGCCCGGTCAGCCGGTCCAGGCCCCCGCCCAGCCGGTTGTTCGCCAGGCTCACGTACTTGATGCCGTAGGGCAGCAACGGTAACTTGCCCGTCAGCTCGTTCTTCGTCAGGTCCAGATGCTTGAGCGACGTCGCGGCGGAGAAGTCCGGCAGCTCGCCCGACAGCTTGTTGTTGGCGACGGACAGCGTGGACAGCGACGGCAGCTTGGCCACGCCGTCCGGGATGGGCCCGCTCAGCTGGTTGTCAGTCAGAATCACGCTCTGCAGCCGGTTCAGATTGGACATCTGCCACGGAATGTTACCGGCAAACTTGTTGCCATACAGGCCCAGGAACTGCAAGTTGGTCAAGGAGCCCAGCGTCCAGGGGATCGACCCGCTGACAGCCCCGGGAACTATCGAGAACTGCGCCAGCGCCGTCAGCCTGCCGACGGCCTCCGACAGCGTCCCCTTCAGCCCCGGCGACCCCGCCGTCGGTTCTCCGATGTTCAGCACCACCACGCGCTGCACGCCGTCCACCACGTAGCACTGCACGCCCTTGAAGGAATCGCACGGATTCGTCGCCGAATCCGTCGAGAAATTCCACGACGAGAAGAATGACGAGCCCGGCAAGTCCTCCAGATTGTTGCGAATTTCCTGCAGCGCGCGCACGTCCGACTCGCTCAGCTGCGCGATCGCCGCCAGCGTCCACGACAGCAAGCATGCGCTCACGAACCACCAGCGCACCACGCCCACGCTGCAATTGCTCCCGACTCCTCTGGACCGCAGAATCTGCCTTGCCATGCTCGACTGATCACGATGCTGGCCGATCGCCAAATCCCGATCTCGTGCCCGTCGGTCACAGGCCGACGACATATCAGTTGAATCAGAGATTTCACTGTTGGACGACGAAACCCCAGCCCAATCCCCCAGGCTCGGTCACTGCCAACCTCCTTGCTCCATCCGATACGCGCTCTGCCTTCACATGAAACGCCCGTCCAAGCTTTGAGTCGAAGCCCGGCTCAAGCAATTGGCAGCAGCATTGTTCCTTCGTAGAGACGGTCGAAGCTCACTATTCAAGAATGATGGGAATCGTGAATCAGCTCTGTCTCGTTCCGACTCTAAATTCCAGAGCAAACACAGAGCTGCTGGCCCGCTCACCAGCCTTCTGTAGCTCCACGCTCGAATCCGTGTAACCAACCTGATTTCCCTCGGCCGACCAGATGCTAAATTGCCCAAAATGCTGCAGCACTAATCGACACGTCCTCGCATTCAACTGCGATAACTATGCGCCCCAAATGCGGGCCATATCCTTCCAGGCGGCCAGAAAGCTGCAAAGCTCTCCACAGAGCATTCTCAGAGAGCTCCCTTCCAACGTCTAGCCGTGATAATCATATCCCCACAACGTCAACAGATGTCAAGCACGGTCACCTCTACAGCAGACAAAGATACTTCGAGGAAACAAGGCACAAAGCGCTCTTACTGTCGGAGGTGTACAGACCAGCGTGTCGTAAGGCGGCAACTGAGGTGGCAGCTGGGAATTATGCACGCAGGAATTTTCTCCTCGTGACCCACGAGTCCGAACATACGAGCCTGATGTGAGGCGGGTCCCTGATTCTGTACGTAACTGCCGACGGCCGGAATCGGCAGATGAGCGCTTTCTGTGCTTCCTAAGAAATGCAGAGCTCTCTTGCTTCTTTTGTACTCGCGCTCGGCCGTGTCAAGAAGCTAACAAGAATGATTACGAGTTTCGAGCAACAATGGCAGGAATCCGGAATGCCACCGACGCGCCACTCGTTCCGCAGCAATGGGCGTTTCAGGGCTCCTCGACGTTCGGGTAGAGCTCAGCTCCTCGAAAGCATCAGTACAAACCCAGCGCTGGCTCGGCTGCCTGACTCCGCATTCGCATTACTCTGCGTCACCAGAAACAGATCGTCGCCTTTTCTGCATCGCGAAAACTGCTCCTCAAATCGTGCGCATATTTTCTGTGGGACGAGGATCTCCTCAGGCCGCGTAATGCACTCTCATGCCGCTGTCTTTTCGCTCGTCCCAATCAGTCTGAGATCAGTCAGGTCTCCGCGACCACGCAGAAGTTAGAAAGGGGGAGAGAGAGAGAGAGAGAGAGGGGAAGAGAAGAGAAGAGAAGAGAAGAGGAGGAGATGAAATGAGAGGATAGAAGAGAGCGTAACGAAGAAGAGAGAGAGACAATGCCGGTCTAAGTGCGAACCGAGCAGAAGCTCTTTCTCAGCTGCGGAGGCTTCCGAGGCTTTGCTTTGCGCCTTGCCTTGCCTTGCCTTGCTTCCAGAGCCCTCGACAACTAAGCTGCTGCAGCAGCTAGCTGAGCTACGGGCTGATCAGACTGCACCAGTCGATCGGTGCCCTCCCGTCGCCCACCGCCACTTCCACGTCGGACTTGGAGGCGAAGAAGGGGGCGTTACACTCGTTCTCGCGAGAAGAGGCAGAGGAGGCAGAGGGTCGACGAGGCGAGGCTTGCATGGCGAATGAACCCCGCGGGCCGCGGGGAGGGCGACAGGACTGACCGGCCAAAATGTCCAGGCACCGTTAAAGATAGCACACCGACAAATAATTGCAAAGACGAAATTATTAAAGCGCAGGGTTACAATTTAGAAGTTGGAAGAGGGCCTGGCTGGCTGACTGGCTGGCGATCAATCGATCAATCAATCAATCAATCTTAGGCGGTCCGGGTCATCATAATCTCGCGTCCTGTGGAGCTTCGCGACCTTGACCCCAGCGGATTGGCTAGCATGGCCTCGGCCAAACCGGGCTTGGCGACGGTCTCGTCCCCGCCGATTTAGAGAAGTCCGAATCGCTCCAAAATGTTGACTTGCGGCGACGGGAGACGTCGAATCAATCATATGCGCCAGGTGGACCCGTCCCTCGCGCGGGCCAGCGTGTCAGGACTCCGAAGCGTCGTCAGCTCGCGTCGTCCTTCAGGTTGCTGTTGGCCCCGAACCAAGCCTCGAGCCGAGCCGAGCCGCGCTTGCCAAAGAAGCTACTCGAAGTCCGGCGCGATACCTGAGAATCTACGGCATCGTACGAGCGGCCGCCGTAGCTCACCCGGTCGAGGACTAATCGGGAGGCGAGGGGGTTTCTTAACGGGGGAGAAGCTTCTCACGAGAGATACCGCGGTTGATGCATTCATGATCGACCTCTCTCGCTCCATCTCTCGATCGCTCGATCGCTCTCGCTCGCCTACAGCAACTATAATGCCGCACCATATCTAGAAGAATGGAATGTTGTGGCATGCATTTCGGAACGCAAAGTAATCATGAAGTCGGAAGTTTCTCTGCATGCATTCTAAGACGAATGGGAGCTCAATGGCCGGGGCCGGCCTGCAGAACCAAGTGGGGGTTTGCGTCTTTAAGAACTTCATTTGTGGGTGATGATGATGCGCTCGGGTGCAGATTACGGTCTGCCATTTTGTATGGTCGACGGTCGCGACTCGAGAAGCTTTCGCGAGGCTCTGTAGCCGCGAAGCTTGGTCCTTCCTTGCACCACGCTTGGATTATCGGAGGATCTTTTATTCATCACGAACGCCGATTGCTTGATCGATTGATTGAGCGAGAGCCATCCCCATGACAGCAGTCACGGCAAGCCGCACTGTAGAATTTCCGCGATGTGCCGACATTATCAAGAAGAGCAGGACCACGGTTTCTTGGTTTCTTGGGCTCGACCGGCGAGCGAGCCCCCGGGCTTCTTGCCTCGCTGTAGTTTGCAAGTCAACGATGCAGAGTCTTCACCAGGAAGCCGCTGTCTAGACTCGAGCTTGCCTTGCATTGCCATCTTCTGCCGTCTCGAAAAGAAGTTCTTGCCCTGGCCATAGCTGGCAAGGGTCTCTTTCTCCAGACTGCACCAGAGCTCGGCCCTTATTGTGAACGGACTGGCATAAGCGAAGATCCGCCATTATTGCCATTTATGTGCGAGCACTCACCCTTCTGCCACCGTATAGTATAGGCCACAGCCACGGATCCTACCGTTGCTCTGCTCTCGTCCCATGCCGGAGCCGGCCCGGCTGCCGCAGTACTTTTGGTACGTGGTCTGGACTCTATGGCAATGCAGGCGCAGGTCGAGCTTGGGGAACGGCTACTGGTGGCGTTCGGTCCGGCCAGTCTGGCCCAAACGCACCATAGCTCGCTCCCAGGCGAGACTAGCTTGCCTCGCTCTCGCAGCAGGAGGCTGATAGCGTTGCGGTTGATTCGCTTTCAGAGTGGCAGAGTTTGCAGGGTGGGTCGAGTGGGTCGGATAGGGTCGAACGTGCTTTGGAAAAATCGGAGTCTACTCGTGCAGACTGGCTTGGGATCTCGTGGATGCTGGCACGCAGAGTTGACTACAGCGTTCAGTTCGGGGCACCATTCCTTACTCTTCTGTGTGGGCAGCCCAGCACCGCTTTTCAGCCGATCAAACCCTCCCCACAACCCGATCCTTTCAGTGAATGATCTTACTCGGATTGCTTCAGAAGCAAGCGCGTCCACGTCTGGCTTGCTCTGGCATATGAGCACCGTAGATGCAAGAGAAGCTTAATGGAAGCATGAGTGTGCCACCGGCTACCCTTGCTCCGTGCAAAAGACCAGGAGAGGTGTCATGATCGTCGTTGCAGCGAGCACAATACGCGCATGAAATGTGCTGCATCGGCTGAATTTCATCAACTCGAAACAAAGTTCCGACTGTCCCGTCGCACCTCCACGATGCATGTCGACCGACATGATCGCGATTCCCAGGAGCTTTCTGCATGCAATTCTCTGGAACAGCAGCTTTTTCCGTGCGCGTTCCACAAATTTACCCTGCCTAAGCCAATGCACTCATTTCTCATTCGACCAGAGGACTTCAAACCTCTGTCTCTCTCTCACGCACATCTCGTCTCATCTCATCTCAGCTGCCACTGTGATGGAAAATAGATTCGGCAGCCATAATAGAGCCTCTGAGTCGATTCACTCCACTCCTTGATGTATATTGTTCGGAGTCGGTCGTCATCGGGTGACAAAAGCACTCGATGGAACACGGCTGCCGAGTCTGAAAGTGAGTGGCGCACGATCTCGATCCGCCGAATTAACTGCCTCCCCAAAAGCTATACGATGGAAATTACGACCTGTGCGGTGTGGTGAGCAGGTGAAAAGACGACGGACCTTTCGGACCCTCTACAACATGTCTCTCGTCTCGTACTAACTGTAGAATTCGTCCGGGCGGGTAGGTCCGGTTCACTGGGTTTGGCTTCGCTGAGGTTCGCGTCGTTGAAGTGAGTGTCCACGGAGCGAATGATTTCGAGGACGTGCACATTAACGGCCTAGGGGTGCTTCCAGCTATTGAGACAGGGCGGTTTGGTTTTCCAGAAGTTGGTGGAAGACGTGAAGCTTTCTCGAGGTAATACAACGAGTTCGGTTTTAATTGTGCCACAAAGAACGGGGTCGCCATTCCGTCGTGAACGATTGGACTCCTTCGACAATCTGCAATGAGTTACGACCATCCTCGTGTTCATCTTTTACAGTGCACTGCACTTGAATGCGCCACCGGAACAGACGCCGACGTCCGAGCCAGCGAACGTGGGACTTCTTTAGACTTCCGGGCCAGCCCCCTTCCTCCTCCTCCTCCTCCTCCGACATCATCAGATTTCATCACTCATCTCTCTCTTTCTCTCTGAGTGTCTCTCCGCGCTTCAGGCATGAATGATCAAGATCCAGTATCGCAACCGGGAACTACGGGAGCTGACACAACGTCGGCGACTCCTTCATGGCATGTATACTTCCCTTACAACTTTCGGATCAATCAGGTGATGCGTATGCCGGTTTCATATCGATTCAATGAAAAGGTTGCACTCGGTACTGTGTGGTGGAATGTCCCCTGTAAAATGGTCTTAGTGCAGCGTGGAGGGGATGCAGTGAACAACTAACAGATAACAAAAAGGAGGATAAGGCCCCATGGGGCAACCAAGATATTCCTTTTTCTCCACGATCTCTGTATCTTCCTGCTACTGCTGCAGTTCTCGGATAGTTCGTAATGACTTCAAAGTGATAACAACTCCATCGGCTGCTGCCACGGGATACATTGAAAGTGTTATCTGTTCCCCAGAGCTGCCATGCCAGCATCTTGAAATTGGTAACTGCTCTCACTCTCTCTCTGTGTCTCTGTCGGCAACTCTGTCCACCTACTTGGAATCAAACAAACTTTGATATTGCTCCTTCTTGTGGCCCCTCATGCCAGCATACACTTCACCTTTTTCTAAGACTTGGAAGATGTGAAAACTGCTGTCCGCTGCTGCTGAGGTAGCATGCGTTTGTTGTCACATCTGCTTCCTACTTCTTCTGAAACCAAGTGGCGTCAACGTCGAGTAAGAGCCAAATCTTCTCCCCTCATCCAAATCTTCGCAGCAGTTGACTATGTACCACTAACGCGAACTTGTGTGGAATATCTCCCTGGAGTTTTCCATACTGGCTTCCCCTATACTCTTGTGTGAGCTAATTCTCATGACCTCTATTTCTAGCTTTCGAGCTTTCTAATCCCAAGTGCGATTGGGTTACCCTGTTCTCTAACATTCAAAATATAAATATTTCATTTTTCTTCCGAACGCCATTTTTCTACTTTTGCAGTAGCATTCTTTTCATTCCAAATGTTGTTTAACCGCGTGGGACCATCAGGATGCGCTCCTGACCCACTCTGCACCCGACCGAACAACCGACAGTTCATTTTGGCGAATTACTTAACCTTGACAAAAGTCCTAGAAGTAAACAACGCCTAGTGGCAAAAAGGTTTTGAACGTGAAATCTTGCGGTGCTAGGGGAGTGAGTCAAAGTTTGAGCCAACTCTACTTAAACCACATACGTTTCAGTCATTTCTTTCAGTTCGTACTTACAATTTCTAGTTATTCTTGTATGCGAGCTATGTTTCAGTGATTTCATCACATTTCGTTTATTTTCTCTAAAATATTTGGAATCGAAGGTTATTAGCTATATTTACGAAGAGCAGCTACGGCCACGCCTGTAAGATAATCTGCTTCTTCAGAAAATATAAGAATGCTTCTAAGCGACATGACATCTGGAGTAGTTGTGTTTTTGAACTGTGCGGTATTATGGGGAAAGAATGGACCGTTTGTTCATGTATTATTTTGTAATTATGTAGATGACGTTAGAGTTCCTTGCTTCTTTTCTCAAACTTTTTCGATGGGTTTCTTTCGGTCTTTCCTAACGTATAACGATACCCAACATCTAAACCCAAACCCGTTATAATTAATTATGTAAATTGTGCTTTACATTACAAGTAATCAAAGCTCGTGTTTGCTCGTGCCCATTCTCTATACTGTAATTTAGTTCTGCTAACTGCGACTACATTGCTCCTTTCTCTATTCGCAAATTCACGTGCTCGGCACATTCATGGCCTTGACGATTATAATAATATATCCGTCTGAATTGTGGTTTCAGACCAAGCTCCGATGCAATGGCCAAAGCTTTAGTGCTTCTGGTGAACGAAACAGCTGGGCTGGCAGCCGCTCTTTGTCGGCTCCGGTGACCCCGGGAGGAACGATCGATCGAAGGAAGCAAGAAATCAGTGAAAATTACACCTGTGACGGCCACCTCCTCGTCGTGAAGTGAACCTTATGACGAACCAGCAGCACAATCATCATCGTGGGGCGAGGTACAGAACAAAGCGACTCTTAACCCGTCGGTAGCTGAGCAGAGTATTATTCATGCAACTGCTGCAGAGTCCAGAGTCCAGACCACCCTCCACAGACTCAGATAACACGATGCCACAATTTACAGGCTGCCATTAAAGAAACCCAGCAAAAAGAGCGAGTTCCGACGAGATTTCCCGTCATCCTCAGGTTCCATGATCTAGAGAAGGCATGCCATGGTCCAGAGACTCGAGGGCTGACTCCGACAAACAGCAGCTGAGTTAAAAGACACGAAGCATGACGAGCATGTCAGTCAACTTTCCCGGCCTCTACTCCATGCTAGACTGGTAGTGTACTATTGTTGCTGTTGTTGCTGTAATTGTATATTGTATGCACTCACTGCTCTATAGTCGTACACTTGTGTAAGTCGTATGAGCATGGCTACGGTCGTAGTGAGTGAGCTGTCAAAGTCAAGGGGAATAAAGACATTAAAGGCATTTTGTCCCTCCACTCATCATTTCTTCCCCATTTTCTCTATCCCCTTTTAACTTTGCGGCCTAGATGAACGTTGTCACTTCGTCCTCTCTTGCCATCTATCTGTAAATCTACATATCTCTTTCCCTACGTGTTAAAATGTAAACGGCCACCTTGTAACTGTTATGGGAGTCAATAGGTGAGATGCATGTTGGTAATCCTGTGAGATCTAGACCCATGAGAAAACTCGCTTCAGGTGGCCTCATATTGACGCATCCACTCAATCAATGCACAAAGCCAAAGTGATGTGCTCTTTTGTTGGTTGAGGGTGGTCTATTTAATTCACCTGATATGTTGCTAGCTAGATTTTAGCTGCTGGAAAATGATAGCAATTGAGTGTAAAGACATGGTCGAAGACTCTGCGCTCCTTACTTCTCCCTTTGGATATAACTTACTAAATTCTTTTGCCTTTATTACAACTAGTTAATGTTCCAAACGTATCCTATAAGACTTCTGTCATATTCACAACCCTTAAATGTATAGTTACTAAAAACGAACGTCCTTTAATTGCAATGCATGCACGGTATGTAAATGTGATCTGTTAAGTATCCTTGAGAAGCTATTTAGCCGTAGTGGCGGCTGTAACTCAGATACCACTGAGAGATGTGCCTCGTTCCGCTATTTGCTGTCAGAAACTTCCAATATACAGATGTTCTTGCATGTGATTTTGGGAGTCCATTGTTAACGAAATAAATTAAAAATAACAGATGCAGTATTTATTGAATGAGTTGTCGCTTCCAAATGTTAAGAGTAAATTCTTTAGATGTTTCTAAAATCATGTTAAAACAACTCTTTTAAACAAGTAATGATTTTCACACAAAAGTTAGCATAGAAAACGTTTAAATTGATTCATCATGTGAATGAAACTAAAAGAAATGAATGAAATACATTTTAGAAGAAATCTATGAGTAAATGAAAATCATTAAGAGAAAACAAAATAATATGAAACAACCAACATGTTACATATTCAAAGAAAATGATATTCATCTATTGAGTCAATAAATAAATATGATAAACTATTAAAAAGCTCATTGTAAGAAAATTATCATTTTAAGTAGAGGAGAGTCAATGGCAAAGCACTCTACTCTACTTAAAATGATACTTTTCTTAAAATGTTCTTATAAATTATCATTTTCTACATGTTTCTCAAAAAAATTCCAAAATGATCAATATAATGTGATTAAATAATTTTTTGAAGTGTAGGCTATAAGTTTAGAAATCCTGATTCAACTGAATAGCCATTAGTAATTTTAAATTTCAATTTGGATCATGGATTTTTTCTTTTCTCTTATTTTGAATGATATTATTTGAGTCTAACATCATCTACTCTTGCAATTTTGTTCTATTATATCAATGATTTATGAATGAAAATTATGAATATTTGATAGTGCTCTTGGATTTTTTATTTTTTCTAAGTTCTTTTTGCTATTTGAGAAGTGAGATCATATAAGTGCTGCAATTTTCCAAATGGTGTAAAATACATGATGATATGTTGTGCTTACTTACTTCAAAAATGTTATGGATTACAAGATACAAGCAAATGACTTATAACATTTATATTGTGCACATGCTTACTTAATCACATCTATATTTTTTATAAAAGAAACTCATTGTTATATATATGTCCATGTGAGCTGTTTGATTACATTTTAATTCATCATTTCACAAAACACATACACATTAGATTGTATCTCTTGTTGATCCTTGATAATATAGTGATAGATTTATAAAAATGATAAGCCATTTTTTGTTTGACCAAGATTGTCAACAATGCAGGTAAAAAATTTGAAGTTGTACTTGATACAAAGTGATGATATGTTTTTTGGGTAGGTAGAAGAAATCACTTACACATTCAATCGCAACAGTTTTGAAAAAAGTGTAACGCGGTACGTTGAACTTGAATCTTCTAGCTAAAAATATTCTTGATAATCCTATGAAGTAGCTTGGTCAATCATTTATGAATTTTCACCTTCAGTTACAAGCAAATGATTGATTATAATGGTTTAAATAGAAAGTAATATACCTAAACCTTGAAAAATATTGTCTTTTTGAGAAATAATTCAAATCTATGTCAAAATGCTTGAGTGAAATTTTGGTATGGATTGTGAGATGTATTTGTTGATGGATAATAAATTCTCAGAGCTAATGAAATCTTCAAGAAATCAAGTTTTTATCAAAAGTGAAAACAGAACCTAAAATACAATTTAGGAGATGAAGAAAACACAATCTTTGACATCAAGTTGATAGCTATAGGTTTTACACAAGACAAAAATTTTGAAGTACAATAAAGCTTGAATTCCTTGTCACTCTACTATACATTCTTCTCTGATTGGTTGAACATCTATTTTAGAAGTAGTTGCTACCCACCCCATCAACCCTAAAGCATTGCATTGACCAATCAGATAAGCGTTTATAGTAGAGTGAGTCTAATTAGCCCTAAGTGAGCGATAACTAGCAGCGCCCTAAATAAAAACAAGACAAGAAAAATTCTACAATAGTGTGTATGTTTGCAAAAATGCGTAGTTAAGTTCACAACAAAAGTTGACTATGGAATCACAACAGACGCAGCAAAGAAAACTATTCAATTGAATGAACCTATCTCTGAGATAGAAGTGAAACAAGAGGTTGTCAATCTTCATTGTGATAATGAGAGTGAAGATTGCCAACCTAGTTAGATTGCATTACATCTTTTTAGAAATCAAGTGATACACATCAAAAAGATACACATCAACATCATATATCACTTTATCAGAGCTGCAATTTTTTATATAAGAATTGAATTAATCAAGATTGAGCGTAAGTTCAATCCAACTGATGTTTTGTTTGAAAATTTCATAAAACTGTGCTATCTTTTAGATTTTTCATCATTAGCACAAGTGGAATGTACTAGCAATTTTTGTTTTCTCTTTAATTTTTGTCTGTTTCATGTTTTCGCTACGACTAAACATTAGTAAGCTCTAGTCTAAAGAAGTATCTATGTTAATATTATTATTAGAAATTTTTGAAAAATAATTACATAAATTATGGAGGTTGAAGTCTCCAAAAAATAAGTTAAAGGAAAAATTTTTAGTATTAACTCAAGTTTTAGTTTACCTCTAGTTGCTTAATGCTAGTTAGAGTTAGATTCAGAACTTTACTAATATGTTAGTATTAATGTTACTGCTACATAGAAGTTCAAGTCATAATTTGCCTTGAACATTATTTAGGTTTCAATAAAACCTTTCGGTTACGTGAAGGTAACCCATCAATGGCAAATCATGTATCTTTGTGTTGATGTAGTGTGTCTGCTTGTGCTTTTTTGTATTTTGATTTGTTGTATTTTGAGAACTTTTTGATTCTTGGTACATTCCTATGAAACTATGAGGTTATTATCAAAAATATCATAATTTTGGAAACTCAAAATTTATTTCATTATATTTGTTGAATTTAATTTTATTAAGATTTGAGATCAAAGGTTAAAATTGTAATGCATTATATAGATATAACATGGCACACACAAATCTAAGATAGGTGTATGTTGTCAAAAAATTACATGTTCAATCGAATAATTTTGAATTGTTTCAAAGCGTTCTAGTCTCTTAATCTATGTACGACGTAATTTCAATTGGTATATTGCAAATATAAATACTCATTTATACAATTACATAAATGTGATATGTGAAATATTATACTAAAATTTTCTTTAGGAATATAAAATAGTTTTTACGTTAATCTCCTTGTATTTATGTCATGTTTTACAAAATTTGATGACAGATCCTGGACATATTTTTATTTTCAAAATATGGATTTTTGAGTCTGTGTAATAGAAATTGGCATTAATATTACATCTTTATAAGCTTTTTTTGAAACAAGAAACAAATTTCATTACAATGGACAGAAAATTACAGCATTTTTTCGACTTGAAAACTTCAACATCTTCTCTTTCCAATTTATAATCCCAAGTTAGATTTATCCTTAAAAAGTAAGCAATTAATTTGAATGATAGAGCATTTAGTTCAGATGCATTAAATAAAACTGCACAAACTTGTATTTTATTTTCACTTGTCTGTTCATTGGATATTCTATTAGCAGTCAATCTTGATTGATAATTACTTTGAACAGGCTTTATATTAGGTATGCTATCATACTTTTCACAATTAGGATTAGTGCGCTATTATTGTCAGCAATGTTTGTGGATATTGATTCCACCATGTGTGTTTTGATTTACACTTGCTGTTTCTCCTAGTTTTGACTGGACTTGGTTTAGCAATCTACATCTATCATCCTTCATGTCTGATACTACATTGCATGCAACAATTGTGGATATAATTGGTCGATAATTTGTTATCTAGATGCTCGCTTTTGATGAACTCATGATAATCCATTAATGCACAAGAGGATATTCTACCAGAATATGAACGGTATGACTTGCAGTCGATTCAAGTAGGACATAACCATGATTACTTGACAAAAGTATTTTTTCAAGTGAAAACTTCATGTTTGCATTATTTGGTTTGTAAATAACAGTAAATTTGTCTTAAACTTGCAGATTGTGAAAGAATTTCCAATATCTAAATCATGAAAATAGTAATCTCATCAAATTTGCTTCTATGTCATATTGTACAAACTTATATGCTTTTACTGTCGTTCCAGCTAAATAACTCTTCGTACCATTTGATGCATGCTACCACAATGACTGAATGATTGTTATTTAATCAATAGAAGTCTTCAGAATCAATCTCTTAATTCTGCTTCAAGATATCTCCAAATAACAACTAATCAACGTGACTTACCATTTGAATGAAAAAGAAAATTTGAAACAATATAAATATGCTCTCATTTCTCATGCAAGTCAATACAATTTGTCAGGAGACCCATACCCCATACAAAGAAGAAGTGTAAAAAAAAAGTCAAAGTAATGCTCCCATTTCTCATGCAAGTAATGTGCCAGGAGACCCATACCCCGTACAAGGAAGAATTGTAAAAAAAAGTCAAAGTAATGCTCCCATTTCTCCTGCTAGTAATGTGTTCGGAAGATCCAAACCCCATCCAATGAAATTATTCAAGTAAAGCCAAGGTAATGCTCTCATCAGTAGTAATGTGTGCAGCATATTCATACCCCATAGAATACAACAGGGTATATGACTCCATAACACTTTGCTACTTTCCTTGTCATGCGGAACAAAGTTACAGGCTCTGATCCCTCTGAAACAAAGAATATATTCACGATGAACGAATGGAAAGACAGAGCTAAGTATAATGAGCTTTGACCATTTAATCATCTGGCCTCTCATCCTCATGGGACCACGAACCGGGAATATCGCGGTTCCCTTAACCCTTTTCTTTCCCGAGAAAAAGTTTAGATAATACTCAGCAATCCTGCATGCAAAGAATCCCGGGCTTCGTGCCTTTAACCAGAGTAGTAAATGAAATTCTAAATTCCTTTCCTTTTGTCCAGATGTAAAGACACAAAGGACTTATTCAATCGAAGGCTATGACGCTGTCCTAGACATGAAAGCCAAGAATCGAGCTTGCAGGTAGATAGCAATCCCGTTTCAAGTGAAAGTAAACGATAGCATAACACATCTAGAGATCAACTGGCAAAGCCGTTGAATGCACCGGGCTGGTTGGATGGGTAGGGCTGTTGGCCGTCCTGCCTTTAACTCTGCTGTTCAGACTTCCATCTGTACCCGTCCAGGCTAGTTGCGACTTGCTTCATAATAGCAGCTCCTTCGCTTTACAGCTTCAAAGCTTTGGACTCGTACGTGTTGAAAGACATTGTCTTCGGGGTTCGAATGAGGATCCACCTGCCACGCCGTATCGTGGCGATCGTTGCCTCGAGACGAGTCAAAGAAGAAGGAGCTAGGGTGAGTTTCGGAGTGGGCTAGAGCCAAAGCAGGTCTGAAAGTCTTCTCCTGTGATGCTGATGCTCTTGAGATCATGTCCGAGATTTTCCAAGTTTTGACCAGCGACATTGTTGGCCAGACAGAGAGGCGAAGTGGCCATGCGCAGGCGTTACCATAAAACCGAGGCTGAAGCTGCTGCCCTCTTGGAAAGCATCCAACTGGCAGCAGTGATATCATTACCCAGTTCTCAGACTCGTCCTCCTGTTAGACTTTGTCGTACCTCGTACTCAGGCCCGTGTTTTGCTGCACAATTATGAACTGAAAAGCACTTTCCTTTACGTGTTATAGATGAACTTGGAACAACCATTGGAAACAAAGGGTGTGGAGGCCACATCTTCCAAGTCTGTACCTGGTGGCATGTATGTTACAGCAAACGGACTGGATATGACAAGCTATAAAGTCCAGGGAGGCTGGAAAATAATGATAACGTAACAGAGTAAGACTTTCGACATAATGGAGGCCATTCATAACGCGACGCGATGTATGCAGTACAGAGAGTGACGATTTTGAAAGACTGCAGACCTTGGTAGACACGGTCATCTGAGCTTACGTTTAATTTCCACTGGCAAGTACAAAATGTGCTCCACCTCTTCGAAACAAAGGAAGAATTTCAAACATGGCCTTCTTTACAGATACCTCATGGTTCTACAAACTGTGCACCTGTGAATCCTTCTTCACCTGTGACCAAAAATCACGAGAAAAAAGTACACTTCGAAACGCTTCACTTTTTGAGATGAAAACCCATCAAGAAGTTTATTTCTACGGCGCTCGCTGCACATCAGCATCGCACGGTTATAAAATTGGTTCTTTGATCTATGGTCGCTTTCGTCCACCTCCACCAGCGGTCCAACTTTTCCTACGACGAGACTTGAAGTTCTCTTTTGAACTTGTAACAAAGTTGTCAATAGGCCCCATATAATCATCGTCGTTGTTTTCTGCAAGGGCTGTATTGTCTTGTCGTTTAGAAGACGAGCCATATCCCCGGCTGTAACCGGCGTACAAATCTGATTGGTGAGCCCTTGCTGGAGGCGTCCATCTCCCTTCCCGTGACTGCAAGTCCATCCATCGGGGCACCCCTCCGTTACGTCTTTGGTGTTTCGAACCAGGAGTAGAAAAGTCCGCGGGGGACAAACCTTGCTCTTCAGGTGGCCATGGAGCGGGCCATGGACGACGCTGCTGCTTTCCACCAACAATCCAAGAATAAAAAATTACGACCAAATTCAATGACACCGATTAGCCACATCCATTTTGTCGTAAGAATGACACTGCCTAATCCCAAGCCCAAAATTTTGGAAGTTTTCTCCAACCCGCGGTAGCTATGGTCCGAACGCAGGGAATAAAACTCAGCTTGTTCTTTTCAAAAGAGCAAACGCCTGGATGACCAGATTTGAAACAAACAAAGAAACAAAGAAGCCTTTACTATCGCTACTCACACAGGTGACAGGACAATAAAGCAACTAACCTTGCTGCATTCTCGAGCGAAATGCCCTTCTTCGCCACACTTAAAACATAACGAGGCGGTTCTGTCCTTGTCACCTCCTGCTCTATCTCTATCTCTATCTGCTCTGCGAGTCCGCGTACAACCCTGTCATGGAACAAAAAACTTCTACATAAACTTGGGGCTCATAAAATTTTCAAAATGTGCAACACAAACATACGCACCCGATGTTTCAGGTCACATCAATCTTCTAAAATTTCGAACCTTCGAAAGCAACAACAATACCAAGTAATCCATAACGCACCGTTCCAGTATGACCCATTTCGCCACACATGAAACACGAGACAGGTACAGGAGAAGTGTCCACAATATCAACACACGACAGGTGTCCGAACTCCTTGCAGATGTAGCATTGCACTTGCTGCGTCACGATCAACACACTACGGTCAATTCATAAAATGTCAATCTTCGTGATAAAATACCAACTGAACCATAATGCTCCAGTTAACAATTATACCTCCAAGTCCTGTTCGTCGTACTCATAATAACACGTTGGAGCTTCGTGACCAGAGCGTCCACACAGGAGACAGATAAACTCATCTCCTCTACTTGTCGGAGTCCGTAATCCCTTGTTGGGACAGTTCTTTGCAATATGGCCTACTTTCCCGCAGATGTAACAATCTGTTTTCTGCAAGCACGGGGTGACACGTCTGTTCTGAGAATATTTCTACATAAAATTACATTTACAATGGCATGTATTCTTCTTGACTTCAGTACTTTGAGAAGAGATCCTTCTCACACTTAGGTGTATGTAATAACGAAACGGTTTGCCAAAAATACCTGAGGACAGTCCCTTCCATCGTGTCCAAAAGTTCCACAGACATAGCAAGGCTTGAGTCGGCGACCTTCGGCACAATCGACGGCCAGATGACCAACTTTGCCACAATTATAGCACGACTGATCCTGCTCTTCTGGAGGATCGAAATAACGTGGTCCACGCTGGAAACACAATGCACGTTAGGGTCGTGTATAATCTATTTTCTAAACCAGCCAAAGGAAATGGATCCAAACAACTTGTGATGGTTTTAAATAACATTATATAGAGGGGCGGCAATCCCTCCAGTTTAAAAGTAATCAACAGATCTGCGCGATTCCTGTTTCCCTGCACTTAAAACAGATTAACTCGAGAAGACGATCTAACTTCAGTCCTGCGTTCGACACTACATTCTACACAACACATACTATCACCCGTCAGACACACCCTCTACACAACACATACTATCACCCGTCAGACACACCCTGCACAACAGCGGAACCACCTTGTCGCCATTCAAAAGTTCCTACACCCCTAAGCTAAAGACCTTACAGACAAGCATGACCATAATCCCAGCTGATGGACGGTTAAGCCGTGAGTAGGAATACGAGTGATGATTCAAAAGTGCCCTTCCTGCACAAGTGCCTCTAGATTCTTCGTCTAGAACCCTCAAAAGCTCTAACTAATAGCCAAGTAGTAGATGAAATTATGCATTTTGGTCGAAGAAGTGACTCACCAAAAGTTTGCGCATGACCATACTCTCCTCTGCATCAAGAAGTTTCACTTCTTTCACGTGAGATTTTGCTTTAGTTTGATCGTTGTCTCCGCCTTTCTGCACTCCGAAAGGTAGAAATTATTGCCCACTAGTGCAATGACGCAAACAAGAAAGGAACGTCCACTAAGAACAGCAACGCGGAGCTCCTCCAAACCAAGTTGTTCAGAGGGGTGGGGAGCGTCACGCAGTCACGACTACAAGTCGAGGCGAAAAGACTTCTTGAGTCGGTATAACAGTCACCTGCAGAAAAGGGAAACAGATTTAGGACCGAGTTAGCCCTCGAACTGTCTTACAGCGGAGAATCGACATATAGGTGCAACAGACACCAGCACAAAACAATTGCTTTACCAGATCAGATGTTCACTAAAAATAAAGTTCTTTATTATTCGCGTGCCTTCCACAGTTTCGATAAATTTTTGGTTAACCTTCCCCGATAAAGTTGAACTGCGAAGCTTCATATCCCTACTATTTGCAATATATTCACGATGTACTCCTATATTCTCTCTTCTTCTTGTCGCTGCTTAGCACTGGAACTGAATAATATCATATTTGACAATAGTGTAAAAACGGAAATCAAAAAATATGTTCGCAGGTGAACAGCGCAAGATCATCAAGTAACACACCATTACCATAGTAAACCAGGGCAACTAATCTCATACCAACAGCATGGCTCCAGATACAGATGAACAGAAGTAACAGATGCACCACAACATGACCGCTTCCAGCTCAAACTTGAAGCTCCTCGCATAGTTTCTCAAGGTGGAGTTAGCTAATAGACTGTTTACATCTTATTTGAGTGCATCTCGTCTTGTCACTCCTTAAGATGTAGAATGTTCGCAACTGGACATATATTTGTCATTATTCGGTGGCAGGTTGCATATCGAACTTTACGTCGCTAGAACAGCTTAAGTGCTTCCTCCTATAACTGCTCTTGACCTTCGAGGCTCGGTCTTGAAACACTCGCAAGAAACAGCGTGTATACCTTTCATTCACTTAGACTGCACACAAGCTATACGCCTGCTTGCTACACAAGTCCAGGTCTGACACTGATGCTTCATATCCTTGAACTAGAAGTAAACAACCTGAGATATGCTGCTAACAACAATCAAATATGATATGGTGAGGCCATAAGAGTTCTTCAATATGTCGTTTTCAACCAAGATATGATAGCCCCCGCCTGTACTGAAAGCAATTCTTGGCTGTTCTAAACTGCTTTGACGAGCTCTGTTTGTTTTCTTCACACGTTAAGCTTTCTCTATAACAACGATAGCCTTCATTTTCATCTTGCAGGAGGTACTTCAAAGCTAATATAATCTGACGCTTGCAGATGTTCAAGTCGTAGACAAATGACATATTTCTGTTACTGTTTTAGATCAATTTGTCAGTAAGTAGCATATTGAAAGCTCGATGACTATGTTACCAAGTCCTGTGAAGTGTCTGTTATTTTAGGACTATCATTCGACAGATTGTTAGAATGATAATGAGTTGCGAGTTTGTCTGTCGAGGTTTTTTCCCGACGGTAATTACATGCATAAAAATTCCCGTTATTGACACAAAAATCCGTTCCGAAACCAGGCTCTGACTAACCAGTATCTGAAATAGAAAATGTTCGGCATCCTCTTCAAATCAAGATTCATTTGAAATTAACATCAGTTTGGTACGTTTGAGCAGTATTTCAGAATGTCAGGAAAACGTTTTAATTTGTAAACTCCTAAAAGTTTCTTCTTACTACTTCTTCTCCACTTGGCTTCTATCTTCTGTCATAGTTCCGTCCTATCCTGTGCTGGCAAATTCTTGTTCAGATTCGAGTTGTCTGTCCATTCTCCTTTGCTACCGTAACTTCTTAAAACCTTTTGAAGACTGATTTAAACTAATGTCCGGTACATTTCTCTTTGCTACATTCTTGCTAAACAAAATGAAAAATGTGAACAATGTAACCTTCGGACATGAAGTCAGCACAGAGAATGCTTTCCCGTTGACACTCCTAATACAATCATAGCTGACATCTACTGACCTACTTCAGTCGATAGACACACGGTATATTACCTCTGAAAATGAAACTCTATAATCAATTGCTAACAACATTAATATCATATTGTGATCTTTGTAATCTATGAAAAACTTCCAGAAACCGGCAGTATGTTCCACACTTCTATCCTCTGTATGACAAAAATGCTGCGGTTTGATAAAGGCAAATTCAGTGCTCGCATGGAATTCTATCAACTGAAGGACATTTTGATGAATTGTGAGGCTACCATGTGCATCTCCTTTCTTTGATTAGAGAAGCATGGTACCTGAATAGAAGGCAACACTGTAAATTTCACCTTTAACTGTTCAATTTTTACAGTGTCCTAGTTAGGGCTCAGAAGTCTGGTAAGAGTCATGAAATAGTTACAATGACCTTAACTACATCATCTCAAACTCACTGGCGTGTAACAACTCAGCAATTTCACCTTAATTTTGACAAAGCTATGAGTCCTATTCATACCTGATATGAGACAACAAAATGGCATTTGCAGCAAATGGTGTGGCCCATTCTCCAGCTCCCCAATGAAGCCTCATAGCTAGTTAAAAAACATGGAAAATGGCATGCAAGGATTCGAATTCGGAACATACTCTTACCTTCTTCTTCTTCTTTTCTTTCTTTTCTTTCTTCCTCTTTTTCCTCTTCTTTCCTCCACCTTCATCTGGGGCGTCCTCTGCTTCGAAAAGGTCTGCGGCAAGCACAAGGTTTCCTTCGCCGTCCTCCTGTAGCTCGCCTTCCTCCGGAGTATCGCTCCTGGACAACGGTTCTTTGCACTCGTCTGCAGCAACAGAATTTCCCTCACTGCTGCGCTTCTCAACAATCAGCTCCTCCTCTGCACGACCATCTATAATGACAACACCCTCATCTGCCGCCCGAGGCTCTAGCTTCCGCCTCTTCTTGGCTTTCTCGACAATGTGCAAACTCAAATCTTCATTCGCATGACTGTCATCTTCATCTCCAATATCATCATCATCAGCTTCGCCATCCTCCTGCTCACCTCGCTGGACAACCGAATACCTCCGGGTCTCCAAATTCAGCCCATACCCCTCATCCTCCACGCTTCCTTCGTCCTCGTCGGCTCCTCCGCCGCCTCCACCATAACCACGGCTCCCTTTCGCCACACCTTCGGAGCTTCTCGGCGTCTCCTGGCCCAACTCTCCACTCTCCTCTTCGTCCTCCTCCGCTTCCACTTCCCGTGCCATCGCGGCGGTCAGTCTGACTGTCTGAAGTCAAAATTCCTCCATCCAATCGAGCATTCGATCATTCCAGCAAATCCCGCATTCCCACAATTCCGTGCTCGTGCTTTCGAGTCTCCTGCAATTTGCACTCCTGTCTGGATTCTTCGCGCGTCCGTTCAAACCCTACTTCATTTGATTTCTCTTCCCTCCCATCATCCTTTCCTTCTCTCCGAATGGGTCCTCGTCGAATGACATAATTTCAGTTTGCTGCTCTTGTTCGAATCTGGTCGTTTCCTGACACAGATCTGCTTCAATGAGGAATTCCAGGACTGCTACTCATTGGCAAACAATTTCTGCCACATGGCTACTGGATTTTGAGCTGCAAGCAATTTGATATGTTGCCAATTCAAAGCTCTCCCATAACAAGAGTATTAAGGCTGGAATATCTCACGTGCTTATGCCAGAAACTGAATACAATAATGAGAATATGTTGAAATTACACAACGTGGTAGGCATGCAATTTTGGACTTCACATTTGGTGGTAGTGTGGGATTCATGTCTCGTTAGTTTATTTTATTGGCTTTGGTCCATTCATATACATTTCTCATATTCAAGAACTCTACCAATAACACTATTAACTAGCAGAGTTGTGTGACAAGTCTTCACGATAACATTCACAATATGCTGCTTCATTTAACTCTCAATCTGGAGTTTCTCTATGTAATATGAAATTTGAGTAATATATATGTATAAATATGTCAGAATATGACTTTTGCAAACTTTGCATATTGTGATTATGTGCAAAATCCTCCACTTCATGTTCAACATCCAACTTATCTTATTCTTGGAAACAATGTACTTGTTATATTCATTTGTATGACACATAATGGTCAAATGATGCTTGTCTATTTTTATTGTTGATAAATGCGAAACTTTACTTTCACAATTTGTCACACATGTATGTTAGTGTAGGTTGCATAAAATAAAAAATTAAAAACATTTTTAATATAATACTAACATGTTGATAAAATCACTATCACCAAAATACAATAACGCATGACAAAATAAGAATGTAGTCTACGCGCAAACAATCATGAAAACCCTTTATAAAAAAAATAAATTTTAATTGATTGCAAAGGATATTACAAGAAATTCATGAATAATTGTATATTCAAAAAAAATTAACAGATATAATTATTACAATGAATTAGTCTTTTTCAATAAGAATTTCAGTAATAAATAAATATCTCAACTTAAATCATGTAATCTTAAGAAACTATCACGATTTTAGATAAAATATATTTATTTATTCCTTCTATTTTATATTTACTATACTTCTAATTATTATAATCTTAATAAAAAATTAAATTAAATTCAAAAAGTGACTAAAATTAACAAAAGATACATTTATTAAGAAAACTTTTTACTTATTAATCAATACAGAAAATATATAAACCATTCTCATTTCATCATAATATGTTTTATATATTTTTCGTAAATCCTTTATTAAAATATTTAACTTAAATGAAAAAAAATCTAAATAAAAAGTTGTTATTGTATTTTACTCAATATAATAGAATAAAGTACACTAGATTATAGCATTTTTCATTACTTGTAGATGATTTTCAATTTTTTATCTAAAAAATTGCATATTTTGTAACAAAGTTTGTTAACATAGTCATGCTTATTTACATTCAGATATTCACATAGAAAAAAAATATAATGCTCAAAAAAATTATATATATATATATATAATTTTAAAAAATGTTAAGAAAGTGAACAAATATATTTAATGAACTAACCAAAAAAAAATTACTGCGTAAAGATGAAAGAACATCATATTTGTTGGACAAGTTTTGCCTATACAATAAAATATCCAAAAGCCAAGTAATGCAGTAGGACAGAATCTTCCGGTGCCATGCTTATGTAAATTTCAATATGTATATATATTCTAAAATCTTTTTCTTTGTATATTAGTGAAATTGTTTAATTCAGAGCAGTGAACATTAGAAATGAACTGTAAAATATGGAAAAATTACTAGATATTGATTTACATATTTAAATTTTCAGGCAGTGTTTTCTTCATATGAGGTTCAAATGCTAATCAATTATAATATTTGAGGTCTAACAATATAACCATTCAATCACACTTTCATTCATCTGAACAGGTTAATATAACCGAAGCAATTATATATCACGATAAAAATAAGCCATTTTTTAATTTATTCTAATAAAAAATATTTAATGTTATTATTTAAATTTTATTCATTGAATATAGTTTTGAATGATCATTTAGCTACTTTTATTTAAGTTTGAATTTTCAGAATTAAATATACGTTTTTTTGAAGATTAATTTAAAATAAAGATACATCAATCACTTGCATTTATAATCATAAACTGTAAGAAATTATTATTATTTTAAATTTTCTCTTAATATTTTATTTAATTATGTTAATGAATCTAAGCATGTTTAATCAACACAAAACAAGTGTTATGTTTGATAGATTTATGCTAATCACTCAAGATAAAACATAAAAATTTACTAAAATCTTGAATAATATAAAATGGTATAGTCTGCAAATTTAAAATCCTATAAGTTGAAGAATGAATATATTATACATCTAGGTTCATATATATTAAAGTATCATACAAAAAATTAGATGATAATGCCACATAAACCAATCTCCACAATAAAATCATAGCAATATTATGGAAAATTATATCAGTTCAAAAATATCAATTCAAACTTTCTATCCGTATGTATACATATAAGTAATACTTTATATGATTTTGAGACTATGATAACAAATATTTATGTCCATGTACTTTAACTTCATTTGGATGATAAGTTTATCAATCAATTACATTTCTTTGATGATTTTTTGCTGTCATATATTTCAAGTTTTATTATTGATTATATTATACATTTCTTTTAAGAATAATCAAGCTTATGCATCAAATTTCAAATGTAAAAGCATATGGAAAATATAATTAATTATTTAAAACTAAACTAAAAAAACTAAGTATAGTATAGATTGTCTAAAATTATATTAGTTCTCTTTTCAACAATTTTTTACTTGTTAAGACTACATACAATCTAAACGTTTCACAATAAGTAATATGAATATAGAGTATGAGATATTGTTTTCAAACAATCATTAGAAGTATACAAATAAATAAGAAAAATTATGCCAATTTTTTTTACCTTTAAAGTTTATGACATTGAAACTACTTTAATATTTCATTTAGGTCAGAAGAGAAATAAAAAAAACTCATTGTCAAAAAATGCATGAAGACTCTTTGTATAAAGAGAATATTCATCTCTATGTAAGGTAAAGATTATACAAAAAATTGTGTTTTCATATATGTAGAGATCTTTGAAAGAATATTGAAAACTAGAATTTGTTGAAATTAACTCCGGTTAAGGAGTAACCTCAAGTCTAGCTAACAGTAGCTAGAAGGGTTGTCGGTGCTGGGATATTTATACCCGAGGGTTTGTGTATTACTTGACACACTTTTCAGTATACTCTTTCACGCGTGCATGTTCCAGCCGTGTACGAAGCCCCTTCAAAAGAGTGAACCACATTACATTTGTGTCATGCCTAATCGTGCTTGCGTCTTACAGGTTTTCAGTTTACCTATAACAAATGATATTAGAGCTAATGGTTTTTTGACGTGACACAAGTTCAAGACAATGCTCGCAGTTTTTATGCAACAAAAATTTGAGACAATGTTGACAGTTTTCTGGAGTTGACAGAACGTCATTCACTCAGAGAGGTGCTATTAAATTCGTTTTAGAAATTTTTCTCTTACGAAAGTGGTACGTTTGAACTACACATCAAAGTCTCATGTAGTATATACCTGAACTCTTAAAATCTCAGTTTTTGTTTCAGGTATGTTTTCTGAATGCTGCCATAGCTTCTTGATTTACTCTCCAAATTAGAAGTAGCCTAGAAATTGCCAGTATCGTGTTTGACAGTTCGTTGCTGGACGGTTTAAATCTTCATGCAGCTATTTCAGCTTCTTGCTCTAGAATTCCACAGCGGTGATAACAACTTGTTTCCCATTGCTTTAAGCGTATCTTTGATTCTTGCATCTTCTTCTCTATTTCAGATTATTGCTATTGAAGCTGAGTTAATGCATCAGAAAAGGAAAAACTCAACTTCTGTCTATTTGTTTCAAAGTTACAAGAAACTTTTTCTTCTTAGTAACAATCCACAAATCCATAGCTATAACTCGGCTTCATTTGTCCATGTCCTTAAAATCCTTGTTTTAAGCCTCGAGCAAACCACCAATATCATATTGATCATGTAATACTATTTGTTAAAGCATAGATGTGTCTATGATTTCGTCTGTCTTTGTTTAGTTGAGGTTTAGGTCTTGGTACTGGCTAAGGTAGTGGTATTGAACTGTAGAGCTAGTATTCAATATTGAAGGAGGTTACATTTAATAGCCGAAAATAATGAATTTGCACTTACAAGATTCAACACTTGAAAAGTTAAATGAAGAATACCGATGTTGTTAAATTCATATGATAAACCAATACTTGAAGCTTTTTAATCATGGGAGTGCAGTTTTTTGTGCATATTCTTGCCGGGTCAGATACGTAATGTGACATTCAAGTTTGGAACCTCAAGTGATGTGATTGCCAAGGCCTTGATGTGATTAGCCACAGTTGTGTGAAACATTGGATGTGTGATTCAATATGTTGTATCTCTTTATTATACATTATTATACATTTATTATATTTTCATACATTATACAATGTATGAAATTATGATCCACTGTAATAATTACTCGGTTGAACTCATTCGCGTGTCGAGAAATAGTCAAATCGAGGTTCAAAAATTGATGTTTGTAATTACTTTACTTTCTTGTTATTTACTTTCATTTTCCATGTAGCACGGTTAGCAATCATTGAAAGAAAATCACAAAAAAAGATAATTTACTGATGCATTTTTTTTCTATTTGACTCACAAGTTTCTCACATGTTCTCATTCACCAGCCTCTAATCGACATGTTGATCTCAACACTAGTCTAGTGACAACCAGAGGCGAATTGGCAAAATTCAAGCTGGTCAAAGACTCATAGGTGGATTGTGAAAGCACGGACGTGCAAATTTAAAACTAATACTTGGGCGAAACCTTACAGCATGGGTAGAAAATCCATTGTTCGTCAAAAACAAATCATATTTGTCGAGAAGGCATATGCAAGGCGATTTGCAAGCGTGGAAGATGCCATCGGGCAAAACAAAATCAGACGACGCTTGCGTTTAGACGTGATCATGCGCAAGTACGCAGCAAAGGAGCGAGGCGCAAGTTGAAGAAAAAAGCATTTGATTTAGAACATTCTACTCTTCATCAAAAGGTCAATCCCTCGGTGAATGCGCAATCCGCACGTCCGCCAACGAGCGCAAG